TATAATTGGAGCTACCGCTAATCCTAATTATCCTAAAAGGCTTACCAGTTAGTTTCTCTACAAGTTTTTGAAGGAAAAAATCCGAAAAAATTATCTTTTGCGCTATAGAGTTTTTTCCGTTTTAGATGACGACTGAAAAAGCCCGCTCTTTTGTACGTGCTCGACACAAGACTACGTCACCTGATTAGCAGCCAATCATCTTAAGTTTCCTTATCACATGGTTTTAGTATGCTGACGTCACTCATTTGGGGTGTTTACACGAAGTATTAATTCAATAAAACCAGCCATCAATTTGAATCCAAAAAGCAATGTCTGCGTGTGTGTGTATCCTTTATAATATAAAAGAAACAAAGAAACTTTTAAAAACACTTATAATCAAATGTAGTGGAATAAAGGATGATTAATTTCAAGGATACTTAGTCGGCATACTTAGAGAAATATTTCCAAACGCCGTTTGGTATTTTTTCCTCTAGTTAGTCTAGTCTTGGAACGTGGCCCGTCCATGAAAGCCTCGTTTCTTCATCTACCTCTCCTCATATCCACGTCTCGAAAATTATGGACATGTTTTTTATACTGAGGCCCCGTTCGTATGGAGAAAATTTGTTCCGGATAGAAGGGTCGTCCGTCCAGCCGAGTCAACTTTAGCGAGCGGTTATATGAGAAAAAAAGTTGACCCCTTTGCCGAGTCAACAGCGCTCACCAATGCTCTGATTGTCTCGTTTTGACCTAGTTTACCCGGGGTCACCATTTTGGCCGAGTGAACTTTTTGTCTCTCATGTAAACGGCTCAACACGTTTTGTAAGGAAATGTTTGAAAAGTTGGCTTGCTCAGGGTAGCTCAGATAGGCGGGTGACCCTTCCACTCACTTCCATATATACGGGGCCTCGGTTGCTGTATGCCCTCTTAACTCTGCTGCTCTTCTCTCCGTATAACCAACGCCCACTTTCGCTTTGTCAGAATCGCAGAGCTTGTGCTAAAATATCTGATATACAGGTAAACTGAGGGAACAAGTTTAACTAAAAGACGTGAAACTTTTTTTACGAACAAATAATTTATTAAAATTTCATTGAGAATATTTTTACAAAGGTGGTTTATCATAACTCCTCGCGTCCGGTGGAGTCACTTTTGCTATTGTCCCCGGTTTTCTCTTCCTTATCATTATCTTCATCTTCGTCATCATCGTCATCATCATCATCATCATCATCAACCCTGTCATCATCATCGTCTTTCACAACTTCTACAGTTAATAACAGAAAACAAAATAAACAAATTCAAAGGACTGTACACAGTTGCTTTATAGAAAGTCCATGAGAGAAGCAGAGGAAAACAATAGCAAAAGTGACACCAGAACTGGCAGAGTTAGAGGTGTAGAGTGTAAAACAGAAATAAGATAGTCACAATTCAGAGTTTTATGATGCGCGACACTAGCCATTTGTTGACCACCTATTCACACTGTCCTATGTGCATTTTTACAGCCAGTGGAGCATTTACTTTTCAAGAGGCTTGATTTAGTATATTATCTTTTGTGAAACCTCAGTCGAACAGGCACACTGAGCTTTTAACCGGAAATCTAACGATCAAAATAAACCCAAGATTATGGAAAAATCAGTCCACTGTCCAAGCATCACCTGCATTCCTCAAATAATACACGAGCCGAAAAACTCTTCTGTCCTGAATGACCAACGGAACAGCACAACATAAGAGATTATTTAACAAATAGATTCCGTGTTGCCGTGCGTCTGTTCAGTAATAGATCACAGAAGACGTTAAAATGTAGCAAACCACGAGCCGCAGGTGAGTGTGTCCCTGATGCTTTTAACAAATTTTGACCTCCTCTGTGATCTATTACTGAACAGACCCACGGCAACATGGAATCTATTCGTTTACAAACCGGCATACTGTGCCGGCTCAAAACTAAACGGTTTTTATCCCAAATCATATATATTCCCAGCCAGTTGACTGGCAAAAGCTCTATCATCTATCGCCTTTTTTGTCCTAAGAGATGATTTTGTTTCGAAGCTTTCTGTTGTTATCAATATTCACTGATGTGATTTTTTATGAATAGTTCACAGGCTAGCGTTGGGTGGTGTTACGCCCCTGTAACATTTCAGCCACGGTAAACGAAGTGACGCCGCTCACCCAAACAGCTTTTCCACGAATAGCAACACATTAGCTACCTTGTAAAGCATCAAACAGCATCATAGAGGAAGAACTTTGTCATGTCCATTTAGAGGTATTATTTCCGTCATAGCTTAAAAGATTTTTTCAGAGTGATATTACAAGTTACATTCCACGCTTTACAAGCGCAATAAGCAACCACTACGGATTTCGTCCTTTCAACGAAAAGTTAGAGCCGTTAACACACTTGACGTCAAAGAAAAGGGGTAGGGCCTCTTTGTCTACTAACTCCTCAAGGACCACAATATGCAAGCGTACACAAGTGTAAGTACCACAATAGCGGTCCAGCTACGCTTCATGACAGCGGTAACCACACAAGCAAAAAACACGGCATATAAGATAGAGCCAAGTTTCATGTGAAGTTCAGTGTAGTAGTTGCCTTTGGCAAGATCCTCTTCTATTTGTTGCTCCTCTGTCTTTGTTTTTTTTGTCTTCTTTTTACCTTTCTTTCCGTTCTTTACGCACTTGTCTCCATCGCGTTTGAAGCCCTTCTTGCAATCGCAGGTAAAGCTACCAGGCATGTTTCGACACTTCTGTGAGTCTTGGTGGCAATCGTGTTCTTCTGTGGAACATTCGTCCACATCTGTGAACAATAAATAATTAACTGAAAATAAATCTAAAACTGAAAGAAAGGGAACAGAAACATGAAACCCGCTCTGTCACATCATTTCAATGATCACTAAAACCGTTATCTTCAATTATCTTAGACCGGTGTCTCATAAACCAATCAACATAGCAGACTGTCTAAGTCCAAGGGTAGGTTATAGTTTATTAAAGAAAATCTTACAGTTGGCTGATGTGAGGTAATTTTCACGACATGCGGAAGTCACAACCTCGAGTGTAAATTTTCTTCACACTCTGGCAAGAGTTCACTTCTCCTAACACACCGACTGGTTACTGTTTGTGTTGACAGGTCATTGGGAGCTAAAGCAAGGTTCTTATCTCGTAACCAGATCTCTTGTCGGATTCGCCAACAAGGGATCTGGATACGAGACTAGCAAAGTACTGACGTACCACGTGACCATATGGTCTGTGACGTAAGTAATCCCTCCTGTTGCGGACTAGGGAAAAAACAGCTAGCAGATGACTCGAGGTTGTTAAAAGCCCAGACACTCTTAACGTCCGAAATAATACACACTACCTTTGCATTCATTATCGGCCATTTTGAATCCCGAGCTGCATTTTGTGCATCCGCTTGCACCCTCTCCAATGCAAGTTTCACAGGCAGAATGACAAACTGCAAAGAAAGGAAAATACTATCACTAAACTTTCTCTGATGTTATTGCTCTACCACTCAACCGAACTTACAAGCTAACCCCCGCCGCGGATTAATTCCCAGTTCCCAGAAAAGTCATTGCCCCCACCAGACAAGACTGTCTGTATTGGGTCGCCTCTTTCCGAGAAAGAAGGGATGCCGACAAAATACAATAGACACTAAATTTAACAAGGGATTGGTTGACATATCCAGAAAGAACAAGATTAAAAAAAGCCCCCTTGCCAAAAATAAGCCTGTTGGTGCAAATTGGTGAGGAGATATACGCAACGTTATGGTCCGATGTCTCCATCGTTAACGTTACGATCTGAGCCAATTTTAGAAGGATTTGTGTGGAGTCATCAGAGCAAACCGGTGCTCATATCTCCTCACCAATTTGCACTAACAGGCTGATTTTTGGCGAGGGGCCTTTTTAAATCTTCCTTTTTCTGAATATGCTAATATAACCAATCCCATAATTTCACAAATCTGAATTTTCGTGACGTCACAGTTCTCCTCTCTATAGAAGTGCTTACTTGTTGTTTTTCTATTTACCATTGCAGGCAGTCAAGGCCTAGTAAGTAAAAATTAATAGAAAATAATAGCTATTTACCTCGACAAGCGAACGATCCAGGCGTGTTGTCACAGAACTTTCCGTTTTCACAGATAGTTGAATTTTCCGAACACTCATCAACATCTGAAATATCATATGAACAGGTTAAGTTTTATGTAGACCGCGAGCGGTCGTCCTTCTTCCCTCAGACCCACGCGCGGCCAGCAAAATAGCGCGCGATCTACTGGGACTCAAAGACTCGCAGTCTAAGTTTTACGGTTTCTCTTTCGTTTTCTGTAAAAATAGCTTAGTGCCAATATTTCTTCTTACATTAAAAAACATCAACAGCAAACACTACTGGTTAAAGTTTACGGTAGCATAAACTGATGTTAATAAACCTGAAATTATGCCCTATCAAAGCACACTTTTGTACTATTTTTTTTGTGACACAATGTTCAACATTTGAATAAGCTTTTGTACTAAGTAACTGTGGATACTAGTCCAAAGGACAAGAAAGAACAAAGAACAGTAACTAGTTGTTCGATTATAATGTATCCTTCACCTTTGGCAGGTCCACTGTAACTTAGCATGGTCTATTTTCTACACTCCGCAAAGGTTCCATTCATATTATCACATGCTCAACATGCACATGTGCTTCTTCTTTTTTCCGTACACTGTCCTTTCCCAGTCATTTCTTTTAGGGCTTCATTTCATTCACATCCACAGTAAGGCTTAGCCCTTGGAGACGGGTTCAGGAAAAATATCCACTCCAGGGTGTGCCCCCCTGGTCCCACCTGATCTGTACTCCACCCAGGAGGGTGACTGAGCGATATGGGCCTCACCCCCAAAGACTGATCAGGACTCCTGTCCAGGGTGGCTACCCCCAGTTCCACTCGATCTTGTCTCCCCCGAGAAGGAGTTCTGGTTCCCTTACCCCTAGATTTAAGCACTTCCCTGCCACCAGAATTTTGCCCATTACTTTTTGTGTGTTTTCTGTGTGGTACCCGGCATAGTAACGTTATGCAAAACCACTGTTATTAGTTCAAAATTATTGAAACTTTGATCTTGAGTGCAAACACAACAAACACGAAACAACTTTCTGGGCCCGAAAAGTTACCCCGTGTCTCCGAGGATAAAAGTTACCGGGACTTTCGAGAAACAGACCCCGGGTGTGATTGCAGACGCAGATGAACACAGTTAACAGTCTTTTGTGCTATGTCATCCATTCCCTTGACATTTAGTCAATTTAATTTTTCGTTGTTGAGTTCCTCTTTACTATTCGGAGAAAGTAGTTTGAAATCATCAGTTTTTCCACTTCTACATAAATTTCACATACTTTGAAATAGCATCTGAAGCAGTCATTTTCGTTTCGAATGTAGCAAAACATTAGAATAAACGAGACGCAAGGAACTAAAAAACTAAAACAAGGGAGCTGGGGGAGGAGCGGAGAATAAAATATTTTTGTAGTTTTAAAATTCACAGAACACCAGCCTTTTTCACAGTATACCCACTTTTACCTACCTTTACAACCTTCATCTTCAGTCTTGGTATAACCTTTGGCACATTCAATACATCCCTTGGGTCCCTCAGCAGTACAGTTACCTTCACACGATTCATGGCATTCTGAAAATAAAACAAAAGTGATTACTTTTACTCCTCATGCCTGGATTACCTATGATTACTGTACTGTGGGTACACAGAATTACGATAACATCTGGAAAGTTTACATGTACCTACCTTCACATCTATAAGAACCAGGGTTATTTATACAATATTTGCCTTCTGTACACTTGTCCTCTTCTTCGCATTCATTCTTGTCTGAGACAAACATGATTCATAATCAGAACAGAAGCCTCCTATTCAGTAATTGCCCATGGCACTTAATTACGTAGTGACCAGACATGAAAAAATTGAAAGTATTTTGTGAGTTTTCATGTTTTTTAAGCAGTATAGATAAAGGCAAAGGTGAGGTAAAGGTGAACACAAGCCAAAGGCCTAAACGGCTGCAGCTTATTGTGGTTTCTTCAGTATGAAGCATGTGTAGGAGTATTGCTACTTCCTCTGGACGGGATACTAGTCCATCGCCGGGTTATAAATAACCCCCAGCAGTATTTCGCTGGTACCCATTTATGCAACTCGGTCAAGAGAGACGGAGTGGAGTAAAGTTTCTGGTCTAAGGAAACAACGCAATGGGTGAGGCTTGAACCCTGGACCTCCAGATCCAGAGTTCGAGGTGTTAACTGCTCAGCCATACATGCCTCCACATAGATTTATAGATTGAAGAAGTTTAAAATACCCCCAAAATGGGGCACTGACAGAGAGAGGTAGGTAAAATGAGTGCACTGTCAGCCTCGGGTTTGTCACTCTAATGTGTAATGGTAAGAATAACCGCTGTAAAACAAGATAATTTACTTAACATAGCTTTATGGCAAATTCAATGCAAAGTAATAGACACCTTTACAGCCTTCATCTTCTGTCATGTCCCAACCTTCTTTGCATTTCTCACAGTCTTTGGGTGAGCTGCCACTACAGCTTTCTGCACAGGACTCATGACAGGCTGTTGACACATACAAAGTATGGCATGTTAACAATCACTAACATGAACAGGTACATCTACCTGTCCTTCCCTTCAACGAGGCACATTAATTCCAAAATAAAAATAGCCTCTCACTGGGGAAACAGAAGCATGTACATCTAAAGTAAGAAACTAGCCTGCCTAAGTGATGGGGAGGGAAGGGGGGCAGCAGAGGGGATTGAGAGTGAATACTAAAGTTGTAAAGAGAAAGGGCAGGAAAACAGGGTGGGAAAACTGCTTGCCCAGATTTTAGTTCACCAATGCATTCACAGCTTTGCTCCTCACTTGCACACTCACCAAACAAAACCACCAGCTTTGATGGCTAGAAAGGAATATCATCAAGTAGAATTGTAAATGTAAGGAGGGGCAAAAAGGGTGGGGTGGAGGACAGGACTGATGAGGTAAACTACTCTTTTTTTCTGTGGATGTTCATCATGGTAATTATTTTAACCTCGGAATTTGTATCTGCTCTTGAATAAGCTCACTTGTAGGTTTATTTACCAAATAACACAGAATTTTACATAATTACATTCCAACTTTCATTGCCTTACCAGTACATTTAGGTTTAGAATCTTCACCTGCCTCTTCAAAGAACAAGTCAGCACACTCATCACACAACTCTCCTTCATATCCAGAGTCACATGAACATTTGCCTGATCCCTCTCTAGTACCATCACCCTGAGTAGTAACAAAGAGTAAATACAAAACACAGAATAACACTTGGGCTGGGTAGGTGCAATGGGTCCTGCCACACCCTTACTTTGTAATGAACAAGTATGAATTGGCCTAAGATTATTGTATATTTATCAAGTCACGAGGAATAAAATCGAAGGATGGAGAACTTTGCTTGTTACAAGAGTTCCTTCATCTGACATCTAAGATACGTACCTCACATTTTCCATGACTATTACAAGGACTATCTTTACCACCTGCACATTCTGCAACACAAACAAAAATGATAACTCTGTGGCTGGTTTTACCAACTTTCTTGGTACTTATTCCTCAGAAGCTTAACATCAAAAGAACTGTGAAGTCTTTCACTATAGAATCTTTATAGTATAACAGGCCAAGTTTAGACATGATGGACTTGCTGAAGGTACTTTTAAAACCAACAGCAGTGGAAAAGAAGGGCTTTAAACAACTACCTTTCCTCTAAGCTTGCCTCAACAAAGAATTGACGAAATTCTTCATAAGGTGGACTATACGCTCACTGCTCTCCTCTTTTCTCTTCACCACAAACATAGTTGTTGGCTATCAAATGAAGATTAGGCAAGGGCAGTAAACTAATGAAGGTAGAGGGGTGTTTGCTTACCTGTACAGTCAGGACCATAAGTGCCTTCAGGACAACAAACTGAAAGGAAAGGGTGTCATTGAATTAACACAATGCATGTGGTGTTCTTGCAATGGTGCTGTGATGATAAGGTAACTGTGCATGATTATCTAGTTTTCCTACAGTTACTCAGTGGGATACAGCACTGCAGAGCTTTACTACAAACTTCTATCATATTTTCATGTACACAGGAGATAGTCGTGATATTGCTATGCTTGCCAGCATTATATTAATGACTGAGTGGCACTCAGTAAGAGACAGTGTTAGACAAGGTGGTAATAAAAAAAACAGGAAATGATTCTCTTTGTTTTAAAGACTTGTTTTTGTTCAATGATGTCTTCATGGTTTAAAACTTACATGCTTGAAATTGATCTCTTACCTTCTAATGTGTCAATGCAAAACCATTTCTTCATATCAATATTTTCATCTTTAAACTGGCTGTAAGAAAAAATATCATGAAAGAAATATCTCTTGAAAAGGAAGTTGTTAGCCAGAATTTTGATCATGGACGAAATTCATGATCAAAATCACACCTTATGAGGAAGTGGGGCAACTGTCTTTAATAATGCAAAAGTTACAAACAAATTGTCATTCACACTGTTTAAAAAGCGAAGAAGCACAGGCTTCAACACAACTTTAAACTGCTAAACAAGGCTCAAATACACAGATTTTCAACTGGATATACAGGGAATTGTACAACTTACAATCCTCGAGCGACTATGCAGGAACAAAGTCATGTGACACTAAAATCTACATACTAGGGTAGGGTTAAAGGGAATTGTTCATAAGTCCATTCTTACAGGTTTCTTTATAAATCTACCTAATTGAGTTTGATGGGCTGTAACATACAAAAAACTTCAATTCATTGAACTCAAAACTGAACATCCCATTTTATATGGCAATGAGGGTTTCATAAACATATTGTCTCTGTTCTGGGGAGGATGGACTTAGCTCAGCATTGTCACTGCTTTAGTCAAGATTCAATCAATCAATTCAAATGATACAGCATTTAATCATGACTGGACACTCACTGTTTAAACCACCATTCTTCTAAAGTTTCCTCTTGCTCTTCTACCATTGCATGGCACTGAAAATTCAAACCAAATTAATGTACTGTAACTTAATTTACACATATGGAAATATAGCACACTACTGGAATTGATTAGTCAATAAAAACTAGCCTCCAGATCAAGATTATCTGTAGATTACGTCCTGATCAGAGCAAGCTTAACAAGGAGTGAGCTGCGAAATGTCTCCTGGGTATGTGCTGCCTGCTTAGGCCTCAAATTTGGTTCCTATTTCACCAGGATTTTATTTTTAAAATGACATCTTGTTCTAAAAATGGACCAACCTACAGATAATTATTTATTTTGTCGGTTCAGGTTTTGGATATACAAGGTCACACGTCACCACATTATGTATCTGTGTTAAGTAAATAATTCTCCTGAGCTGGGTTGATAATATCATTATTTTAGTACAAATATACAAGATATGCAAAATTTCCACATTTATATAAGTGAACACTTTGCAGGCATTTTACTGTTTCAGCTATAAACAGGTAGCATTTTAGCAACAAACCCAAAATGACACCAAAAAATTTAGTATCTTCCTACCTCTGAAGCACTATCATCACAAAGTCCTTCCATAATTTCAACTAATCTGGTTTCACTGAAAATCAGGAAATAAGACAATGTAAATTGCAAAATTGATTTATTTACTCATTAGACTCATTAAACATTTGATTGAACAGTAAATTAATTAACTGCTTATGACCAAAGTAATTATTTATTTGAGAAACAATTAGATCACTGGATTATTGTTCTGTTAAGAGTATTATACAAGCCAAACAGGGGCACCTAGCGACTTTTTTCTGTAAAGTAACTGTTCGAAGGAGCAAATATTGCCTAAAAATTTCTAAAGCTTGAGAAAAGCTAAAAATTTCTGGATAACCATTCCATTCGTCTAAAATGTTTGGAGGTTTTCTAATAGCTTACCTACAATTTTCGGAGGTTGTGTTATTCACATTTTAATATCAAGATATTGCGTTTATTGTAAAAAAAAAAGGTCTCCTAAAACTTTCGGCATGAAGACAAAACGTCCCCTATTATTTTCTAATGAAAGCATGCAAGGCTACTTCATGTCCTTGAACTTTTGACCGCACCCATAAGGGCAGCTAACACTTTCGGATGAGACGAAAAAGCGACCTAAAACTTTCATAACGACCAAAGTTCCCCTCAGACATCCGAACAGACTGATAGTTTTTAGCGCAACTCCAAATTCACCAAACAGGTTTCTAAAGCACAGAAAAAATACATCTGAGACACTTTTGGGGTATTTGGAAACATTCAGTCATTGGGTGCCCCTGGCTAAAGGGCACCAACCCAAAAACCTATTATGGACTGAATGACCACATGTCACTCACATACCTTGCTACACTACTGGGTCGGAACTTGGGAGGTTGTTATTGGGGAAAATTTAGTGAAATAAACAAGATAACTGAGCTTGGACAAGTTGCTTAGCATACTTAACCAAAGCATATAGTTAACACTGATTGGCATCCCCGAGTTAATGAATTGCAGATCAAACTCCAAAGGGAGGGGCTAGGGAACATTTTTTACACAGCTTAACTAAAGAATAAATGAACATTAACTAAAGGTGTGACTTAGTATCTTTCATTGCATATTTATATTGAGACACAGATGTGGGGTTTGAGCCTTTTAATAGACTTACATGTAACATACAGGCACAGGAAATGCATGAAAGTAGCATTCAGTAATTTTGCCATTCAGGAAAGACAAGCTTATTCATCTCCAGACAGTGATGAAACGACAGTGTGACTATCAATAAATACTTAAAATAATAATTATTTTACGTATTTATTGATAGTCACACTGTTAATTATTATCATTTATTTACTTGAGGCATTCAGGAAGGATGCCAATTTTGTAGCCATTAAGGTATCACTAAGGGTTGTGTGCAGAGATACATTCATAGTGGAGCTCTTGCGCGCATGAAGTGTGCACAGCAGAGAACCATGGGTAAGAAAAAATGGAAAGCAATGGATGTGAAAAATTTTGGTAATCATGTGACCGTCTAAATGTCCATTCACCCTGGAAATGTAAGCCAATGTCAAATCTCACATTTACTACCAGCACTACACTAAAGGTATGGCAGGAGCTCATAAACACTTACATGAAGATGAATAATTGACAGCTGTCGAAGTTGAGTCTTTTTTTTGTGTGGCTAAATTTTAATGTCTACTCTGACGCGGATAACAGAGAGAGGTAAAAAACAAAGGAAACAAATTTCATTGCAAGAAAAAAGTGAAAGTTTTTGTAGCAGCAGTGAGAAAATGAGAAATGCCTGTGGCCTCCAAGGTGAAAATGAGTTAGCAGTGAAAAAAAGGCAAAAAGGAACACATAATGGCAATTCCTTCATAAAACATCTAACTGGGAAGTTTCACCTTGTGGTCATGCTAAACAACGGCAAAGAAATGTTCAAAAAAGTGTACTGCACATGCCAAGTTTGTTTTTTGCTAATTAAGCAACAGTAAAACGGGCAACAAAAGACATTCAACTTGTTTAGTTCAAACATCGCTAAAAAACGAGTGGGTTGAATAGTGATGTTGTGCATTTTACCACCACCTTTTGAACTTCTCTTCCAACAAATATCGCTGGAAGGCTTTTCTTTTCATGGGTGGTAAAACTCTCAACATTGCCACGCTATTCAACTCATTTTGCAGCAATGTTGCAAAACAAGTTGCAAGTTTTTTGTTGCCTGTTTTACTGCACCTTTAGACCAACTGATTATTTTTTGCCATTTGTGTTGCCATTGCCATTTAGCATTACACCATTTTTGATGAGTAAACTATAAGTATATTAACACCCTGGCTAAATCTATATATTATGAAGAGGCAAATACTGTTATGACATTTGTTTGAGTATGGTCTCCTTTAGGAGTCAACAGAGCCTGAGCCACACCCAGGTTGGTCTCCTTCAAGGACTCCATTCTAATTTTCCAACAACAATCCTGTCACTTTTATATGGCAGTCAACAACAACGACAACTTTATTAGCATTCCCATATACAGAGACGGTATTTCCATTAAGGCATTACAACCCAATAAAATAATAATAAAAAACAAACCTAACATAGTAAATAGGACAAAAGTGGATTAACTGTCGTTTTCAGTTATCTCTATATCACATACTTTTATCTAATGTAATAGGAGTCCCCCCTACCCCCTACCCCCCCCAGGGGGGAGATCTCTAAGAAACCACCTCACCTTTGTGCCCAACTTCCAAGTGCTCTTTCTTCCCATGCTGTGTTACCACCACCAAAGTTCGATTTTTCTGTTTTATCTTTACCCTTAAACAAGACACAAAGAAAATTGTCAACAAGGGCAGCCACAGTAGTATTGCAAATACAGTTACCAAGCTTCTAGATTTGTTCAGTTTTTTATGGACCTTCAAACATTATTTTGTAGAGAAAAAATACTAAAGCTGTATGACCACAAAAACTATGTTGGCAAGACAGTTCACTTTCTAAAGCTTCTGAGATGTCTTAGAGAAAACAAAATAGAAACCTCCAATCTCTAGAAAACATACACTTTTATCACACTAGACCTTCTTCTTCAGATTGGGGGGGGGGCTGTAGGGGGTCTTAACCTTCAACCGCCCATACCGTGCATTTCTAGCTCCCATCCTTTTTTTCTTGGCTTCCTAACTTATGCATCAGTCAATTCTACCGGCACCCAGCCCTGCCCCGGGCTGACCCCCGGGCATTAGCTTTTTTTTTGCCTTGGATGGCAAATCCCCGGGGTTGGGGACTCTTGAGCTGTCAAATCCCCTGGGGTGAGGACGAAAGAAGAGGGCAAATTCCCCATCCTCTGTCAACACTGCAACATTTTTCATTGATCGCACAGTCAAATAGTGCCATTTTAAGCATTTTAAGCATTCTAATGCGCGATTTTTTGTTTCAATTAACGTCTTCCTTTGTAATAGCGCGAGGATTCTAATTAAGACTTCACGCCGTGAGGACATGCACCAGTTTATGGTTTTAGTATTTTGATATAAAATTATTGATATTAAAATTAACAGAGCGCTGTAAAGTTGATTCACATCGATAGCTCCAATTTTGCTACGTAATTCTGGTTTGATAAGCAATGAAGAAATGCATACATACATGTAAAATGGAGAGCTTGCCGCTATAACCCTCTAAAATTTATTCCTGTCCTTGACAGATGAGCCAATCTACTTTTTTTTTCCAATAAAACCTTCTGTGCAGTTATATTCTGATAGGAAACCGCGTGCGTGTCAAAAGCTCAGGAATGGCCTGGGGGTTGGCAAATGCCCGGCCCCTGGGCAGTGCAAAATTTGCAAATGCCCCACCCCTGGGACTGACAAGGCGGGCAAATGCCCTGCAGTAGCCCGGGGAAGGGGAGGGGGGCTGGGAGCAGGTGGAATTGACTGATGCATTAAGCCCTTTTCAATTGCAAACTACTGAGCACTACTATATATTTTCTCCCCAATTCTCCTTCAGAACTTCCACCTCCCACCGTTCTCCCTCCATGTACCTCTCCGGCCATCTATTTTTACCCGCTCCATTTATGAAAAACATCATCAAAAAAAATATTTACCAAGTTGCCAAAAATTGTTTTTGGGGGGGTCAAATTCATATTTTAATAGATTCATTAGTATGATTGCTGTACTATTTGTAAGTAACATTAAATTACCGGTATGTAACAAATCTGTCACTTTGGACTCCACTTTGCAGATGACATATAAATATGATGATAAGACAAAGTAGATTTTAAAACCTTACATAGAAATCACTAATCCGTCAGTTAAACGGTAACTCATTTTCTACTTTACGTGATTTTGACACAGATAACAAAGCAAAACTGTTTACCTTCTTAAAAGCTTCCACTATGTCACTACACGTTGGACATTTCGCCTTCTTTTCTCTTGCAGCTGATCTAAGTCCGATACACACTAAAATGTTTACAACTAGGAGGATGTGTACCAAGAACTTTTTTGACATGTTCAAAGAAATTTCCATGAAGCTTTCCACATGTAAAGTGCAACACAGTAAATCATAAAGAAATGCCGGGCTGGAAGGTGACCAGTGCGAAAAATACCACTACAAAGGAAAAATATCTACCACATACTATAACAACTTGCATAGCAAGCAAATGGAGTAAAAAGTGGTATTCTCTTTAGAAAAACAGACGTGGAAATTTCGCCGGGTCAATTGTAGTCTCATGACAAAACCGCTGGGGAGTCAGGGAAAACCATTTCCGGAAATTAGGAGATTTTAAGGTTGATCAATTTGGTCCTTGTTTCAAGTATCCTTTCAATACGGTAACTCAACGAAAGTATTATCTTTCAAACGGAAGAAGGAATAAGAAAGGTTGTCTTCCTTACTTAAATGTAGATTTCAAGCTCAGAGAAAAGGTGATAACAACTTTAAGGTTCTCACTATTCGGGACCTGAATTCTCCCAATTGTTGCATACTTCAAGAAAAAACGAGGGCTCACTCGCGCGAATAACTAAGTTTGGTGCCAGATTTTAACCAATGAACATGCTCCACGTTAAGCACGTGATCAAAATAAGCCAATAAGCGTGAGACACGAGCTCCGGCCGTGGAAAGTGCTGGTTGGTGTTTGAATGCACTAAAATCTGCCTATACTTCCTTGCTTTCAAAGTTTTGCACAGATTGAGGTATTTTTGCTGTCATCTACAGCTGTTTACGGCTGGTTTTCAAGACATGGGGAAAAGAACGTTTCTTTGGAGCCTGTTAGGCCTTCTTCTTATTTCAAGTAAGCATAACCAGAGCAGTCTTTTTGCTTTATTAGCTGGCTCGCACGGAGAGACGATTATGAACTACTTGCACAAAGCTGTCGTGACAGAATGCAAACTCGCTTAACACACGCGAAGATTTATGTGTGGCTGAAATGGATTTTTTCCGTTTTGTGTGAATTTTTTCTTATACAATTTAAGTCTGAGAAGGCGATGAGCTTTGTACGGATTTTCCTGATTGCTACTGGCATCAGTGAGGTGTTGAGTTCCGGCCTCTTCTGAAGTCCACTTTCGTCTTTCGGTCAGTGTTTTTCTATCGCGATGGTTTTCCTTTCTTGTGTTTGGTGTACTTTCAGTCAAACTCTTATTCAGCGAATTGAAATTCTTGACTGAGATTGCCTTATAAATCTTTGAAAGTCTATTCTAAGACGTTGCTGGTGTAGGTCTTTGTTTACTCGTAGTATCCATTTAAACGTATCCGTAGCACTTTTTCTTTCGTCACAAATATAAAATACACCTAAAAAAAATCGTAGGTAGCTAACGTAAGGTAAAATGGAAAGCAGTCAAGCTTTTCATGGAAAGCTTGATATACAAATCATAACAAGGGTTTATGTCTGTTTGAATTTTTCCTTTTTTCTAATTCATTTGTGAACTTTAAACATGACCATTAAAATCAACTCATTCATGGTTACCATTCATTTTGAATTGATTAGTATTTTGTATGTAGTTTTTTTAGTCAAAAGGGCGATTTAATCCAAAAATGTATGACCAGACACTTAAATTTTTTTAAAATTGGGCAATGTTATATGTCAAGATGTGATTGGCTACTTTTCCTCAACCAATGGGAAAAGGCCAGATACCAATTCCCTATAGTAACAAGAGTTTGACCCTGTTTGAAAACAAAGCTGAGTTACTTTTCACGAGAAAAATATCCATAGCAATGAATTTTATCAGTTTGTGTAAAATAGCTACGATATATGAATTACAGTTGAGATTACATCTTTTCGTTACGATACTGAAAAAGCTCATAATTTTAGCAGGTAGTTTAGCACAATAGAGTCTTTAACCTGTTATTTAAACAGCTTTCAAAGAATTTGAGTGTCAGTGCGGATGTTTATGCGACTTAAGCATAAAATATTTATTTTTTTGTTCAGATAAAGAAAGAGCAAACTTTTAAATAGTGACCAGTATATATAACAATGATATTTTAAGATGGGAACTTTTAATCTCCTTTAAAGTCATGGTCTTTCTTTGAAGGTAAATCACATAAGAACAAATTTTTGTTCCCCAAAGTGTCACATTTTAATCAGGTACAGGTATTTTAACAAAACAGGTGCATAAATATACAATTATTCAACCAGTAAAAATAAGCTGTTTTTATATTCATGTTGAAAATGCCAGACATTGAGTTGGTGGAATAATGCAAATTTAGTTCTCCTGTTTTAAATTTAAGAGAAAAAAGAGGTCCCTGTGAAACACCCTGTCATCAAAACTTTTTTTATGGTAAAATTTAGTGAAAAGAAGAGGTCCTAATATAAGGGGCAGCAAGCAAAGAAAGTCTTATCCGATAGTCTGAGGCTAGTAGATTTTAGGATTGGTCTAGTGGATTCTGTTCTTAACTTGCTGGATGAGCGGTAAAGTTTTCTTGGGAAATTCTAATTACAGAAGAACTGAGAACAATGCTGCTCATAAAAATTTGGGGGGTGGGTGAGAGGGGGTGGGGGGGGGTACACAGGGTGGGGCAGGTTAGTATTGTTAGTTTCTTCTGTTGGTGTGTGTTTGTTTGTGCCAGTTTTGTGCGCTTGTTCTGTATATAAAGTGTGACGGTCAACTGAAGTCTTTATTACTAGAAATTTTTAAGGCAAGGCGCGTGAGGACAAGTGTGCAAAAGAGAATTTGGGGGGGGGGGGGGGGGGGGTGGCGTGGGGCTAGTGCATACTAGCTACAGCTTGCCGATATGGCAAGCTGTAAAACTGACTCTCTTTGCACCCTGAGGGGTGCCTGGAACAAAGCTCCTAATAAAGTTTTTCATACATTGTCCTGTAAGAAAAGGGTGAATTTATCATTGCACCCAAAGTTATATGGGGCCTGAACAGTGTACCCATTGTAGCTGCTAAAGTGTCCACAACATGTACAGTCTTTTTGGATTGGCAAATGTGATGATAAAGTGGTGTTTTCTGTGGCTCTTGTTTAGCTCTTTGCTTGGCTGAAGAAGAAAAGGCTGAAGAGAAAACAGAAACAGAACCACCAAAAGTAGATGAAGATGTTGGAAAAAGCAGAGATGCTTCAAAGACAGATGATGAAGCAGTTGAGAGAGAGGAAGAAGCAATTAAACTTGATGGCCTTAATGTAGCACAAATGAAGGAACTTAGAGAAAAAGCTGAAAAGTTTGCCTTCCAGGCTGAAGTTAGTCGTATGATGAAGCTTATTATCAACTCTCTGTACAGAAACAAAGAGGTTAGTACTGTTGAGATTATATAACTGTGTTAGATTTCTTTCATACAAGATGCGTTGTTTTACTGTTGTGGCCATTACTGTTTTTAAACGTCTGTGAATGATACCTACATGTTAGGCAGTAAACAGAATGTTGTTTGTTAAAAATAGAATAAAAAAAAAATCTTGTGCTATCAACTAAGGTGATAAGGTGATTGGATAAGTACGGAGATGTTCATAAGCTGAAGTTTCAGGTGATTAACTCTGGTGAAAGGCTAGCACTCAAAACATCTCCTGTTGCAGTACAGCTGTACCTTAATTGCTTTGATCAACCAGTTGTTAATACTAAGTCAGTGTAAGCTACCCAACTGCTTATAGATCCTTATAGTTACTATCATACATGTATGTATAATATCTTTATTTTAATATTTTCATGTTACTGTTGTCTAACCATTTGTTTAATTCACAGATTTTCTTGAGAGAGCTTATTTCCAACTCATCTGATGCCTTGGATAAGATAAGGTTTATGAGTCTTACAGACAAGTCAGCCCTTGCTGCTACAGATGAGTTGTCCATCAAGATCAAGGCTGATAAAGAGAACAATATTCTTCATGTAACTGACACTGGTATTGGCATGACAAAGGACGACCTCATCAAAAACTTGGGCACCATTGCTAAGTCAGGCACTAGTGAATTTTTTCAGAAAATGACGGTAAGAACAATTGTTGAATAACTTAAAAGTCCTATGAATTGATTCTATAATAACTAATTGCGCTTGAAAATTACCCAGAGTGAACCTGCAAGAAATCTCTCATGTGGTAAAAATTTTGCTGTCTTAAAGTGACAGTGACCCATTTCAGGTACAGTATCCTGTTGTTAACTGCTAAAAAACGGTTTTTCTTGTAGGAGGCCCAGTCATCAGACCAAGCAAGTGATCTGATTGGTCAGTTTGGTGTTGGTTTCTACTCATCATTTCTTGTCGCTGACCGTGTAATTGTGACATCAAAGCATAATGATGACAAACAGTACATCTGGGAATCTGACGCTGTGTCGTTCAGTATCACAGAGGACCCAAGAGGTGACACACTGAAAAGAGGAACAACAGTCAGGTAAAACAACAGCAATTACCAGCTAAGATTTTTGCCATCTCATGATTTTTGTTAAGCTTATTGGCTTGGTAGTCCCTGGCTGTAATGGGGGGGATGATAATATCAATCTTTAACGTCATGTAATGTCATGTAACATAACACTGCGATGGAGAAATGTATCATAAACAGAGATCCCAAGCATCAATCTAGCGCCAACTATTTAATAAACTTGAAAGTCTCGCAAAAACTGAAATACAACAGGCAGAATTAAAACTATTACCAAAACATATAAGGCAATTTAAATGGTCTTAACTTGGGCACCCGGGGTGTGAATATCTAAGAATCTAAACAACAAAATAATGTACTAACCGTATTTATTGGAATAAACGCCACCCTTGATTAAACGCTGCAGATGGAAGCAAAATTACCAATAATGATGCTCTCGAATAAACGCTGCACCTAATCAGAAGAATGCAGCGTTTACTCGAGGATAATAAGAAAAACCTTGGTACAACTTGGTAATTTACACCATCCAGACATTTAAGATTTTACCTCAGCAAAATATGAGGGACATTGGAACCTTTAAATTACATAATATTTAGAAACAATTTACAATAACTGTTGTCAGTGACTTAAAAAAAGTGATTTCGTACAAATTGCCCCCCTCGAATAAACGCTGCTGCGTTTAATTGAATAAATACAGTAAGTGTAACAAATCTGCTCCTCGCAATCAAGTATAATATAATCAAGTTTTATATTATTAGTAAATACAAAAGTAGACAAGATGTCATACCCACTTTTCCTGCTCTAAAACTCTAGCATTAACGATTCTTCGATGACTTAACTGTTGCTTGTAACTAACACGTCCCTCATGGTCTGAATGAAAGATAACACTGATGACTTACACTTATGTAACATGAAAACAAAGGGGCGTGGATTTAAATCACTATGACACAAGTCACGTAATCACAACTAAGAATATTGTCCTTAACACTGGTGCTATTGTGTACGTAAAACAAGGTTTTGAAAAACGTTAGTACTTAGCAAATAAGTGTGATAGGTTTTAGACCAACCAGTCAGAAACCGCTGGGAATAACCAAGGAGAAATGAAACAACATTGTTTTATTTTAAGAAAATTTCCAATGAGACCACCTCTGGAGGTGAACAACTTTTTCCGGAAAATTCCTCCCTGGACCAAACAGTGCCATTAATAATGTTGTGTTGACCAAACATTTCTAATTTTGGCATAATGGAAGGCAGCTATAGTTTTAAGCCAGATTTATTGGTGAAAATACGCTAGAATGTTACATTACTGATAATTATTAAACCATTGTCTTTGTAGTGTTCACCTGAAGGAGGAAGCCCGTGACTTCCTGGAACCAAATACAATCAAAGATCTTGTCAAGAAGTACAGTCAGTTTATTAACTTCAACATTTACCTGTGGACAAGCAAGACAGAGGAAGTGGAGGAACCAATAGAAGAGGAGGCTGCTGAAGACAAAAAGAGTGAAGGAGCTGATGAAGACAAGAAAGAAGAGGAGAAGGAAGAAGAGAAGAAGGATGAGGACAAAGAAAAAGAAGACAAAGATGATGAAGCGGAAGTTGAGGAAGAATCTGAAGAGAAAGAGAAGAAACCCAAGACTAAAAAGGTAATATTAACCCTCCTTCATTCACATCTTTGTTGTCGTTGTTGTTGTTTGTACTATTCGTTAAGGTGGCCGTACACAGTTTGGTAGGTTGTGAGTCATAACTATTCATTGGGTGTTATTTAAGACTCATTGCAGGTTTTAAGCCGAAATTTGGTATGGACAAAATATATTAAGAAGACATTACGTTTATTAGTGTAAACGTAAGATTTTGATCATTGCCATGGCATCATGGATGAGTTAAAACAAGCCTAAAATTATTAATTCAGTAGGTTTACGCCAAATCTTGGGATCAATATTTTAATAAAACTTTTACAAGTGTACATGTAGCTATTGTATTTGAATCCCTTTAGCTGCATATCTTCTCATGATATAGATGTTAACAGTGGAGGTATAAAGCATTTGTAGGGGTGAAAACTTCAAAATTCTTATTATTCTTTTAGATCACATCAGTCTTTTACACGCACAGAAATAATTGCATCAGGGACATTTCTTAGCGCCCGCAACTCCATGTCAGAGAAACTGTGTTCAGCCACCTTAACTCAAGCAGCCAATGTTTGGTCTCAGCTATGTTACTCTTCATTGAAGGGTTTCATGTGAAAAGGTGATCCCAAGGAGAATTTTGCAGTTCGTCAGAAATTACTGGGGACACTTTGCCAAACATTCTTTCAGTTGATTAAAGAAACATTTGTACTCTTTTGACTGCTTACTCTAGGTGGAGAAGACAGTCTGGGATTGGGAGCTTGTTAATACCAACAAACCTATCTGGACCAGAAAACCCAAAGATGTGAAAGATGAGGAATACAATGAATTCTACAAATCCTTTACCAAGGTAAAATTCTTTCTTTCCTGTAAACTTTGAAGTTGCTGGTCAGATGACCCATAATATTAAAAAGTAAGTCACACAAACCTGGGTAAGGTGTGGAGCTGTATGACTCTCCCAATTCATGGTTTTTTTTACTGATGTTTTGTTATTGTTTGAAGATCTCCAGAGATTTCTGAGGAAAATCAGTAGTTGTTCTGTTGTTTGTTTATCATTGTTCTTGTTTTTACATGAAGTATAAATTATATTGAGGCACATGTTGGCAATATCTTAGAAATAATACAGTTGTATTACTTTTGATTGTTAGGCTATTGTTTTTAGATCCCTTTTTTATATATTATCTTATTTCTGGGTTATTTTTTTCTTGAACATGAACATGAACAGTCGTTTAACTTTGATACTAAGAAAGATAAAGAAAAATCTGTAAGTTGAAGGGAGTTTTATTGTAAGTACAATGGTGTCATTTTCATTTGTTTTGATCATCAGTTAATATTAAACAGACATAAAAAAGGGGGAAAACATTTTGTATCATGAGACTCTTTGTTTTCTTTATTTATTTTGCTTCCTGGGAATTGTTTATTATTGGTCCTGATGAAAATTGTTGTTTTCCTGCTTTTTTTAATTGTGTCAATAAAGTGGCATTTAATAATTTGTACGGTTTTTGTTGTTGTTGTTATATTGTCGAAGGTAAGCATGTAAAACTTCAAGTGTTTACACTGTAGTTCTTGCTTACAGATTCATCCCTTGTCTGCTACTACAGACACTTAAGTTTATATGAGCTATGTAAAGGTTTGTCAGAGTTCCTTAAAACGAGGTTTATTTATTGTTTTCATTGGTTTAGGAGAGTGATGATCCTTTGGCCAAGACTCACTTTGTTGCTGAAGGTGAAGTGACATTCCGTTCTATTCTGTATGTGCCAAAGACAGCTCCTCACAACCTCTTCTCTGAGTATGGGAAGAAAATGGACCAGATCAAGCTGTATGTACGTCGCGTCTTCATCACTGACAACTTTGAAGACATGATGCCTAAGTACCTGTCGTTCATCCGTGGTGTTGTTGACTCTGATGACCTGCCTCTGAATGTAAGTCGTGAAACCCTCCAGCAGCACAAGCTCTTGAAGGTCATCAGGAAAAAGCTTGTCCGCAAGGCTTTGGATATGATAAAAAAGATCCCCAAGGATGAGTACATCGATAAATTCTGGAAGGAATTCAGCACAAGGTATTCTCAGAACATGAGAAGTTATTATGTTTCCTCCCCCTTCCTCCTTCATTTGTTAACAATTAAATGAGGTTAAGTGACACATCTGCATTATTTACACTGTATGGTTACTTTGTTCATGTTGTGTGCTTTTTAAGATCAAATGCTTGTCTTGTGGCTCGTTGGAAACCAACCATACAAAGTCATTTTTTTTTAAAAGCTCACTTTTGTAATTTATCTGGTTATTTTTTTTAGTATTAAGCTTGGTGTTATGGAAGACCACTCAAACAGAACCAGATTGGCAAAACTCCTGCGATTCTTCTCTTCAAACTCTGAGAAAGAATTGACAAGCTTGGCTGAGTATGTTGAGAGAATGAAAGAGAAGCAAGATGCTATTTACTTTATGGCAGGAACAAGCCGTAAGGAGGTGAGTATTGTTAGATAAGGTGGGGCAAATCTGAGAGCTGCTGTTCTTATTTCCTACTGTGTTATAGTATGTGATAAAGTAATTCTAATCTTTTTTCTTGTAGGTTGAGAGCTCTCCGTTTGTGGAAAAACTTCTAAAGAAGGGTTATGAGGTGCTGTACCTTATAGAGCCAGTAGATGAGTACTGCATTCAAAGTTTGCCAGAATTTGAAGGAAAGAAATTCCAGAATGTTGCCAAAGAAGGACTGAAGTTTGGAGAAGACTCTGAAAAAAAGAAAAAGAAGCAAGAGGAGCTCGAGAGTACATATGAGCCTCTACTTAAATGGCTGAAGGATGATGCTCTCAAGGATCTGATTGAGAAAGCAGCTGTCTCTGAGCGTTTGCATGATTCACCTTGTGCGCTTGTAGCAAGCTCCTATGGTTGGTCTGGTAACATGGAAAGAATCATGAGATCACAAGCCTATGCCAAGAGAGATGACCCTAGCAATGAGTAAGGATAACATTGTTCTACCCAAGCATTCCATAGTAACTAAATACGTACACTGTATTGTTTGGAAAGTGATAATACCACCTTCAATTTTTGTTGTTTTCAGTAAAACCTCTCCCAGCCCTTTAGAAGTTCTAGTTTATCTTAAAAAATTCCTTTACACCTGTATACTGTTCTTAGGCTTCTTTCCTGGATCTTTTGATGGCGTTTGGTTTAATACTAGGAACATATTTTTAAAGGCTGAATGCAAGCTTTATCCTTCTTCTCCTCAAAATGTTATCGTTGCATTTGTTTTGCAAATGTCTGAAGTTAGATTTCAAGCTACTACCCTTTCCCATGGCTAAGAAACCATCTTGGCTCATGTTAGTTTTAAGGTAGCAAAATGAAACTGGTGGCAGGCAGCATCCATGAGAAACAACTTGTGTTAGTTGAGTTTGTTTACTTGCTGCTGCCCACAGTGTTATAGTTTTATTTTTCCTCTATACTGGTATATTGTGAATTACTATTGTACCCCAGTCCTCCCCTACAGCAACCCCTTCCCAGTGCATTTAATGAGCTACACTTGAGAGCTAAGCCTGGTTGCAAAGTTCACTTTATTCAGGGTGCAAAGAAAGTCATTTTTACAGTTTGTCATTAGGGCAAGCTGAAGCTAACATTTACTAGCCCAAACATCATTTCAACTAGCCCCTAAAGGGTTTTGATGGGCAGAATTGATTTCACAGTTCTTCTGTAATTTGAATTCCACAAAAAACTTCACTTGCCCATCGGGCAAGTTAAAAACAGAATTCACTAGCCTGATAGCAATATCCACTAGCCCCGGGCTATTGGACATGACTTTCTTTGCATGCTGCTTTATTCCAGACCAAAGGATTTAATAATTCTATGAAACTGCAGTATGCCTTGTCATAAAATTCACAATAAACTTTAGTTCTTTTAGTCAGCCACCATATACCAAGCACCTAAGTTGTTGTAGGTTTTACGTGACAAAAAAATTTGTTAATTTTTGTAGGTATTATGCCAACCAGAAAAAGACCTTAGAGGTCAACCCCAAACATCCATTGGTCAAAGAACTTCTGAAGCGAGTGGAAACTGACAAAGAGGACAAGACAGCTAAGGATCTTGCTCGCGTCTTGTTTGAAACTGCCACTCTCAGATCAGGGTTTATGATCAAGGTAAGAAAAAGACTGAATATTTAGCATTATTATTGAATGAGTGAGAGTACAATATGAAGAACAAGACGCTACGGAGCTAGCGTACACTTCGGCATCGTGTTTGTGGAACTAATTAATTGTAAAAATTATGCGGAGGAATAGTAAGAAATCAAATATGGTAAGAGTAAGGTGTGAAATTATGGGATTTGTCAGGACATTCTGAAAAGAGCAACATCCAAGATACCTACTTGCCAAAAACTAGCATTTCAGGACAAATTGTCTCCGCAATATTAGCCCAGTTATGCTCTGATGACTGCATACAAATCCTTCTAAAAAAAAAAAATTCTCTATTTTTCTTAGTCACATCAGGCTTCAAAAACAGCATAGCAGTCTTATGTACTGACTAAAGAACAAACTTATCCCCTCCCCCTACCATACAAAAGAGCTATATCTTCATTAGTTTTCAACAAATCATATTCAAACTTGGCATCTTTACAAATTTTAAGGGGTTATTTTGCTACGGAAGGGTCTATTCTTCATAGCTTACAAAAGCTGAATCCAAAATTGGCTACCTCTTCCCTTGGTGATTCTCGGTTTGGTGTCTCTTTCTTTTGATATTCTTTTAATTGACATCATTGGTCATGGAGAATTAACTGGGGAATTAAGGCCAATCGGAAACTGAAATATTTTGGATGAATAATAGTTTTTCCAGTCAAATGTTTACATGCAAAGTAGCAGAATGTTATTGTTTGTTGGGATTTCAAGTTAAAGCTTCTCAATGTAAGGAAAATTCCTTTCCAAAGTACTTCTTTGTATTCAATCAGAGAATTGCTTTGAAGGGTAACACTAGTTTTTAAAGAGGTTCCGAGTGTAAAAGATTTTCACATTAACAAGAGTAGTAGTAGCCTGAATTTCATTTGATTACTTCGAGTCGTTATTACACCCTCAGTTGGGGGGAGAAAACGACTCGAAGCAATCGGATGAATTTCAGGCTAGAGTAGTAGTTCAATTAAAAGATTTCAAAAATCAATTTCCGTTTGTTGGTGTTGCTGTTAACAGGACTCTCAAGATTTTGCTGGTCGCATTGAACGCATGCTGCGTCTAAGCATGGGAGTGGACTTGGAAGCTACCGTGGAACCGGAGGAGGAAGAACCTGAGGAGAAAGAGGAAGAAGAGAAAGAAGGAGAAGAGGTAGAGGCAGAGGAAGACAAGGATGAAGAGAAAACGGAAGAGTCTGCGTCCACAGATGAAGCTGCTGCAGAAGCAACAGGATCTGAAGAGGAAACCAAGACTGAGGAGAAAGAAGATGAAGTGGAGGTAAAGAGTTGTCTGCATTTATTTTGTATTATGAACTGACGATAGTGCTACGAGAACTTTTTACTTCTTAACCACATTATGGCAAGACGAATTCAAGTGGGATCTCTTCACTGTTGTGTAGTAGAATTTTTTTCCTGAGGATTTTATGAAAAGAAATAATTTATTACATTTTTGTTTTATTTTGTTTTTTTTTTTCTTTGGCCTGTGAAGATAGGTGGTGAAGATGGGGGGCGGGGGGGCTATTATTCTTTGGAAATCAACGGGTTCTTTCATTTCTTTTTCAGGGAGAATCAAAAGAAGCACCAGCTGAACCAAAAGATGAACTTTAACATCTGAGGAATGTTGTAGAGTTTTGAAAGACTTTATATTACAGTGCCCGCTTTGATATTCACTACAGCTTTCACTGGTTGTGCGCAGTAAAAGTAAGACAGTCGAGAGAGAGAGAGAGAGAGAGAGAGGTCCTTGTCAAGTGAGGCGTATTTATAACAAAGGTGCAATACCAACAGCCAAGGATAGAATACACTGGAAAGTGCCATTTTGGAAAGCTGCTTTCTGTTTTACTCCTTTTTTCATTCAAGTCTTGAAAACGAAAAGCAGCAAGGATCAATGAGAATAGAATTGTTTTTGGTAGTTTATATTATAATAATAAATTTGGATTCTTGCCTTCGTTGATGATGCATGTCTACCTCTCCAAAGTGGCTGTCCAGTGAATTGGATTCTTCTAAGGAATAGTTTTAGGCGATGTTAATAAAAAATTGTTTTATTACGAAATTGCCTCTCTTTTATACCAGTAAAGCTGTTGTGCTTTATTGGGATCACTTTTTTGGTTTGCAGTTAATTACGTCGCTTTTTGTGCCGATCCACTTTTTCATCCGCCTGACCTCAAAACTTGGGTGAAAAAGTTGGAAACAATGGGTAGTGCCGTTGATATACAAACAGTCATCATTTTTTAGTTTTGCAACAAGTGACCCAAGGTCTCAATCCTTATAGAGAGAACAAACCTGTTTCAATTTTTATTCAAATCCTTTCAAATTTTTAAGTTGCAGAAACAATTAATCATATTTTCCGCACACAAATCTTTATAATTTGAACGTTATGCAACAATACCAACGGTCGTATTTCGAGCTTGAGCCACTGGTGGTTGTACATAAATTTCTTGTGTGCTTTCCACAAAAATGCTTTGGGTTGAAACGACTGATCCCAATCGCTCAATCGTAGCAGGCCTCTGATACATGGAACACAACCATAGTGAAGAGTTGTTACCACAAAACCATTTTCCTACTTTTTTTCTGACTTCCTATTTCAGCCCTAACTTTTACAATGACTTTTAACCAAAGTTGATAAGACGGTAAAAAGCCACTTGACTAATGCATTACTCATTTCCAAATCTGAACTTGATTGCATCTCGTGGTTTTCCCAACAAAACATTGCGTGTTGCCCCGAACTGAGTAGCCAGGGACCAGGGGCCCGTTTCTCGAAAGTCCCGGTAACTTTTCGGGCCCGAAATCAAATATTCACATCGAAATATAAAGAATAAGAGCGCGGGTACTGGCTAGCAAACTACTCCATTTTGTTTGACTAACTGATAGTTTTATCATGCTAGATGCAAAACTATTGAAACCTCGATCTTTAAGGTAAACGGAGACAGCTTACCGGGCCCGTTAATTATCGGGACTTTCGAGAAACGGGCCCCTGGCTCCGTAGTAGGGGAAAAAGGTAATAAACGGGGTCATATAGGTTGCCACCCTTTCCCCTCCCCAGACTACCTCTCGGCTCCCTTCGATCGCCGATACTTTTTCTCCTTTGTCCCCTAAAGCGCGGCCTGGTCCCAGGCTACGAACTGAGTGTATAAAAGATCATAAGAAGGACTCGCCTTGTCTTGTCTACAATTATTCGGCTTGTTTGCCGGAAAAGTGAAATGGAATTCAGAGTAAAATGCACTGAAGTAGTAACGATTCTGTACGAATTGTTGCTCCCTTAGTAAACAGAAAAAGGTCCAAGTCCATCGTTGACAAAAAATGTTGAGTCAATTTCAGGTTTCTTGAAAGAAAACGTTGGCGTAGTAATACAGAGGATGCAGGTCAAAATATGTCAGGGTTTGGCAGCTTTCTGGCAGTTGGATAATGGCTTCCTTCCTGGTACTTCTCCTTTTCTTGTTGGGGGTACTGGTAGTTACGTACGTACTGTGAACGAGTGTAGTGTAATGAACATTCCCAGTGTGTCCACGTGCGTCAAGCCTAAAGAGCGACCAAGGATGCGGATACTTTGTAGCCAGTGTTTACGAACCACTTTCTTGGCGAAAGTCAAGATTCCTTGAAGATGACTTGGTCAATGGGCGACTCGTCACGCCATCTAACGCACGTAACTCTTTCTCTATCGCGGTTCCTTTACCGCAGAATTTCGCAGACACGTCCACTGTTTCCAGTGACATAAGCGCACGCCTGATAAGTTTGGTTTCCACGTGATACACTCCTTGTTTTGCTGTACGTATGTCAAGCGCCCTCTGGAATAACTGCTTTGCTTCCCTTGTTGCATCTTTTTTGCCCTTAGCTTGAAGAAGCCTGCCTGTAGAATGAAGTGAGGATTTACATCGACAATTTCAAGCACTACCTCTACAATGGAGGTTAAAAGTCCTAACGCAGTATCGGATAAGAATAACTTGTTTTTCTATGGTAATCACCAATATTGGGGTATGTACCCACCCTTCTATCTTCCTATAGGGTAAGAGGTAGGTTCCTATTCACGATCAAGATTCATATAACCTAGTTTATTGGCCTTCACTTCCACGAGTCTACTGTAGCTTAGCGGTAGAGCATCTGGACTAGTAACCAGAAGCTCATACGTTCGACTCCTTTTTGGAGTGCTCGGATTTTTTTCTTCCGAGCCGCCTGTTTCATTGACTGAAAAATCATCCGTCTCAAGATTCATCCAACAAGCCAGAGACAAGTAAAGTTGGCGCCCTCAGGCACTTTCTACTGAAATCAGGCGTAATATATCATTCCAGAGCACACAACATGCGCGACTGGACTTGACACAGTACCCAACAAGATTAAGTTGTTTGTGTAGCTGTAAAACGCCCGGTTTTACACCCTTCAGCTTTGCTGATGAAACAATTACGTTTTTCTTTAACTGGGACTCATGATTTTTCACAAGATGAGTCCAATGACTCACCATAATTATTTGTCAAAAAATCACTGTGCCTGTCTACAAAAATTATAATATAAATTAAAATAAACAGGCAAAGTGACGCTTCCCAAGTTTTATCTAACAGACGTGACCATTCTTACTGACTCGCTAGTTTTAATACGTCTTAATCAGCTGTAGTCTCCCAATTATTAGGCTGATTAAATCCATAAATGATACAAGCCGAGAAAAAAATGTTTTATACATTATTATTAATCTCCGATATTGAAAGATCTCAAATACAGTGTAAGGCGAAGCCAAAGACCTTCGTACGTGATCCAAGCTGATACCCACCTAGTTTGAACAGAGTGTTTGCTACCACCAAATGTGAACACCCCAAGAGATCCTCTTGCATGTATAGAGCTCGCCGAAACAGTTCCTCTGCCACAGCCACATCCGGGGAATCTGATGCATCTGAGCACGCAAGTGAGGCTAGCGCGTCGAAAATCTCGGCCACCAAAGGGTGGGACGAGCCGTACCATTCCTCTCGCATTTTAAGAGATTTGCGAAACAGCGCCTCGGCATCTTCTGAACGTCGTTGTTTAGCTGCTAACAAACCCATGTGGAAACAGACACTGCTCTGACCTGGAAGATTTCAAGCAAGTAAAGGAAAAAACACAACCTTAGTCGTGGTAGAGCTGAAAATCTTTTTCCAACTTTAACCCACTTAGATCAAAACAAACAGCACTCATGGATGGTCTGGAAATTAGCCTTGGCCATTTTCAAGACAACCGGGAGAGATAAAGTCATACTCTACAATTTACTGTAAGTGCGTAGATTTACCCCTAAAATGTGGTAAATCTGGCGGTGATTTCTTTAAGTAGAAGTTTAGGGAAGTGAAAAAATTTCAAATAACACCATCGTACCTGGATACACTTGAGAAAGCTTCATGTGTCTCATAGCCTCGTCCAAAATGGCGCCAACATTAACTTGTCCTGTGTCGTCCCCTGTTTCTTTCCCTGTCACATTCGACGTCTTAACTCTTCCAGTCCGCGTAGAGGCACGTGATCGACCTTGCACTTCTGGTGGGAGAGTCACGTGAATTGGCAGGTGACAGAGGGCGATTTGATTCAGAAGGCGGCCGATCATAGTTGAGTGTTGAACCTAAAAGGCAAATTAGTGTAAGTAGCCGAGCAGTTATTTCGACGGACACCTTAAAGATAGAAAGTGAACTGAAGCCTGCTCAAACTGACCGTCTACAAGAGGACGTTCACTTAGTTACAGTCAAATAAGCTGCTGAAGTGTACAGTGGCAGAAGCCAACCTAGAGAATGCGACTCTGGAAACTTTTTAGTTTTGTGACAAGTGTTGATCTTAGCGATATGATCATCTTTGATGATCATCTGTCTTGGACACATGAGTGTGAAAAGAGAGCAAAGGCCTTACCGTATCTGGAATATGCGTTACTTCTCCAGCAGACTTCACTGCACCGTTGAACCAAAACACGGCTTTGCTCAAATCAGATTTGACATATAAATTCCCCAGTGATTCCTGTATATCGCACAGAAAGTAAATATCATCTACTGAAACCACTGGGTACGCCATCTTATAAGCGTTTAAAAGAAGATTCTGCGCCATCATATCGTGCCCGTTATCTAAGAGAAATTTTCCCGCGAAATAACAAATGAGGGCAACTTCCAACTGAGATAGCTGCTCATCTTTCTCTTTTCGACAAAGCTCGTCAACAGCTGAACTTTCTGTTGCCTTTGAAGACGCAGATTTCACATCTCTGTGTTTCAAGTCATTTGCCTCCTTGCATAGTCTCTCCTCGGCCTTGATTGCCATTTCATAGAGACCCTCATGAAGCTTATAACCCTTCAGATTCAACTTTTTCCAGTAGAGGAGCAAATCGATTTGTCTCCGTTGTTCGCTCCGTGAGCTGACTAACCTTACGAACACTTTCGGGTCACACACAGTTTTGCTTAGTGTAGCCATGTTACTGCTCATATAAAGTTGCCATGGAAACTCATCAACCATACGTTCAGAAGAGAGTTGAAGGGAAAAGAAGCTGGAAAGTACAGTATGACCCTGTTGCTTCTGTCGTTCCCAGGTCTCTTGAAAAGGCGATATCGCGCGCTCTTGGGACGGAGATGTTAGGTTGCCAAGTAACGCTATTTCAACCGAACTACGGGCAGACTGATGAGAGAAGGTAATTAACCCAGAAGGCATTTCAATCAGCGCGTGTTCTGCGATCAAACGAAACATTTCCCAGTGTGCCTTAGTAACCTCGTGGTTCTTTGAATAACCCATGACTTTTAAAGCACCTAGAGCCTCGTTTTCAGATAACCCTTCACGTGACAGGGCAAAAAGCCTGAGAACATCAGCAACCCAACCACTGTTCATACGATCACGTGACACTTGGGTCTTAATAGCAGGTACAGGACTGCGGGAAACCGCTGGTCGTAGCCAGCCGTAGTCGTGCGTCCAACGGCGAAATATCAAACTCCACAAATCAAATAATGTTGATGCATGTACATAGGAATCGAACAATCTTTCTGCATTCTTATGGGCGGCCAAAATCCGTAATTCACAGGCGAGTGCGACATAAAACAGAGGCAAATGTGCTAGAGTGGAGGATGTAATCTTAGAAGTTCGAGCTGCATCTAGGTACTTGCAGTTTAAGCCCACATATTCTCTGAGTAAGTCATTCTTCCCCCGGACGTCAAACAGTCGTGGTATATCAACACAATAAGCGTCCTTCCTCTGTGAGAGCGCTCTGTATGTTATATCAGACTTTGTTGTGGTGATTATGAATCTGCAGGAGACTGGAACATAGGAGGGCAGCCATTGCATCTCCTTTACTGTAAACGCTGCAAGGTCTAAGGCGTGGCCTAAGTGATTTGCTCCATCCAAAACGATAACTGACGGGCCTACAGAAATTGATAGGTATATAAACAAAGGATTCGATTAATAACCTAGCTTTAGAAAACAGTCGACATCTCCTGACACCATCACTAGTTTCCCCGAGAAATGATGTCCGAGGAATGCGCGCAGAAATTGCATATTGACGGTGTGTCAGTACCCGGGTCTGGGTAGTACGTCTGAATGGTTGTGCCGCTTGGGAAAGTTGTTTCAACCAATCACCCGGATCTGGGTAGTGACACGTCATCAGTATGGAATTTCTGCGCTCGTTCCTCAGACATCCTTTCGCGGGGAAATCAGTAACGGCGTCACGAAATGGCTATTAAGAACCAAAACCAACGTTTAAAGTAACCAGCTGAGAAACAAATAAAAAAACTGCCGTAATGCTCCATGCGACAAATAACGCTTTCGCGCCATTTACATGGCCATGAAAGAAAGCACCGTACGTCTTACTAGACGAATACTCCAGGACTCATGGAGCATTCCAGCAGGTTTCTCCCCTGGCCATTTTGAAAGTGAAAAAAGCATTGAAACCACTTGGCGAACTGGGATACAGAGAGATGTACTAACGGCTAAAAGAACGCGCAGGTCTACATAGCCTGCGTGGCAGGCGTTAGAAGGGGAAGGGGGAATTTGGGCGCGCGAGAGCGTGTGGGGCGCGCCCTAATTCCCTTCCCCTTCCCTTTTCGAATGCCTGCCATGCAGGCTAAGGTCTACATGGACAAGCAACCTGTATAAACTTTAGTCATTTGAAAGCATGCACGTGGTTTAATACAAGGATGGGTTTAGCCCAAACACTTTTCACTATTTGCCATCAATCATTAGTAGTAAGAAAAACAGAAGACAGTAGACAAGTGTGTGACAGCTTATTACAAACTCAATCATACACTTGCAATTGAAAAACGTGTAGAACATTGAATCTAAAGATCCACTATTTTCAGCTCACCTAGAGACAGAGCTGCTCTAAATGCCTGTGTTATACGCCTGACATCAGAAAGGTCTTGGTTGTCAATGAGGTCATCAAAATCAGAGTCAAGATAATGAAGCCGTAGTTCGCTTGTACAGCGGCGCATGAAGTTGGTGACATCAGTACTGGCTGAATCACAGCCAACAAAATGAGGAATGGTGACTACCTGGCCATGAACGGCAGTAAACTGCTTTAGCCATTGAGCTACCACTGCGGATTTTCCACATCCACTCTCACCTGCAGAAATTCAAAATACTGACGATAAACACACAGTCTTCAAGGTTTGCTATTTTAATTAATAATAGGTTTGTTACTTTCAGGTAAAGAGGGCTAGGGTTCCTAAAATTTTGTGTTTTTCACAAGAATGGAGGCAGGAATGAGAAGAGCATGAAGCCCGAGTCATGAAGAATAGGAGTCAAGCCCCCCCCTCCCCCTCCCCCACCACCACACCCCCGTCCTGGTCCTGCAACTTGTGCCATGCACGTTCTTGTGCTTACCTCCTCTGTGCGCTCCTCAATAACTGGAAATATACCTACCTACCAACACTAATATTGGGGGAAGAGATTCCTTCTCACTGCCAGGTAGACTGGTCATAAATGTCCCTAACACTGCTGTTGGCACCACCATACTGGATCTTCTCTTGATTCCCTGTTCCACTTCAGCATGAAGGTTCAATACCTCAGTCATCTCTCTAATCCTTGGTGTTCTGACAAACACCTGGCATCGAGCCATAGCAAAAGCCTCATGAGCAGACCACTGACGGAATACCTCAGAGTATACACTTGGGAATATAACGGGACTAATTGGTGGGTAACAGAGGTCAATGACTGCAATCCAGTCTTTTAGCAGCAGATCACCAAGCTCAGCAACAGTAGTAAAATGACGGACTGGCAACTCTGAAACCACAACATGGAACAGAAAAGTTGTCAATGTCAACTGTGACTTCATCAAACACTATCCCACATCCAGCAGGAGGGCTAAAGGTGTGCATCATTATCAGCCATTTTGGCAATAATATGTATTCATGTACTATGGTACAAGAAGGGATGTTCAGAATTTACGGCAGTACATTGTAGCTGGAAACAAACAAGGAAGCCATACTGTGATGTGGAGGCTCTGAAGCAGTGATGAAATGCAAGCTACTGTACCTGTAAATGTTAGAGTTCAGAATTCCATGTCTGGTAAGCTCTGATAAAACAGTGAAACCTTTACTAGCAAGACTCCAAGCAGTTTCCAATTAACCCATTGACAACCGAAACATTTTACAATTTCAAGTAATTTTCTGTATATAAAAAATTGTAAACAATCCAAAGGATTTAGTGACTCTGTGGTTACCGTGGAAAGTGGTGCTCAGCATGCAAAGAAAGTTGTGTCCGATAGCCCAGGGCTACAAATGAAAATCACAACAAGCACAAAATTTCCGTGGGAGGTTGGAGTGGCCGTGGACAAGTACAAGTACAAATATAAAAAAAAGAGGGGGGAAGGAACAAACACTGTCAAAAATTCTGGCATGCAATTCTCTCATCATGCAATGCAGTTGTGATGTTGAAAATTGAGGCAAGGCCAGGATGCATTAGAACAAAAGGCTGTGGCTCGGCCAAGGAAATGAATAAGAAGAAAAAAATCAATTCTAGGCTGGGACAATGTTAACTTTTGGTTTTGCAATGATGATGTCAGAAAAAACCTGAAGTCAAAAAACGTGATTTTGTTGTTTTTCTATGACATTTTTGTTCCTGTCCTAATTCAAAAGGTGATATTCTGCAAAAAGCGCTGACTTTTTTGCAGTTATTGGATATTCCATTTTGAAGGACTTTCTACGCAATTCTCACAACTGATAGTTAAGGCAATGTTTGTGCAATTGAGAAAGTTGCAATGTTTTAAAGCAGTGGAGTCTTGTACAGCCAGTTTTGGCTGGCACAGCCATCAATGGGGTGATAGATACGTCTGTGAAATACAGGTTCATTTTAAAGAAAATATAAGGAGATACAAACTCTTGTGTCAGGCTCACTGATGCCTTTGTCCACTAAAAAACAGTTTTCAGTGACCCACTGTTATAACTGTAACAAGCTCCAACAAACCTGTATCAATTGTCTGTTGTTTAAGTTCTCTCAGTTTCCTAGCAGCATAGTCACTCTCAGGTTTGTAAAGAGACAAAATGTTGTCCTTTCGGGATGGTTCAATGCCTTGAAGCTTCTCTTCAACATGTGAAGAGCCCCGGAAGTAAAAGTAGCCATAGTCATACTTTTTGCGGAAAGAAGCCTGCACAATCTCCAACTCAGTGATACTGTTATACCTATGTACAGAGCAGAAACAAAAAAATATTGTTGACCTGCATGTGAAAAGTTTTAGAGAGGAGGAGCCTTTGTTAATTAATCAAATATTACTGTTGATTTCAATGATATTCCAATGGTTGTCATTGATCACAATGTACGTGTACTTGTTATGAATTAATAGGCAATGGCAATTCATGCAAGACTTTTTGATTTTTTGGTCAATCACTGGTTAATCAATATCAATCAATATCAATCAGGGATGTCACTAAGATTCCAAGTTGCCGGGTCAATAAGTAGGCAAGGAATCAAACAGTTACATGTAGGGATTTCTTTTAGCTCTATTTTTCTTCTATTTTCCTATGAAAGTAGCCTGGGACCACATTCATAGTTAGCTGGGGGAATCTCCTGCCCCCGCCTCTTAATGACAGCCCTGTAAATAGTTGATTATTAACTTATTCTATTGATTAATTTTCATTGATCAAAATTTACCTTTCAGGGGAACAATTACCATTGATTGAATACCCTGGGAGTAACGTTGCATGGAACTCAACCAAGTTCACCCAAACGTTAATAAGCCAAACTTAAAGTCATATTATAAACTAGGGTATCTAAAAGATAGTAATGCTGCGGCACATTCTGTTGATACTGGCATTAGTTAGGCAGTGAGACTTAAAAGAATCGAAAAAGACATTGAATGTCCTATTTACATGTTGAAAAGTACTAGAATAATTACTATCAGTCTATAGAAAGAACTCGTGGTAACGTTGTTTAGAAAATGATCAAGTGGTTATCAGCTCTGGTTTTCCCACAGTAAATTGTAGGAAATGATAGAAATTCAGATTGTTTATCCATATATTTAATAAACGGTGTACTACCTTTTCTCTGGAAACACGATACTTTTCTTGCTGTTTATTGCACTTTATTAAGTAACAGTTATTTAGCTTTATATTTAAGAAAACAACAACACAAAAGACAGAAAAAAAAGAAAGAAGGGAAAAAAAAGTTCGGTAGGACTCGAACCCGGCACCATCGGCTCGACGTGACTACATCTAACCACTACACCACAGAGACTGGTTACGTAATTTTGGGTAAAGTCTTTTATTTAATGCCTTTTCCATGAAACTTCCGCCGGCAAGATGATCGCCAGCCGCATTAATCGAGCTATGAACAGTAAAAGCACAATATAAACGCATATTCCATGGCAATGAATGAATGAAAGAACATAATTATGCTTTTCAAAACGCTGATACACATCTTCGTCTGCAATGTAGGACACAAAACACATGTTTTGTTATCTCGATTTCCGCTGTTATTTGGAAGCGAATGGTCAAAATCACATCCATTTTCGGCTCATACAGGTTCTTAAGAATAGCATGGCATGACATTTTCTCACTTTCATAATCACCTTCTACCAAGCTTGAATTTGTATATCCCCCGTGTTGCGGAGTCGGCGAGCAAATGCTCATCTTCTCGTCAGGTTTAACACCTGGACGTTTCAAATTAAAGGCTCTTGAATTGAAATTCAATCCCCAAGTTAACCATCGTACTCATCTGAAAGACTCCTGCGTGTCTTAAATTTGGTAAGACCTGTAACCGTGCTGCAGAAAATTTGCTACAAAGAAAACTCTGAGTCTGGGCAGCGAACGATACGAACTTCCCCGTGCTTTTAATTTGAGTTGTTCGTGGCGCAATGCACTCTGGTCAAATGCAATGCATTGTGGTAAAAAGTGTGGTTAAATGCAATGCATTGTGGTAAAAAGTGATGAATTCGAGAATTCGTCGCCCCTTATATATTTCCCTTAAATCCTGATTATGTTGCTGCTCGCTCCCTACGGTCGCTCCGCAGCAAAAACAAATTCCAAAACTCAGAGCAAAAAAGGGGTTTAAAACAAATTAAACATTTGTTTGAATTGCTCAGACTTTATCAGCAAAGTAAAATGAGGTTTGATTACATTTTAACAGAAAAGCTGTTACACATTCCCAAGAGAGGATTGTTAATGGCCCAGAGGTCTAGTCCCTCACCTCTTTACACCTTTTTTGCTCTGAGATTTGGAAATTGTTGTTTCTAGTGTAGTGTGGTTCCAAAAAATATCCATACCCGGGGGGGGGCACTTGGGTATTTTTTGGGTGGGTATGTGCCGCCCGGAACTCCTAATTGGCACCCCGTTCTAAAAAAAATTTCCTCTAAAATTGATACCCCGTTCTAGAAATGAGCCAATTTTCTATACCCCGTTCTAGAATTCGCCCTTAAACTGACACCCCGTTCTAGAAATGGGCCAATTTTTTATACTCCGTTCCAGAAAGTTTGTAAATTGAAATAGCCCTGTTTTTTTAAAAAGATATTTTGTTATTTGTTCGACTTATACATCAAATAAATGCTTCTTCATAATCAGCAACAATTTAAGCAGAAGATAAAGCCGTGATCCATAATTTTTTATACCCCGTTCTAGAAAACGCCTCTGAAATAGATATCCCGTTCTAAATCAGGAGCTTCAAAATCACAACCCCGTTGGGCGGCACATACCCGTATAGGTAATGAATGGGAGTACCCCCCCTGGGATCCATACCACCCCCAAAGAAGGGATTGAGAATTCCTGGCGGGTGGGGGGTTCTCAAAGGCCCAAAATCTTAAGTTAATATATACAAAGCTTTACTGGAATTTCAAGTAAAGCCAGTGGCCAGTGGGGGTCTAAGGAAAAATCCCTTCCATGGGGGAGGTATGGATATTTTTTGGAACCAAACATTAACCCTTTAAGTGCCAATAATATCCACATACAAATTCTCCCAACTGATCTCTTTTACTTTTCTTGAAAAATTAGTCAAGTTTATTAGAATAGGTAATCACATAATTTTGCAGGCAATTTGGAATAAATAAATCATATTTTTTTTGTTTATATTATTTATTCTTGTAACCTTTCTACAAGATTATGTATTGATATTGTTTGGAGAAATTTGATGTTGGTCACTCTTGGGGCTTATGTTAATAAACCAATCAATGGTCACATTTAAAACACAGGGGTCCAACTTGGTTCTTGGTTCATATGCTATATCAAAAATGAAAACATTACTTTTAGTGTATAGTTTTTGAGTCGCACCAGTGGCCCTGTTCAAGTTTATATAAAGAGATACATAAAAAATTACTTGCATTTGAAGCTAAGCAACAAATAAGAGTGTCACTTATTCTACTGGCTCTTGTTACATGCCCCTTTTTAATGGCTCAGTCAATTCCAAGCATGCCCATCCCCCTCCCCTCCCCCTGGGTATTTGTCAGGCATTTGTCATCTTGCCAGTCCCAGGGGTGGGGAATTTGACAGAAAACCTCTGCCCCGGGGTGGGGAAATCATCAATTCTTCTAGAGGTGATTAACATTGTCCCTTTTTCAATATTTGAACTTAAAAAATATGGCTATTTAGATAGCTATAGATAGATATTTCTATAAAGAATGTTTTTAATACATATGCAATGTAAAGACACGTGTGGTTTTTGCTCCATCACCACCCTACCCTACAGTTTTTTTTGCATCCAGATAAGAAACTGCTTCCCGCAATAATTTATTGTGATCAGTTTGCACGTGGAGAAAAAACAATCATGACATTGTTTAAAGAGTTTAAATGAAAAGACACTTTCTTTGTGAGCAAATGGTTGAGGCAGAAAGGCCTAGAAAAACTCAGCGAGATATTTGAATGCTAGTATAAACTTTGTGGTTTGTGTGATCAATGTGATGATTAATATGTTGACGGAACAGTTTGATCGTGATGAGAAAATACTAATGTTAAGCTTGTCACTTGTTTTTTTATCATCCACTGTTTTACATGTAAATGCCTTCAAAAATAAGAAAGGTATTGTTAAAATTCTAGTTTACAGTTCTATCATAATCATTGGTGTGTAGCTGAGCAGTTAACACTTCAAACTCTGGATCCTGCAATGAACTAGCATCTTGTCCAGGGGGGAGTAACAATACTCCTACCTAGGCATGCTTCATGCTATGGAAACCGGGACAAGCTTCAGCCATTTGGGCCTTTGGCTCCTGTGCACCTTTACCCTCTATTGATACTAGTCAGATCAATTTAATCTTTTTTGCAATAATTATAACGAGTAGCTAGCAGCGATTTGCAAAGGGTGCTTTATGTAAAATTGGGACCAGAAATTATATTACAGATTTTCTATAAATACAGCATCTACAGCTTATTTACAGGAAATCGCAATTTTGGTGTTGACTGTGAGGCAGGGCATTTGCACACTCTGGGGGGTTTTTGTATGAACTGCTTGGCCCCACCCTGGGGCTTTTTGCAGCTTTTCCAAAAGAAAATGACAAATGCCCGACATTAGTGACTTTGCCAAGTTTGAAAGTGATTTGTTGAAAATTACAGTCAAAGCAGGTCAGGCATACCCCCAAGATTCCATTAATGAATTGATTATTTGAAAAATGAAGCCGTTAGTCGTTCCTGTAACTAGTGTCAAATTCAAATCGGAATTCCTGCATGCATAATGAGCAGTGAATATTTTACAAGAACTTCTCTGCATTTGGTCAGATTGAAAATCTTTGAATGGATTAAAATCCTAAGAAGACATTTACATCAAATTCAGGGAAGCTGAGCTGGTAGAAATTTTGAAACTGAATCGCGTGTGAATTCACGGCTCATGACACATGCACGAATGCAGAGATGAATCCGAAATCTGCAACTGACTGCCAACGGACTCAACTTTCGAATAATAAATTCATTAATGGAATTTTGGGGGGGGGGAGTACGCTTGACCTGGCTTGACTGTAAGGAGGATATTGATCCTCAAAGCCGCAAAACTTTACAAATGTTTGAAGGATGGGGGGTACAAACTTGCGGCCCAACAATAAAAAGTCTGCAATTTTTTACTTCTTTGCGGAGCTATATCTGAGCTCGTTTTAGCAACTGTACTAATTTTAAGGCGCTCTCTCCAGTGGTTTTGACGGATTGTCCCCTGAACTGGTCTATGTCAAAAGTTGAAAAAACATATCATAAACTTCTATTTAACCGTACTAACCTGTTGTCGTCTTCCAGCACCCAATCGTATCCACAAGCAGCAGCTGTTTCAAAGTTCTTGTCAAGCCACTCTTCAGTAGCAGGATCCGTAATCTCGGATTCAGCTGCACGATGTACACCATACCTGTCCCCCAAGAGGCAAATGAAAAACGGAGCACAGCGGCCAATACTGTCTAGACACATGCGAAGAACATGTTCGCTGTTTTGTTGAGACTGGCTTTTGTTCCATCGCAGATCTACAGGAAGAAAAGATGTCCCCCGCTCCCGACAAAGCTTGTTTAGTTTAGGGAATACTTGTTCTTGTAGAAAGTCTCTTTCAACATGAAAGTCTCGAAACGTCGAACACACAAACGGACGGATCACTTGTCTCCTAGCCGCCTGACCTCGTGCAGTCGATAAACTAGATCCGTCCCTTAGTATCGGCATAAGTTGCAAGAAAATGACTCTCTGATTACTGAGGTAGTTTGTTAAACGATCCTGGGACGTCCCTTTTACTATTCACTCCCTCCAATAGGACTACTGGAAGTCTTTGTTCGTCAAAACACAACAAACTCCAAGAGCAACAAACTATGCAAATTAGATGCAGCAGAGAGAAACTGGGCTCCAACGTGATACTTCGGTGTCGAAACGAAGTTAAGGGCCGAAGAAGGGCCGAAGTGACGAGCGGAGGGAAAGCATCGATTGATCATTAATTAGGTGTACTGTTTTTTTCTCATAGGTATATATTTTTGTTTTTATTTTGTGTGTTAGCATTTTTCTTCAAAGAAGAAATAAAAGAGAAGCTCTCTACTCGCTCTCTACCATTTAACGTAAGTGAGCAGAGGAGCTCCCCTGGTAAGTGAGGGGGATGAATGAGGCGTTCATTTGGTAGCTTGGCCGATGGTTGAACGCTTTTTCAAGGGAAGGCAATAATTGGAGAAGGAGAGAAAGGAAGGAAAACCTACACACAATTTATTTCACATTGTAAAAAAGTTTGGCTGAAGATGCCTCAAGTTTAGGAGAAAAACACAAGGTTTATTGGTCACGACATGGGCTCCTGCTCATGACAACACCAACTCACAAATGAGGTAGAACTTTCCCGATAAGTAAACGCTTTTCATCGCCCCGGAAAGGATCTGTGTCCGTGAAGGAGATCACTGTAGCTTACTAGAAACTCTTGTCTTTGACCCGCGGCAAACTTTGTCAGTGATCTAGGAGCCCCGGGGGGTACTTTAGGAATTTTTGGGTGGGGATGTGCCTCTGGGACCCTGGGACCCTTAGCCTATACCAGAGCTGGTTCAGCTGAATTCTGCTACTCTAAACAAGACTAAACTCCCCAAATCCCCCCCTATCCTAGAGTAGCTGTTTTCCAGAAACTACTGAGGTCACTAGCACAGTCCAGCCAAGACGAAACCGATTTAACTTTTTCATAATTTGGAGTGGCAATTCCCGCTTTTCTTAGTCTAGACTAAAAGACCCTAAAGTCTTCAACCAATTGATCAGTTTCCTGGAAAATGAGTAAAACAGCTTGAAAACCATACCCTTCACAGTGGCACATACCTATACAGCCCATATATAGCAGTACCCCCGACCCCTCGGGTAAGTGCTTTTCGTAAGATGTTTCCTCATTGGGTGGAGAAAACAATAACACATCATTGTTTATCATTATTTCTCATTGTTTCACGGTTAGGGTGTCGAACCAATTGGCTCTTACGGCCTTAGGAGAGCTGCTACTTGACGCCAGCTTTGTCACTGAATGCAAATACCGTCGGAGCTATGCTCGCAGACTACTGTTGGAAAGGTAACCGAATTCAATCGAAATGAAAAAGTCGATGTAAGAAAAAGGATTTTTTGTTGTTGTCACAGATCCTTTAGATTGTTCTCGATTCACCTATACAAAATATATTGATCAATAAAATTGTGAACTAAAAAAGTTGAAAGGGAAATACAGGTCATTTTTTCCGTGACCCTATAGTTTGCATGTGCGTATTATATCCTCTTTTATCCGTATGAGATGCTTGATCATTAAGGGAAGCCCGACTAACATTACACATTCAACCTTTCTATTCTTTTTGTCTGTTGTAAAACTTTCGCCGTTAATACCAAAAAATATTAGACATCAGTACGTTGCTTTATCCTTTATTTTGCGTCAACTCTGAATAATTATTCACGCAAGCGTTTTGATGAAGCCCCCCATGCTGCCGGTCTGACAAACTGTCTAAGAACTACATTGGCATTCCACTCAGTTTCGACCAGCTAATACCAGCTTATATTTCCATTGCTGTAACTAAGGCTTTCAAGCCCTCAAATATCTCTTCTCCTGTCGTGATGATTTGACTTGGAGGAAGAATGAAGCCTGGGTTTGCACCTCTAGGGGGCAGTTCAACTGTAAATGAGTACTTGACTCCCAGTGAACCGTAAGTCCAGTCTTCTGAGCCGCCGGCTGCCTTGTCTGTTTTTAAAGAAAAAAGGACGTAATGGCTTGCATAGTGTAACCAGGGATATGTTTATAGTTAATATGTATCAGGCATCTTCGTAAGAGTAAACACTGCATTAGCTTAGACAATATTCTATTATAAATCTAAAACGAAAACGTCCAACCCAAGTGAAGTCAGTATTGCAGACATTTTTCGACTTTTTTCTCTACAACTGATCGCTTAATTAGCAATTCAATCAATCGAGCCAGAGACATCATGCGCCCAAAAGAAAAACATGTAAACCAGTTTTGCTGACAACTTGAGCCAAAACATTCCTGCCATTATTACTGATATATCTCATTTGTCTTCCTTTTCGTTTGGAGATACAGTATTTCCCCTTTTCGACCTGATAATTAAGATGATGATGACGATGATGTTGGTGGTGGTCGGTTCTCTACAAGAAAGAAACCTATCCAGGCGAAAGGAATTTTCCTAACATTCCTAGAATCGTATCAGTAAGTTAGACAAATGGAAAAGTTTGCTAAAGGAATCTACTCTCTATCATGACCTATCATTAATAGTTTAAATATCTAATCAAACGGAAAGTGATGATCACATAAAAACGAGCATGAGAATTGTTGCTTACAAATTGGAGGCACAATGGTCTTAATATAATAAACAAGTACTTACAAAGTAAAACTGCAGAAGATCCGTATTTATAGCTTTTTCCATGCTTTCTTTTGATTGCTTCGACGGCTATCTTAGCAACCCTCATCTGGAGACAAAAGAAAATTAATTAAAAACATTTCAGTCAACTAGTTGCTTGGTCACTAAGCCTTAGTAAATGATCAGTAAAAGTAAAGATTTAAAACTGAAGATTTATTTACAGTTTAATAGGTAATTCTAAAATATTGTACTACTTCCATATACTACTCAAGATTATTTTATAGAAAATAAAAGCAGAGCAAACTCCCCACTTAAGTTATTAACCCTGAAATATCGATTCTGTAGAGGGACTAACTTCCCTGCTGCGCCTTGACTGCCGTGCCGAGAGCTATAGTTGTGCGCATGCGCATGATTGTTCTGTGCGTCAGCAAGCGTCAGCACCGTTTGTTCTCCTAAATAGGTAGCAAAAAAGCAAAACAAAGAAAACGGTTACTGAAGTTTTCATATCTTCGTTGACATCAGAATGACTAAAGTTCCTCAGTAATTGAAAACGTTACAGTCAAGAAGACTTTTGCAGGGACTGATCAAACAACGTGAAATAGAGTTAACTCTATTTTACGTTTTTTGACCCTGCAAAAGTCTTCTTGTCTGTAACGTTTTCAATTTTATCTATTTTGACTGATCACGATCTTTTTGGATCCGACGTTGAGCAAGATTGTTCGTACACGGTTTTTGCAGTGTTTTTTTACCTTAACTAAACATTCCTCAGTAACACATAGTTCGAGTTTATTAGCTCACTAGGCTATTCCCTCTCCCCCCACAACAGCTAAACTACGTCTTGACCCTCCCCTTCGAAAAAGAAGCCCCCAAAAAGCAAAAACAGAACTATATCTGAACGAACATGAAACTGAGCGCTCTGCAACAAAGGACAAGGATACTAGTGAGTGCAGGTGTCCCAAAGGTTTTGGGGATGATTGTAGTTTCAGTTTCCTAAGTGGATACAGTTAAGGTGGCTGAGCACAGTTTTGGCAGTTTGTGAGTATATGTCATTCGCCAAATCATGGCAAGGGAAAGGCTGCAGCTCACAAGCTGAAACTTGGCAAGTGAAAAATATACTGATGAAAGATTTTGAATGACAGGTAAAATTTGACGTTTTCGTAGTTTCCATGGCAACATGAACAATTGAATCTAACCGTTACATTTCGCTTTTGCTCAGTTTACATAAAATTTGCTCATTAGATTTTCCTATAAACTTGCACACAGCTTACTATAATTAATCATTACCATTTGAAACTTATTTGACCAAATTTTAACAGACGGGTTTTTAGATAATCAATAATATAATTTTATGGTAATTATTAAATGTGTCACAAAATTCATCTGTTCAACTTCCATTTTAAAGTTCTCATTATTTAAAATACGATAAAAGTAAAAATTCTGCCAAATATCACAAAATTTTAATAAGTAGATTTTGCAATATCGTCTTCTGTGTACCATTGCTTTTTCGCCGCCATGCTTGTTTATCTAATTTAAAACACGCGCCGTCACGCGAGTTACCGCTGACTGCCTTCAAAACTCTGTTCAGCCACCTTAAAAAGTGCCCTGCACTGAGTTCACTCTATTGACAATGCTCACTGACCTGTTCTTTGTGATCGTTAGTCTTTGTAGCAGTGTATCCCCAGGGAATAAACCACATTTGACTGAACGCATGGAAGTCAATAAAACCCTTCAGCCTTCCTTGCTTGTTTAGTCCTTCGAGATATTTACTGACACTCATTGTTTCTTTTTCAGAGAATGCTTTTTTGCCCCTGTACGTTTCATCACATTTATTTGGGCTAGCTCCTTCACCTTATGATAAAAACAAACTGAATTGACATCAATAATGATATTTCCAGAGGTTAAGATTGAAAAGCTTACATGTCGAGCTTTTACCCTTAAGTAAGTCGAATCCTAATTATGAAGCTTGTTCAAGAATGCAGTCAATATCAATATAGATTCTTATTAAGACAGGAGATCTGTCCTTTTCCTTGTGAGGTCCACATCTCCAGATTTATGTGGAAATATAACAATTACATATTTTTAAACTATTTATTTCTAGCAAAATTCTATGTAAAAAAGAACCATATAACCTCCCCATTCATAGCTCCAATTTCGGTTTAGATCGACGCCAACACAACGGCTACTTTTCTTGTTCTTCCTGCGATTCTTCCTCCACATTCGTCCGCCGCTCTGTTCCATGAAAGATAAAAACAGTACTAAGAAGCGGATTTGCTGTGGGAAACTGATTATAGCGCAGATTAACGGAGAACCTATAACAATGTCTCTATACGTAATATATCCTGGACCTCAGCAGGAGTTTGTACCATTTATAAACTAGCCATTCACTTACACGCAATCAGTCATCCAATCATAACGGGTCGGTAACTATTCAGTCATTCAGAAGCAACTGATTTACTTTTAAAACACTTTCATTCTTTTAAACATTAAGTCAATTTGACTATTGGTCAGCCGGACAGAGAGTCGATGAGCAGGGTAGTCAATACTTTGCTACTCAGTTAATATGCTATGAAGTTCGTGAGTTACCGTATAGATAGAGTAAGCAGGATAGATATTTAACAAGAAATAAGTCAATCCAACTCATTTAATCTGACCACAAGTTCTACCATCGAGGATGAGAAGGTGACCACGTATGCCTTTCTCCGTGATTACATTTAGATGAGCTTCGAAGTTACAAAATAAGGATGAAGAAAATAATGATTGTAATAAATAAATAATGATAGATATCATCCTGACCGTCCAAGTGTATTCGTATCCGTCCGGATTAAAAACAGGCAATATAACGAAGCTCATCTTGTTCAACATCACTGATGCATCGGAAGAGCTCTTCTGGATCATCTGCGTATCGAAGAAATTGAAACACAAGACAGTAGTAAAACTAATCTGAAAAGCAGTAATATGCGTTGTCGTCTACAAAGCGAAAGAGGATAGATTACTGAATATTTCAATTTTGAAAAGAATCGTTACAACTCAAGGTTTTCCCACGTAATGAACAAGAAAATGACAATGATGCTGCTGCTGCTGCTGCTGCTGATGATGATGATGATGATGATGATGATGATGATGATGATGATGTTTAATTACGGTCATTATTTTACTTCATATTAAATTCGTGATATCTCAATAAACCTGATGAAGACTGGTATTGGCCAGTCGAAATATCGTAACTGATCAGTCCCTGCTAAAGTCTTCTTGACTGTAACGTTTTCATAGTGATGATGATAATGGTGGTGGTGATGGTGGTGGTGGTGGTGGTTTCTGTATGTGTTCTTACCTGGTCAATGATATACATGCAGGTTGCTGGAGAGATCCACTCTCTGGCATGAATACCACATTGAATAAAAAACACTGGCTTGTTATCATCGATGCTGATCTAAAGGAGAAAAAAAGATATCAGTAAAAATAAACCAAATTTTCATCAAAAATCATTTCACAAAGAAAGTGCTCCTGGTCGAACTTAAAAGCGGGGTTTGGAGTAAAGCACATTGAACGTGAATAGTTGGTACCTTAATAGCCGGCAATGTCTTCTTCTTTCCCTTTCCCCTTTTCACTCTTTTTCTTCCTTTTCCTTTTTTTCCAAGTTCAAAGATTTCTGCCAATCCTCCACTTGATCTTCTCATTTCTTCCAGTTTGTCGGTAATCTGTAATAAAATAACGTCACTCACTAAGTAACTAGCTTATGCCTTGGATCGACAAAACAGACGAAACAGCAGCTGGTAGCTCCTTTTTTCAGCTATATGTGAGTCATCCATTTGGGAATATCATAAATGAGGATTTGTATATGAAGACGAAGTAGCTCTCTTTCAATCTTTATCAAACTAAAGACATTTGTTCATGGGCAACAGCTCACTGCTGATGTTGATATTAAAAGAAAAGAAACAAGAAAGAAACAGACAAAATGACCGCGATGGATTCTTCATAATCGGCAATATCCAGGTCTTTACCTTCCTTACTAGCTAAAGGCGGAACAATAATTAACAATATTATTATTCCTCGAGCCCGAATGGGCTCTGACTCAGAAGCCATGACGGGGAGAGGAATAATTGTTTTAGTAAAATTCAACTAGTTGGTTAAAAATATGGAGACAAAACAACTTTGGCTAGCAAAACGCGATTCAGCCGCGCCATTGTTTTGGTTTTCAAAGCCGGCGCTTTTCGCTACTTGTGGGCTATAACATATAACCGAGTAGTAGCTTAACCAATCAGAACGTAGCATTGATGATAGACCACTAGTTGGATTTTACTAATAGCTAATAGCGAGTGATGCACGGCAAACTTGTTACACCTTACTGGTACTTAATTTCGGCTTTGTCACGACTGTAAAAAATTCGCGGAATTAAAGACTCGCGAATTTAAATCCTCGCGAAATGTAAGCACGCAATACCCTTGTAGAAAATTCAAAACAAAGACACCGACACTGGTTTTACTGCTACGTTCTATTTTGTATCTTTAGTTGTGAAATAACGTTAATTTGCGAAGATTTCACCAGTGCTGTTCCTGTTTATCTAGAAATTTTAATAAGTTCAGACTTAAGTGAAGTCGAGAACGCGAAATCGCGAAATTTAATGCCCTTTTTCATATTTGGCTGTTGAGATCGCGAAAATAAAACCTGGCAAGATACTGCCTCACCAAAATCGCTAATTTAAGCACCAGTAAGGTACTTAAACGGAAGACGATTTAGGGGAAAGTCACTCATTCTCGTGTCATTTCTGGTAAATCTATCATGATTTATACCCTGCCCTTTTTTCCCGGTTAATAAGAGTTTTTTACCTGTTCTGTTGTTAAAAGGTCTAAAAGAAAATCCACCAATAAACTGACGGTCCTGAATAATTACTACATTGTTCCGGTTTCGACTGGCTTAATTTGTGACATGGGGACATTTCTAAAGTAACTTCCTTAAGCCCCACCTCATTAAGCGGGTGATATCTGGCGTGCCAGTTATCATTTCTTGCACTTGCTTCATTTTGTTCCAATTGTTCATTGATCAGCTGCTGTAAATTGTCAATTTGAATTGTGAATTCCATGCCTGCATGTTCTTTCAAAACCAACGAGAGTTTCTCGAAGTCTTCATCAGACACTTCAATGTCAACAGTTTGATTTAGTTGACTGGGTCTCGTCCAGAAATCAATCTGTTTAAGAAGAAACACACCTTCAACATTGAAAAAAAGAATATACAATAAAGGTCGTTTCACTTATCCTAGGTCAGTGATATGTCCAACAGGCGGAGGTCATATACGCTACATTTCAGACGGCAAAAGCACCTTGGGGCAGCGTAACCGAGGGCTGGGTCAGCACGTCGGAACCGTAACCTTGCGCATGGGTTTCTCGTTTTAGTTTCGCTCTTACTGCTTGCTGGATTCTCTTTTTGGTCGTAGCCTGAGAAAATAGCCAACATTACGTGACACCACCACTGGTTTCTTAACGGAATGACGTTTGAGGAACGAGCGCAGAAATTCCCTAATGATGCCCTATCCTTGATAGATCTGATTAGTGCCTCCAAGAGCCATAATGGCTCTTGGTGCCTCGGATCGGACGTGCCGCGAGGGAAACTTGCTTCAACCGATCAAAAGCGCTATCCCGATCTGGGAAGCAACATGTTATCAGTATAGAATTTCTGCGCTCGTTCCCCCGATCAGTCGTCATTTCGCGGGGAAACTAGTAGTGGCGTCGCGAAATCAAAAATTGTCGGCTGTTTTTGTTTTTTTTGTTGGACTATCGTGGTCGTTCCAAATTCAAATTTTCGCCTAGGCTTGTGTAAGTTAAGTGTTTGTCTCCAGCCAGTTGCTGTTTTTAATCCTGTTATGTCATGTTGACCAGCCTGAGTAGCTAAGCTAAGACCAAACTGCTAAATTAGTATATCGCTTCAACGAAGTAATTTGTTGTCAAGATCATCGCAGTCGTCCAAAACTAAGTTTGAGACAAATTGCTATTGTCATCGTCACTGTGAGTGTCAATACCGTTTCGTGTAATCTATCATATTTAGACATGCTGAACAACTTATAAATCTGTTCAGTACCTCGATTTCGTTCTGCTCTTCCAGTTGACTCAAGATCTGTAAGTGAGCTTCCACTACAGGAGTAACAGAGACAACCTTGTAGCTAAGAAATGAAAAAACACAGAGTACTGATACGAAACGTTTAAACATGCCAGGTAAGCAAGCAAGAAATTAATTAACTTTATTCACATTAAAATTTGAACTATGAGTAAATTCAAGTCAAATCAGGCTACCATCCTTTGGTTAAAACGTTTGTGACACTGTCGTTAAATTGCAATTCATTTCATCCGGCCCTCCCCCTGGACAATATTAGGCGTCAGAAGCCAATACTTTATACATTTTACTCAGGTTATGTATTTCAACACAACCCAGGGGTGTGGAGGAGACAGTGGTAAGGTTTTAGAGTGTTAATTGCCGGCTTCTTACAAATTCCATCTAACGAAGACGACAGAAAAAAGGAGGTGTGTCAAAAACGCTTCGTTAGCTTTTTAGGTGTAAATGCTAGAGTCTTCAAAGTGACCGCATAGCCTCTTATTATTTACAGTAATGAAGCACACTTACTTTGATTAAAAGCATTGCCCTATAGTCCTTTCCCATGTTGCCGAGTTATCAAAAAATATAGACTTTCCAGAATTAGTTGTTGTTAGTTAGTTTCTTACCTTTGAACGAGTAAAGCCTGGTGTCGAATAAGCAGGACAAACACAGTTGACCATAACTTCATGGTCCTCATCTTAGGAGCAATAGACAGCAAATAAAAGGTACCTTGATAATCCACAAGAAAAATACCTTAATTTTATGACACTAGCTTACACGCATCATAATTTTAAAAAAGTGAAACTCTTGCATTTCTGAATGTTTCCTTTTTGTTGCGCTTTATCAAACAAAACTATGAATGATGCAACTTGACAGAAATCTGAATTTCAGACGATTACCGTCGACTCATTTTTACTCTCTGAGAGGTGAAAACGACTCGAAGTAATCGTCTGAAATTCAGGCCGACCTGACATCAGCTAAGTGATAATTAATTTTGTCAGCTTTACTTTTATTTTTGTGGATGACACCATATTGCGTTTGTTCATATCTTCTTATTAGTCAATTATAATACTATTTTAAGTCCTCTTAAGGTAGCAGTAAAAGAACTAATCGATTTGTTAAATATCTTGAACCGTTTGATGTTGTTATTTCCTGCCAGTGTACTGTTGATGGTCGTCACAGTCTGCAGCGAAACTAGTTCAGTTCACGGCTATGCTTGTCACCATGGAGATTGCTAGTTTTAGAAAATATTTGCTTTGCCTTAATATCTGAAAACAAGATTCTCGTTTATTTAGGTCCATTCTAACAACAAACTCTGAAACTCCTTGAATCATGTTTCGAGAAAACATAATTGCTTAGCAAACAGAATTGGGGGGAAGACAAAAACACTCACGTCTATAGGTCTCACGTCTCTATTCCTTTTTCCTTGAGATGGAGTTGCCAATTCTCAAAAACAATTTTTTTCCTTGATTTAATACTACTGATTCATGTGTGGGTCTGGGTTTAATTTCAACCTTTTTTCTTTTTGCCAGGGAAACTACAGAAAACATCAGAAAACTACTTCTTCATCGGTTGAATCTTCGATTAATTGTAAGAATATAAAGTTTCAGAAATAACCTCTGATATTTATAAATTAAGTTATCTTTCCTCGTCTATGCCAAACTGAGTCTGGCTGCAGTCTGAAGTTTACTTAAGAGATCCTCACAATTCAGACAGTATTCTTGGAAATTCAGCAAGAAATGGCTTTCTTCGCCAAACATTGCAGTAACCACAAAGATTTGGGAAGAAAAACAGTTTCTTCTTATTGTACGAAACTAATAAAAGAGAGCTTGGTTGAATTCATTTACTACAGGAGCATGTCATTTTTATCTGATTCCAAAACAGTTCAGTCGGTTTAATGTTCACTTACTTACTTTTTCTACAATCAGCTGCGTTCCGTGTTTTCCATCCGTCTCACTGAGACTTAAACTGGTCACCTGAACAGCCGATTACTGCCAACTAATTAATCAATCAGTGTAATAAAAGTACTTGAATTATTTCAGTTAGTTGCCTGATATTGGCTTTTGTTCATTTCACCTACTTTATATTATAATCAGATCCTCTTTTACAGTGCGACTACTCGAATCGGGGCGCTTGGGAAATTATCCAATCACAACATTTTGTGAAAACAAAAGATTCTCAAGGTTTTTGCAAACGGACCAATAAAATTCAAGGTTCATCTATGCAACCGTTGAAAACTTTAAAACTGTTTGAACTTACCTGACATCTCAGGAAACAGCCCTCAAAAAAAGTTGAGAATCTTTTGTTTTCAAAAACCGTTGTGATTGGATAATCTTCTTCCAAGTGCCCCGGTTCGAGCAGTCTCACTGTAATAATAACGACCACATACAATGTAAAGATAGACAAGCTAAATGATCCTGTAAACAATTATCTCAGTAGATAATTCTTAACGCAAATAACGGGATTTCTTCTCCGGCGATCTAGCTAATCAACTCTTGTAGCCGCCACGACATTAATCCACTTGTTTAAATGTCTGTAAGTTTCTTTTTATTTAAACAGGGCGAGATCTGAGTCCGATGTTGAAAATCATCACATATTTCGTTACGTGAAAAAGCGTCCGTAGTCAGTGAAAGAGAAAATAATTTTCTATTAATTCTCTCTTATAGTGCATCAGTCAAAGCAGTCAAATATATCAAATCGTATAGGAAAGTGAACTTTGTCTCGACTGGCGAATCATTAGCATGATTTTTAGCATGCCAGCCTAGCGTGGTATGTTGCTGTCTAATCAGTATTCACTCAATAACAGAATTCTTCAGAATTAAAATCTAGAAATTTGAACTCAATGAAAATAGTAGTTTTAAGTCAAAGCTAACCTAAATCAGTCAGTCTATCGATTTATTTCAGACCAATCTGTGAGATCGTTGAAGGAAAAAGCCGTCTTCTTTGCCGCTCTGTCATTAGCGCAGTGTAACTTAGTCCATTTCTCATCCCCATTTCGTATGGAATCACAAGTAGGTCATTAAAACATAATTTAAATAACAATAATAATAATAATAATAATCCTGTTGGACCTTGTACTCAAAACAAACATAAGAACCGTTTTGTGGCGTCGCCGTTGCATAGTCGACATGGCAACTACAAAATAACATCTCTTAGCTTCTAAGCATAGGTGAAAAACGGAAAATAGAGAGAAAAAAAGAAAAGAAGAGGACAGAATTTAATTTCACCTCTCAATTGACGAAACCAGTTTTTTTGTACCCCTTTTTAGTGAATTCCAAGCTCTGTTTGACTTGTTATTCCCATTCCGAAATAAGAGGAATATATTTCTAATATATTGATATAGGGAAGAGAGTGCTTGAAACACAGTACCAGGGGCGTAGCCAGCCTATAGACCTGTAGGCTCGGGCCTACAAATTCTTGGTTCGATCACTCTTCCGCTTGTAATAATTTATGCGTTGTTGGGGTGAGCTTAAAGGCTTTTAAGCTTTTTAGCTCTTAAAAGGGCTCAAATTGTTGGTTAGGTCAAGGCGTACTAGTCACGCGTGCAATTTTCAGGATATGTGGAAATGAAAGTCAGCCAGGCCTACTACTAGTCGAAAAGCTGGCTACGCCCCTGACTACGACCGGTGGCGGTCGATCTTTTCAAAAACAACGAGAAAGATTGACTTTGTCGGTAACAATAATCAATACTGGAAAGAAACAGATGAGGTAGGAAACTCTCTGGAATATTTCCTTACATCAAGGGAGGCGAAGAAACAGTTCCTGCATTTCTCAGTCGCCAAACCTCCCCAAATGCAACTACTGCCTCCCTGTCGCTTTTTCAGTACCTTTTCTCAAGATAACAATCCAAACTATCGCGACTAGAACATATTTGTATCGTCGAATCTTCCCTTAAGGTTAAAGGTAAAGGTTAGGCAACCACATTTTTCGTCGATAACTTGTGACAGTAATTCAACCGATAAACGTGAGGTCGATGGTGCGCTAATTTCACCCCCTTCACTCTCTCTCTATCAATGCTCCGATTTAAGGGTATTAAAAGTTAGTCAAAGCTGCTCAGAAAGGAGTGCAGTTGAAACAAGGATGTGATGTCATCGGGGACCAAACCCGGGACCTCGCGCACCGAAGGCCGCCCACTAAACAACTGTGCTATCCTTGCTCCTTATTCATTTTTTCTTTGGTTCACCAATTTTGGCGGGGTTACCACAACAGCACGTGACGCCAATTACTGCGGGCCGTAACAGTCCCTTCCCCCAATGAGACCACACCGTCGGGGACTACGTCCTCTACTCTAATATTTCTTATACAAAAAAGCGAAAATTACACAATAAGGAAAATCGAATGTACCTTAGTAGCGCGCTACCTTGCATTACTGTCATTTTCTCCGCTTTCAAAGAAAAATGTTTGTTTTACGTGAAATCTATTGGGCTGACTCGAAGGAAAATTCAGCCAAGAAGGAATACAAACAGGCTGCCTGGTGTGTAAAATGTAATCAAAAAAGATTCTTTATTATTTGTAGTCTATCTCAATCAGTTTTAAATCAATTGTCGCTGTTGATAGTCTCTTGGACCCAGTATTTTAGCTTCATCATGTCAGCGTACACTCCGTACCTCCCCTTGCGCCCACATCCTATTCCCCAGCTGACCGCACCCATCAGGTACCACTTATCACTTTTAGAGCAGACCAGCGGTCCTCCACTGTCTCCTTGACATGCATCGATTCCTCCTTTAGCATACCCTGCACAACGCATGCTCGAACTAATGGTGTAACCTAAATCATGGTAGGCATCTTGACAAGTAGCACGTGATTCCAATGGTACTTTGGCTTGGTGTAGAAACTGACGTTTTATCAAAAGAAATAACATTTGGTTACTCACTGTACAAATTAGAATGGAGCCATATCAAACAAATGACCGGCCTTGGTTTTAATGAACACCTAATCGCACTAACGATGTCTTAGAAAAATACTAAAAAGAAAAAAAGGAAAAACGAAAGTAGTAATTACGCTTACTAATAAACCACTCATCTAGGATGCACTCATTTGCAGCACATGGGATTTGAAACGTAAAACAAATGTAAATGCAACTTCTGTAAATTGGTGAACCTTAGCCGGAGTAGTTTATAAGCAAGTCTAATTAATTCCTATTTTGCTTCTTACAATTGTCCCCTTTAGCATTTGTCTATGACAACGTTATTACAATTAGGTGTATATATGGCAGAGAAAGGAATTTCTTGCAACCAAGAAATTAAAAGGCTGTTTCAGCAGTATAAATATACAAAGAAACAGTGACACGTCGATTTTTAAGCCTTTGTCCTTACAGTGTGTTATTAACTCGACCAAAATAAACTGATCCAAGCGTAGTAATCTTTAACATATATCAGTTTATAAATGACATACCCTTTATGACTGTCTATTCGGTCAGAAATTTTCATATTAATAGTTCATTCAGTTAATATGAACTGAATCAGGGCTTTGGGAACAAAAATGTAGAGTCAAAATACTGATTACTGAGGTTCGGTGCAACTGGAGAATAGAAAGTTTCTTACCTGGGGGATGTCCCCTGCTTCTTCAGTGTGACCCCACCCTGTGACATAACATTTGGTACCAACAGCAAAGTCGAACTTTGGTAAGCACACAGGCCGCACGCGGTTATTGTAGGTTAGAGGAGACTGGAGCTTGATAAGAGCCAAGTCATAATCGTGGTTTTTAAGAGTGTTATATTTGGGATGAATAATGATTTTCTGGATTGGGATGTTCTGCTCGAAGCCTTCTTTTCCATTCAGGTTATATTTACCTGTGCAATCGCAAATATCAAATTAAGTATCAACTGATCATGCTCATTTTCTTGGCATTAATTGACTCTTTTGGGTCCATATAGACCTCTTTCCTGACCTATTTAGCTTTCCGTTTAATATCCTAAGATGGTAAGCAGCAAAATCAACAAGGGTGCATGTGTCCATAGGTACCTCATTTCGCAAATTACACAAAAAAATACAAGCAACATTTGGGGAAAATGCACTGCAAATTGTGCCATTCACCTCCTACTCTTTGCTGATTAAACGGGTTCCTTTCCTGGAAAGCAGACCGACCAAAATTCGCGGACATCGGTCCAAAAAGGAGGATTAGGTCAAAACTGTTATTTTTTTCGGGATTAAAGTGTCAGGTATTTTTCAACTACCTCGATCAGGAAAGGATGCTAAACAGTCGCTATTAATATTCTGCTCATTTTGATTAATTTCAATGGCGGTTTGCTGATTCAAAAAAAGTAAAGAGAAGCCCCGCTGTTACACTGAAGACGCTTGAGAGCTTTCTCTCTTTTAAGTCCTTCTTTATTGCGTTTTTCTCTCTCTTCTTCTTTGTACGCTCTTTCTCATTGTTAAATTAAATTCGTGTCGTTTTTTTTAAAGGAGCGTTGACTATTGGGATGTTCCTTCACCTGCTACAATCCTGTATTCCTGAGGATTAACTCCAGATGCAAAACAGTGAGCCGCTGAAACAACCCACTGTGGACTCACAATTGAGCCTCCACACAAATGAGGTTTCTCGTTATGTTTTTTGTAATCCATAGTCACCTGCCACGGCCAAGCTCCTGGTTTGGCGATGGTTCCTCCCACGATTCTAGAAGTTTGTACTCTGGTTCCACACTCGACATTACCTATAAGTAAGACTTGGATATCGAATAGCTTTACGATGATAGAAACTGAACTAAGGGTTATGGAGTCCAAAAGAATCATTCAGTGTGGCTTTTCAAAAAGTACATCACTTGCGTAGCTACTTGCGTGATTCAATCACCTCAAATTAATTGGTAGTTTGTTTCCAAAGTGAATCGATAAGCTACCTTCTCAGGGTCATTACATTCAACCCTGAAAAAATGGATTTTACGTGAAGTTGTCATGTTGCGAAATGTCATCGCCATATTTACTATATCGAAAAGTATTGACAGTAACCAGCTTACCATGGTTAATTGGTTGGTCAGTTGGAGGAATTGTCGTAGCAGCTATATATGGGAATTAAAACAAACAGTGCAAGAAAATTTTGTTAAACATTGTTTTTAAACTGACATTATGAACACACCCATCCTCCGATAGACAGGGCAATTAGTCTGGTCAGCGGGAGAAACTCCTCCAAAAAACCTCTCACTCCCTTGCTTAAAATCCTCTCCCGACCAGAGTGACTGCCCATGTGTCTCTGACCATGAAGTACATCCAAAACCTACAACAGACATACCTGACAGGCTAGGTTTTTGTCAGAGCTCGAATTTCCCATATGTAATTTCTTTATTAGCTATGCTATCCTAGTCATGCTGGTAGTAGTAGTCATTTCTTTCTCCATAGATTAAACAAGTTTACAAAAACAACAAAAATGGCCAAAAACATTAAAACTAATGCATTTCCCTAATAGATGAAGCGGACGTGGATCGCTAGTCATCACGACGGGAGAAGGCGCGGCAAAAAATTTGTTTATTTTAAGTTAGTTTTTGCGCCTTTCTGCCTGAAGGTGCCTCACGATTCAAGTCAAACACGAAAAAATAGCGCCTATTCTGCAGGCTAACATAAACCACTCCTGATTGTTCAATGAATCTCTCATAAGCGACCACCTCTGGTTACGACCAACTTTGTGAAACCCCGTTTCAACTGTGAATTAAACTTTGTAATGAAAAGCTCTCCTAAGCGACCGGTCCCGTAAGCGACCGCGACCACTTTTGGGATTACCCTACTTGACTTTTCTTTATTTTTTAGCTCTCTTAGGCGACCACCAGTGTCTTATTCATATAAATCAGCTTTTTAATAAAACTGCACACTGCGCTAATGGTTCTAAAATTTAGATTTGGGGTTATTTCGGTCTAAAGAATTGGACGTAAAGATTAATTTCGTTTGTTTTTCTCTATGTATTAATTGAGTTTCTGAAGCGCTCGTAAGCGACCAGCTCTATTTACGACCTCTTTTTCGAATTCCGAGGTGGTCGCTTGCAAGCGCTTCGACTGCATAAATAGGGCCAAGGTTATTTTACAAAGCATTATTATATGGCTACAATAGTACGCGTGCTCTGATTGGCTGCTAAGCGGCAAGATTTTCTTGTAATGACCGGGCATTACTAGCTGGTTGCCTAAGGCATATACAATCTGTGTTTAGTGTGATAGTGGATCATCCATATTATGGTTAAGTGACAATAGTCTAACAGTTGTCAAAAAAGGTATCGGCTAACCAGTGTCACATGACTGTATCGCGGGCTCAAGTGTAACATTTAGTTCGGTGACGTGTTTTTTTTTTAAGTTATCCGTTGACAAGTTATTTGTTTTGATTACTCGCAAAAGTCTCGAGTCCAAAATTCTCATCGTCCATTGAAGAAACTGTGTTGCATCGCCGGGTTCGTTTTGGTTGAGGGAACACGACCTCAAATGACCTCTTGCGCGCGGATGTTAAAAATTACTTCCGTGGTTTTTTATTGTATTCAATTAAAGATAAAGACGCTAAAAAGGCCATATAATAAATAACTTATTAACCTCCCGGTCATTACAGGAAAATCTCAGACCTCAGCCTTGATGTTACTGACTTCGCTATCGCTCGGTCTGAGATTTCCCTGTAATGACCTCACTCTCTGTTAATAAGTGGTATATAATACACACCGTTACCTTGGCAGAAGCCGCACTTAGCAGGACAGTAATACTTCATTGATGCTTCATACTCTTTGTTGCCACAGTATAACCTGTACTTTTCACAGTTTTGGAGCCTGTCACTACAGTCTACTGTTGAGACCTTTCCACAGAATTCACAAGTCTTTTTACAGTTTTTCCTCAGAAAGGCCTCGTAACTCCCACTTTGACAGTAGTCTTTATAATGATCACAGTACCCACTTGTGTCCTCGCAAGCTATAGCATAAAAAGTTCAGTCAAATATAACGTAAATCAATACAACACGCCGTTTGACGACAGCAGTGAGCTAATTGAACCACAGTCCTTATACAGTGCTTATTGCAAGTCAAGTTTTGGAAATATTTTGAGCGACGGTTTATCTGTTTTCCACTATCTGTAAAACAAAAGAAAAATAACTTATCCAGTTTGTTTGTTTTACAGTATAAAATGGATGATTAACAGATCATAGCAATTGTGCATGTTGAAAAGCCTGGCGTTGCCACTGCCGAATAAATGGTGGCACAAAGGCTGTGTGCTTAGCTGCCTCTATTTCTTAGCCAACTTAGTGAATGCACAAAAAATATAGAACCCATCTTTTATAGAACGATGCTCTCGAGAACTCTGTCCCACTACTTCTGTAGTACCAAGGAGTTAAAAATAATCGCAAATTACGCAGAAGTTAAATTGACTACATACCGAAAATTATCAACGACTCGCTGAAGTATCGCTTCTTTTTACCAACCTTTTCTTTTTATCCTGAGCTTAAATTTTGACAGTAACCTCAACTCATCTTTAGCTACACCTGAAAAAGTTACTGAGATGATGCCATGTCTTAAAAAAGAAGAAACAAATATAACATATGAAATTTGACAAGACATGCTGGAAACCTGTGAATGAAACGTGTTATGTTAAATTAAATACCCGCTACCTTCTGTACGTGTGCGCGCGCACGAAATTTTATACTTTGTCACAGGTCTCCAACGACAAATCTTATGCAAACGGTAAAATAGTTTTCTAGAGTTAAGTTTCCTTAAGGTTTTGTCAAATCTAGAGGCAAAAACCTGGCACCTACGTGTTTATTTCAGTGCGTTTTCGCCACTGAAAGATTGAACTCGTTTTATGTAGAACTTAGTCAGAGAATGTATGCTGTTCTTAACAGATTTCATAGTGGCAAAGCTTAAGGTGGCTCGACCCGGTATTTTTATAGGCACACTCTCCATCTTTGAATCTCTTATACTTAAACAAATCTATCTGTACTGTAAAATGATTATGATACATGGATTACACTTAGACTAAACTTTATCAGTGGTATAGTTTTTTGGGCGATCGGAGTAAATGTCACGCGGCAATGACGTCACAATGGCTTTAGCTCTAAATCGAATTTCAGCCCTGTTCGGCATTTTCTTTTAAAATGCTTTAAGCGTATTCTTTGGATAAATGTTATTCTGCTGTGCGAAGTTTCACAAAAATCCTTAGGAGGAATTTTAAGAGATCTTGGAATTTCTATAAAAAGGGTTTAAATTATGCTTGCACTGAAGACTGGACTTAATGCAGACAAATTTGCCACTTTTTGGGTGTTTCCGAAAAAGGTTTTATCACTCATTCGTTTTGCAAATGACCTTTAGACACTCTAGAAGCTACTGAACGCAAGTAGACTTGCGCGATTTCGAAACACAAGAAAACGCATGAATCAGGGTGAAACGCAATGCTGAGCTCTTTTTGTAATTTCTAAGGCTACGTACACGAAAACAGCGATTAAAACAAAATTCGTCGATAGATTTTTTAAAAACTTTTTTAGTACGTTAATTGATCTTCACTGTACTATTAAATATCCGAATTTCGTAGACTACGAGGGGTCCCCCATTTTTCCTCAGGGATAGTAGAGCGTGCGAAACGCGAGCGCGCGTGAAAATCACCCCACGCGAGAAAAAAGCGGCACGCGGCGTGTCGCCTTTTCTCGCGTGGGGTGATTTTCACGCGCGCTCGCGTTTCGCACGCTCTACTATCCCTGAGGAAAAATGGGGGACTACTCGTAGTCTACGAATTTCGTGTAGATTGAAAACTTCTAAAGTTGTCTAACATGGGCGCAAAAGTGACTTGAATATTGAAACGATGTCATATACCTGGCTAAGTTTTTGCTCTGGGACTTTCTATTGTGTCGAGTTTAGCACAACATCAAATCCCCATGCAGCACGCGAGAATTTACCGCGGTTGTTTGCCCTCTGAAATCTATTCCCTATTGTTTTCTCTCATTCTACAGCATTACCATATTCAGGAAAGATTACCATAATATCATAATAGTTTTACAATACATATAGCTTTGATAAGTATAAGAGATTCAAAGAAGGAGGGTGTGCCTATAAAAATGCTGGATCGAGCCACCTTAAGCGGAAAAAAAAGAGATACCTAGAATTGAAGTCGCAGAATCTTCTTTAGATCCATTTGCTTGAGAAAGAAGCTCAAAAAGAACCAGAATCCAAACCCACAATCTTCCATTGGGGAACATTGTTATAACTTGAAAAATGTTCCTTGAAATATTGTTGAGTAGAAATTTTAACGCGGAGCTTCACGCGTTGATAGATACATAATATCTCCAGTGTACTGTATATAAAATAGTGATGAAAAAGCGGTACAGTATTGCCCACTCCAGAAAATACCATAACATACCATAATGCTATTTGTTTGTCACCCCAACATTTTGCAAAAGCATTGTCTTCAGTTTCTCTTGGGAGTTAAAATGGCCCCAAGAGAAACTGAAAACAATGCTTAAGCAAAATTTTGGGGTGACAAACAAAGAAAATTATAGCATGTTATGATATTTTCTGGAGAGGGCAATTGTGTTTACTTGCATATTAACCCAATCAAGTGTAGTCCTTGTTTCGAAAAACACAAGTTAAATTAAGTCGAGGATCAATAGTTTGTTTGAGCAGTTGTTGTATCTAATTAAGAACAATGGTTCTTTTTTTGCTAACCTCCCTTTCGAAAACACCATTTTTTATATTTTTGCACGCCTTTTTGTGCTATGTTAACACCGCAACAACAACCTACTGACGCCGTCTACTCTGCTAAGGTTCCGTTTGAGAACGCTTTACATTTCTCTCCGAAGTTGAAAGAAGGTTGCTTTGTGTTTTAAAATGTAGAGGTGCAGAACAAGGGTTTCCGTCAGTCTGGTGTTTGTCCGTCAAACAGTGACTGTTAAGAGACACCATGTGCACTACGATGTCCACGCGTAACAAGTCAAAAGTTCTCTTCGAGTTCAGAAAGAGAAAGAAAATTCCCATTTCGTCGTCGTGTTTACGTCCTTCATAAAAAAAGCGTAAGAAAATTTCTTTTTGTGATCGTGCAGTCGCGAAGAGGTGTGCTCCACGTGCAAAATTGTTGTTTTTCTTATTAACGCGCTATTGTTGTTGTTTTTTGGAAGTTCTCTCTGCCGTCGTGGTTGTCGTTGATGCGAGTTGGAATAAACCCTGTAAAAGTTTGAAAAAAGGTAATTTACTTTAATAGTGACGTTTTTGCTGCCGTGCCCGTCGTCGCTAAATCCGGTCAGTGTAAAACGCAGACTGTGGACTATTGTTTCAACCATGCAAATGAGAACGTGACAACAATAGTCCCATTGTTTTCTAACCCTAAAAACAATAGTCCGCAGTCTTCATTTTACACTGCCCCTCGCTAAATCTCCCTAATAGACCTCTTTAGAGTTTTATTTCTCAAAACAAGGGCGCCTACCATTTGTATGGAAAATCCGGTAATTCCGGGAAGAATTCAAATGCAACGGTTCATTCCGAAGGAAATTTTCCGGAAAAACAGTAATACTTTCCGAGGTATTACCTTTTTCCCGTTTTTACCGAAACAGCCGAAATTTTTTGTACCATTTGTGTGGTTAACCAGTGCCAGGTTTCCCCTTGAGGCAAAAGGTGATTTGTTTTAACCCAGGCCCACTCGTCATTTGGTGTTTTGCAAACGTACAACTCTAACCCATTCCTCTTTTCGAAAACGTTTTCAAGTCCAGTACCATTTGTCAGAAATTTTTTACCGAAATTTCCTTACAAATGGTAAGCGCTCCGGGTTTTCGGATAATACTCTAGAGAACGTTTTCTCTCAAATTTCGTCTTATTCATGTGCATGTGTACGCATAAATTATGAAAAGACAAAGGCCCAAGTTCCCCTGCGACCTCTATAAGACAAACAACACATACAAGCTAAAGAGGTCTATTAACTTGGATCAAACAAATATTGCTAAATACGCGTTTCCTCTAGGTTAGTAGAGGGCTTGAGCACAATAATGACAACGGAAACGAAAATGTCGAAAAACCACACTTTTTGATAAATTTCTTTGACGTACACTGCACGAAAGAAACACGAAAGAAGCGATCGCCGAAGGGATCGCCGAAGGGATCGCCGAAGGCAACTCAAGTAATCCTACCAAGAGAAAGAGAAAAACTTTGAAATCTGCTTTACAGATAATGGTGTTATTCAATTTCATCAAGACTCGAGAAAAGTCCCGTCAATTCATCCGAGACAAGTAGCCCAGTTTTGTTGCTGCGAAAGTACCATCTTGTACCTAAATCGTTAACGAAGAAAAACAAGCAATAGCCCCGGGCAGTTAATGCTGTTTTCACGCCATGTTATCGTTGGATCAAATTTTATTTCCCTTTGTTGCAAACACTTCGTCTAACTTTCTGGTTACTCAAAACAGAGGACAAGATTGTACCACAACATAGAGATATTGTTATTATTATTATTATTGTTGTTGTTGTTGTTGTTGTTGTTGTTGTTGTTGTTGTTGTTGATGTTATTATAAAGAGCAGTACTGATGAATGACTTTCTATCCAAACAGAAATACTGCGGAACTGCATTAAGTTAACTGTTTTGTTTAACTTTGTTGCTTTTCCAATAAAAGAACATCGTTGGTTATCATCTATTCCATCGCAAGGACCCAAAATCATAGAATGTATGGCCCTTAGCTGTCTGTCACAAGACTGAGCTGCTGCTTTTCATTACATTTGCTTCAGGGAGCTGATGTTCAAAAGCTTGAGGCAGGTCAAAATTATCTGAAAACAGAATTTAATAACTGTGTTAGGATTTCTTTAACGTAACGGAAAAGATCAAATCAGAAAGTTAAGCAATCCAAACGTTTTCGACGCTGTCCCTTGATCAGGTAAAAAAAAACAGTATAAGATTAATGACAGCATACGTACGAGTGCAAATCATAGAAAATCGGTTCATTAACACTGTCACAAGCTCAATTTGGTAAGCTTCCATAAATGTTTTATTGCCATTAAAATTTTTTAATCTTCCAAATTCTCGTTCATTCGACTTAGTGATTTGTACTGACCAATTTATTAAATAAAGACAATCTCCACAAGTTTGTGACATCACTTTGACGGCCTAATATTCGTAGCTTACCTGTTGAAGAGCTTTCATCAGATAAAGTCTTGCAAACATGGTGGGGAAAAGATGATGTCGCGATTCCTGTAGGGAAATCGGTAAAGATATTAAACCAACATCATAGCTACTACTGGGGCTACTGGGGTGAATGGTTGACTAGGGTGACTAGGGTGGCTAGGAAGACAAAGTTTACTAGGGTGACTTGGGCGACTATGCTGATTTGGTTGAACGGTGACTTGAATGACTGGAAAACACTCAGACCTTCAATTGTAGCATTCCACATATACTAGGAGACTATTGACTAGGATGACTAGGTTGACTATTGCTCATGAGGAGCCTCGTTCCACGGAAATCAGCCGACTTGTTTTGTTTCCGCAGTGTCTATGCTTTAAAAGAGCATCATTCCAAGGTAATTATCCAAGTTAGACAGCCAACAGTCACCTTTCTCCTGCTCCTTTTTCCTAGGCTGTCAATAATTGTGGTGATGTTTTTAGTAAAAGAACATCTGCTAAACATAACTAACTCTACAATATTGTTTGCTTTGGAAATACGACGCTTATTTAAACGCACGAGTAGACTGGCAGGGTTTAACAGTTAACCACACAAGAAAAGCTGGAAACAAATGAAATGAAATTCACCCAATCCTCAAGGACTAAATTTCATAACCTTTCTGAGCAAAAATGAAATGACTTGAAATCATCAAGAACATTGTAACCATTTTGAATAAGCTGCATGGTGGCACCTTTGAGAGGGCGGCAAAAAACCTAAGCAAGGTTGCTGTGAAAAAGACTATTTTCATTGGTTTTAGTTCTTACCCCAAGAATGTGCACCCGTCCATAGTAAGAACTGAATTTATGGCTCAAAGTGAACAAAAAGGAACAGATCTGTAAATAAATCAAACTGTCAAACTAAACTTTGCAATAACCGTGAACAATAAGAATAAAATGCACCATTGTTACACAAAAACAAACTCTGGTTGCCACGTATAAAAGTGACTTCACCAGTGAGTAACCCCATCAGAGCTGTTATTCACGCTTCATTCTAATTGTCAATGCTTTCCTTGGATACAATGGCAACATAAAACAGGTCAACCACACCACTAACCTACACCCAGCAAAACTGAGCGGTTTAGGGCATTTAATGCCAGGTTCATATATTATCACTCCAAGTAGCCAACTGGTTTCTCCTGCCATTTTGGATTTCTAACATTATTTTCGGCCTATTCAACTTAGATTGTATATTTCACTATCCTTGAAAAGACCTTTAGCGTACTGGAAAATTGCATAGTAGTTATATTTCATTTGCACTTATTCATTTGAAAGACTACAGTACTTGAGGGAACATGATACAGTCAAACCTCTTTAATACGGGCACTAAAGGGACAGAACCAAGTGTCCGCTTTACAGAGGTGTCCTTATTATAGACGTAGTGAATGTATTATTTTTGTCATTTCTGGGACCAAACGAACTGTCCGTAATAGAGAGGTGTCCGTATTACAGTGGTGTCCGTAAGGAGAGGTTAGACTGTAGAACGATTTTCCTCTGACCTTGAAAAATGGTTTCGGTACGTGTTCGTCAGTTGTTTTTATCAGCCAATGGATGAAACAAGATAGAACAGCGATGTATAAGCGCTATATAAATTCCATTATTATTATTACAAGATCAAAACATGGACTCTTCGTTTTCCAGCCAAAGAAAACCCTAATATGGAGAAGCCATTGTTCCATAGGCTACTCGTTTTGCAGTATGACATCAAAGCGAAGTATCGAAAGATTTCTAGAAAGTTCTTCGGGCATGAAGCATTTTCAACCGAGCGTTCGCTTAACCAACCAAAAGCCACGCGAGTTTGTGTCAGTTCTATAAACCAATCAAATCGCTCTATTTCCGTTCGTTTGTTGTTTCTGTTTCGTTCACGCGTTTTTATTTCAAGATCATGAGAAAATCGCTCTATGTAGAGAGTTGGGTAGTTCTGCATGTATATTTACCTTATTGGTTTGGATAATGACATTATGCGACTTCAAAGTGATTTTAGGCACCGTGCTCTTGATAACTGATGGAAACGTCACAATAAAGTTCAGTATTAATTCCCACTCATCCTGTGAAAGATTGTAAAGAAAAATCATAAAGGGAAAACAATCCGCCTTTTTGGTGTTGGCTACAACTGGGTTACTACCATCCAGGCAGCCAAAACAAGCAAATTGGTGGAACAGTGATTATTATGTCTTCATCAATTGAATGTGTTAAGTTGTGTCTGAGTTGAAAGGGCCGGTTCTATCAGGAAAAGGTAGATGAATGTGACTAAGTTTAATTAACTGTATAGCCATTTGTTTTTCTTCATATGGAATTTAAGATAATATATTTGCAAATACAAAAAATGCATCGTTTGAATAGTGCTCTCACATTGCAACAGGTAAAGAAATAAGCTACTGCAACTTACTTCATCACGAAGAAGACTGAAATCCACTTCTTGGATGGGTGGAAGAGCTGGGTATATACCTAGTAAACATTAACACATTTTTCGGTTTAACAATAAATCTCCCTAAATGACATCTTCCCAGTGAAGTTTGTAACTATAATATTAAAAATTGGGAACCAGATTCAATGGAGACAGGAAAATCAGTTGCTGTATTGGGGGTAAGTTATATCACTGCCGGTTCCTAAACCAAACATTATATATGCTATAACTGGTGTTGCAGGGTTTTGTTACATCAGGTATTTACAGTTCAAAGTCTGAAAAGCTGGGTGTGGCTTTGACTGTTCAGAGGAAAAATTGGGACTAATGTACAGTGCATTCATTTACATAGCTGCATTGCGAAAGCAGATAGAAGCATACACTGACTGTGTGCCCTTCAGTTGCACAATGCATTTGCAGCATAACTATATCTCACCAACCTCTGTGATTTTGGCACTTTTATGTGACATTTTTCAGTCAACACAAAGAGAAGTGCATTGATGGGAATACTCCGGGGATCTTTTTGAAGCTGTTCAAAACACTCACAGCACATGTTTTACCACTACATTGGAAGCTGTTGTGAGCAGACACCCTTGGGAGAGTGAAAAAGTTTCCATGTCTGGAGCTGGCTGCTTACAGGAATATAAAAATTCAGAATTCGTATGGGAGCTGAGAAGAAAAGAGTTTTCTGAAGGCTGCTGTAAATAGAGCAGTCCGCTTATGAGAGTGTCTGTCAGGAGAGTTCTATGTGCTTAAATTGCATTGTTAACCAGTGATAAAACACTGCAGCTGCTGATGTGTTAAACATTACATAAACCCTCTCCCTGATAACCCAGCTCACACACAATATAAGCAAAATTAATGAAACCCTTAATTGCTTGACATGTGTTTTCCATATATGACTGTTTTGTTTGTTCTCACCTTTAAGGACATTTTTCTCAAAGTTTTCGAACAGCTTAGCCAGCCTGGCACAGTTATACATAACAAAAGTGGCTTGCCTAAATTCTCTTGAAGATTCAGACACATCAATTTTGACCTGGAAATATGAAATAAAGAGGCTTATAAATTAATGTTATAGAGCAATACCCTCTTGTACTAAACTTATTAAGGGAGAGTGTTATGGTGAGATCTCTGGATAAAATGTAAGGGTTCAACAAAATGAATGAATCTCTGCCTCAAGTACCGAGCAATTGAACATTGTTTACATCAAAATGTTACATCCTTTATCAAATTCTCTTCAGTCAGTATGGAGAACATACACTGTACATGTAGGATATAGGGGCTAAACTTATACCAACTTGGCAATTTGATACTTATATCAGTAACACTCAATAACTCAAGTTTAAAGCAGAACAGTGTTAAGAGGTTATGCCCTTTAAGATCATTCAACTTACTTCGCTATTTGGAGCTATTGAGAGAATCTCAAGCTTAACAGCTGCAACTGCCATCTGATGAATTGAAGATTCCCAAGCATGTCCTAAAAATCGAAACACAGAAAGTATTGAAGGCTTATTTCTTTAAAAAATACAGCGTTAAATTTGCTGCTGTGCTAAGATGGTCCCATACATTTTTCTGCCTAGATGCATGCTTCAGTTTATAGGAAAAGAGATCGAGGTTCCCACAATGTTATCCAGGACATGTTTTGATACGATTGCTAATTATAAAAATCACATATTGAGACCAGCTTTTACAAACATTACTAGATTGCAGCTCAGTTGAAAATCTGATAAGGACTATATGTTATGTTCACCATATAACCATGAGAAATGCATATGTGATCACAAAGTGTAATGACTAACATAAGAAAAACTTCAAGTTTTTAAAACCATGATGTTGTGCAAAATGGTCCTTAGGGAGCAGGTCTACACCCAAGTTGAGTTGTTTCCCTTTGCTCAGAAGAAAGACTCACAATTAGCTCTTTAATTTTATGGAAAAGGAAATAGAGTTACTGTACATTCTGTGATGTTGTGATGTCAGCCTCTGTATGATGGGCTTACTACCAAAAAACAAGATGCATGTATTGTGTGATGCACTCTACTACTGCCTCCCAAGATTCACGTCATGCAATTCAACCTGTTCTATGTTTCTGGAATTCACATGTACCTTCAACTTTGTTGCCATATTTCAAAACATAGGACTCCATGAGCTGCTTTTCACGCACTCTACAAAAACAAAGTAATTCACTTTCAACAAGTTTTACAAGGTATAACCAGCTCATAGCATTGGATGACTTCAGTTCTACATGTAACTTTTATAGTCAAGAGCATTTCAGTTGGGTCACAAAGTATTGTTTTGAAAGCTGGCTAAGAGTTCCCAGCAGCCTCTAAGCAAAACCCGGTACAGGACCCACCTGCTTAAAGATAATTCTGGAGATAAGAGAGCTCTATTGTTCTGAACAATAATCCATAGTTTTGGAACAATAATATAAATGAAACATAATCTTAAAATTCTTTATGCAAACTGGGCCTCAGGACACCTTACAAAGTGATTGCACATTTTGATCATCATACTCAGAACAGCAGAAGGTTGTGCAACAAATTAATGCTTTAGATAAGAAGAAACTGCTAATGATCATCAGGGGTTTTGGACCCACATCAGACATTATAGATTTCACTTCTGTGGAAAGGTGTAATCAATACTATATAAGTAGAGAAAGCCACTTTATATGAAGAATTCTCTCACTTGAGAAGATCCATTGTACCAAAAGGAACTTGAAGTTTCTCTCCACTGTTGTTTACTGTAACAAGTCCATGAGTGACAAGGAACTGCAAATTAAGAAAAAATTTAAGCCAGTGCTTGCCACAAAATACTGAGCACTTCTGTGTTGTAAACTATGTAAAGTGAACTCTACAACAGTGGAGCAACATCAAATAAAAAAGGAACAAAGTCTTTACTTATTGCAAAAATCCAGAACTAAAGGCCATTAATAGATGCAGAAGTAAGGTTAAACCTCAGAAGAACTTGACTGTTACACTAGTTAAATGTTGGCTGTTCAGCAAAAGATAGTCATTCTATGCAAAGGAAAAGGTAACTTCCAATTTTCCTTTTTCATCTATTCGATAACATGGACAGCAGTAATAGATAAATAAATAAATGTTAAATAAATACCACAAATTGATCCTCGAAATAGGTGCTCTAGGTTTTAGAGAGGTTTTAATTTAAACAAAGGTCAATGTATGGATTATTTGCCTGTTGCAACAAAAAAAGTGGCTCTTGAAGAGAGATGGCTGTTAGAGGGAGTTCAACTGTAACACTGAGCCACCTATGTGACTGATTGGAAAAAGTTCTAATGTATTCACCAAGCTCAAAATCCACCATCATATCTCTATATCAAAAAAAATTGTCTTCATTATGAACAAATCAAGGCTTAAAATCTGTTTGCAGCTTAGTGTGGGGCAAGCCTTTGTTGTTCACTGTCTATAGCTATCAGTACCTGTTTGTTTGCCAGTGAAGATTCAGAGACCCTCTGCCACACAGCACTGACCTGCTGTTGGGTAAATGCTCTTCGACAGCTAGTAATGTGAAGCAGTATGTCTGCACTAGCAGTCTGTTATAATGAGAAGGTACCACAGTAAGCATGAAACTTACAAAATGTATGGATGGGGGTGTGACATTTCTCAAATTATGAAACAGACTCAGACACTTCACGAAATTCTACATAAATAACATAGGACAGTTCAAAGTGCAAAAAATTACCCAGCTGACCACTAACAGTCAAGAGTCAGTTGAGACACAAGTTCTCTTCTTCATCGTTAAAAACCCTGTTGTGTTTACTTTGCTGTTTATGATTGTCAATCAAAGAGGTTTTTTAAGATAATCCAATCTGCCACAACAAACAAGTTGCAATAACTTTCTATAGGACATTAAGGCCACAGCAAGAAAAATATCAACTATTAGGCTCTCTACAAAATGATGTCATCGCAACAGCAACTGCAAGTTCAATGAAGATATAGCTGATTCAATAAAGGCTGTTTTAGGCATTTGCAATTGGCAATTGGGCATTTGGGCACACTGAAGAATGTAATGATTTGAAACAATAGCTTCCTAGTGCCCAATTCCAATGCCCAAAGCAACCTCTATTGAATCAGCTAAAGTATACTTATTTTAAATCAAAGCTTAATTCTTCCCTTTAAAACCATTTACGATGTTATACTTAAGACAAAATCTGCTTAAAAAGTAATGTTTTGAGCTGTTTGTTACATTCTCCTGGTTAGTAGTAGCTTTAAATTTGAGCATTATTGATTGAAGCAGTAAATTAGCAAGTTCATCCTTCTTAATAAATATTACCACTCATTTAACCTACACTTTTTCCAACAAGTTCCAGCTTTGCTACCTCCTTTAGTAATGAACATGACAGAGAAACTGTGTATAAGAAATGAATAAAAATTACAGCTAATTTTAGCTTACAAGACAAAAAAGATTTCTATTTCTATATTCATACTTGGCAAAGGTTGCCCATCGCACCAAGGGTGATGTCACTTAATACAAGACAAAAACACATAATTATTTATGAGTGACTTAAAAGGTTAACATTAGATCCCATCCACCGCAGTCCCCTTCGGACATCTCATGAAATTTACACAACGTAGTTTTCCTTAAAGTGGTGGTAGTGGTTAAGCACTGCCTTTACTCAGGGACACCCAATGTCAATTTTCGGAAAAATATCTGTTTGGAAGACGATTTGAGATCTAGAATTTTCCGAACATTTGTTGTAAAATTTCTTGCTTGCCTGCATCTCCTAAGATTTTCGAACATCTAAAAAATGGTATAATTGCCAATTTTTAACGGATTTTTACCCTAAAAAGGTCACCTAGACTTTTCGGGAGCCTTTTTTCTGGCTGAAATTTTCAAAAAAGTAAGTTTTGATCCCTATAATTTTCGGACCACTAGACTTTCAGCAAGGAAATCCGTACAGATGAAAAATTTTTAGGGGATAAAAATGCGCATATGTCTACCGCCGTTTAAATACTAAAATACGTTTAACAATGCTATGTTTAAGTGGTTTTGAACTATATTCTCGTTTGTTGCCCCTGTTTACTGATTAGGGTTAAGCAGTCAGTTTGGAAATTGGTTAAGTTCTTTTTTGGGTTGGGGTTGATGCTATATGTATTTAAGTTATTTCCCTTCCATCCATCAAATCCTCAGTGGTCTAGTGGTTAGCATGGTACACAGAACAGTGTGTCACTTGTGCAAGTAAAGGAGGTAGGGGGAATAAAAGATTTCTTACAGACCCATCACAAAGACTGAAATTTAGACAGTCGTGAAATGTTGTTGATGATATATCAACTAATGTTTTTGCTAATGATACTAATAATATTATAATGATGACAATGATAATAGTACTGCAGTCAAACCCTGTTAAGATGAATACTGACAGTAGGGGCCATAGAAAGTCTCCATATTAAAGGGGTGACTGTGTTACAGGTCAAATTTAATTTCAGGTTAAATTGTTTTAACCTAGGTTGATTCTCAATTTCCTTTGACTCTTAATTAGTGCTAGGAAACAAAGGAATTGAGAATCAACGTAAGTTAAATCAAATTTAAACTGAAGTCAAATTTGACCTGTAACATCACTCTGCATTAGGCTGGTCATTTTGTGTAAGTCAAGAACACATTGTCCTGTATTTGAAAAAAATAGTGCTAGTGCTTTTCATCATCAAATTAAACATCTCTAAACTTCACAAAGCCATCATTCTGGGCACCTTACTTGAAAAAGGAAAAGGCAATTATAGCACACAGCTGATAATAATGTGTCCACATTAGCAAGGTTAACTTTCTGTAAGAATCTATTGACTGTGCAAGAAAGAAGTGTCTGTTGTGCATTGAGGGGTGTCTATATTAGGTGGCTTGAATTTAGAGAAAAAATGTAAGGGTTTTCCCCATGGACATAGAAAACGTCCATAATAAGCAGGTGCCTGTAGAGCTAGGTTCGACTCCAGCAGACTGCACAAAGTAGCACCTTCATTTGCAGGTCGAGTCTTAGGTGTGAAGGCCTAAAAGGTGTTCTTGATATGTGAAATACTCACCTGAATGCTTTTGCATATCACTATGAAAATCTTTGATGTCACAAACAAAGTTTCTGGTGGAGCATTCATATCTCATAGAGTCACAATTATACTTCCCTACTTCGACTTCATTGTTGCAAGAATGTGAAGCTGGTTCAGTACTTGATCTGATTGATTCAACTTGTTTGCTAAACTTCAGACTTTGTAAGATGTTAACAAGTTCTTCAACTTTCCTAACAATTTCAATATCTGGCACCATTGCGTCACCTTTCCTTGACATGCATGATGGAACAAAAATGTGACATAATTGCAGCTTGCTGGCTTGAAGATCAGGGTGTATATTGGCTTGGCACTCAAATGGTATTAATTTGACAGGCATTCTGCAATATTAGAAATACATATACACATAGAAAAAAATTCAGTAGACATACCACAAATCATCTAGATCTAGAAAAAATTCATACCCACATTCTCAGATGGTCAGTGTGATGTTCTAGTGGGGGGGGGGGGGGGGGGGGGGAAAAGAGGGCCCCCAAAACATGTGTTTTGGGGGGGGGTGGTTTTTTTTTTGATTGTATTTTTTTTTTTTTTTTGTGTGGGGGTTTTTTTTGCGGCTTTTTTTGTGGGGGGGGGGAGGGGGGGTGGGGAGGGAAGACTAATTTAATAAAAAAATGATAACAAAACAAGAAAAAAAAAAAACGAAGCAATACCCAACAGAAACAAGAATACATTATCAAACATTTCTGTCCGTGGGGTGTGGGGGGGGGGTTGGTGTGGGTGGGGGGGGGGGGGGGTGGAAGGCGGGCCTAAAAGGTGTCCTCAATAACCTGTGTCCTTGGTGGTGTAGGTTTATTTCAGTCAAGTTCTATAATTTGGTTTTGCCAGGGATTTAGTTGCTGCCCATATTATCTGGGGGTGGGGTAAGCATGGTGAGAGATGACTGTATGGGATAAGATATGAGTTGCAAATACATTTTATACATAGTTTCTGGTGATGTATTGCTTCCTGTTTACATCAAGAAAACTGTGTTCAAGACAACCCTAAGTTTCAACAAAACATGGACCCCATTCCCATCCCCTGTCAAACTGAGCCTTCACTGACCACTGATAGTAAATAAAGTATTTTTTTAGAGGTGAGCCCCTAAACTCCTTTCAAACTTTGACCCTCTTTAGGGTAAAATTTGAGCATTTTACTACCCCGTGTACGCCAGAATCTGAGTATTTTGTGACCCCATTTGAGATAACCGACATTTCTGTTTTTTTTTTTTCATTTCGCCCACACAAAATTTTTTTTTCATAACTGACATTATTGAATTACATAATTTAAAAAAAATGTTGTACTCCATGCATGTAGACCATGCGCAGCTAACATTCACACCAAATTCAAGACTTCAGGTTTAGAAGGGAATCTGTTCAAGACATTAAGACTCAAGATTGCAAAAACCATACCCTGTTCAGCAGCGACTACACATTTTAGCCAAAAAAGAAGGTGCCTGCAGTCCATCCCCACAGAGCATAGCGAACAGCTGAATAGGCATTTTAGTACACGAGCTAACAATAGACAAAGACAACACTTACCCAGTAACTTGTAAAAGTTCTTTGCTGTGTTCAGTAACAAGGGCTGTTCTTAACTGATCAAGACTTAAATTTTCTTGTTCCTTACTATTTAAACTCCACAATAAAGATGGATTCAGCAAAAATGTCAGTTTCTGTTTTTCAGGTGACTCAGTAAAAGTAAAATCCACTTTATTCAGCACATTGTAAATTACTGTCCCACTGACAAGAGATCTGTTTAGCTTCAACAAGAGATGGCCTACACTTGAAGTCACACAACAATTTTCAAAAAACTGAAGTCTGGACAAGCGACTGGTAATCTCCTGACAAAGTCTTTGAAAATGGCCCTAAAAGCATTCAATAGGTACAAATTGATTAGTATCATGCATGCAGAGTAAAAACAACAGTGATATATACCACACAAAAATTATTTATTTTACATTGAATTTCTTAGAGAATATTAACCTATCTGAAGGGTTCTTTAAATCAAATGCAACAATCAAAACTAGCACTTTTTGTTGTCAGGTTACAAAATTAATACATTTTTCAGTGCATACTGTTTAACATGTAGCCTGAATTTCAGCCACCTCCTCAGCTCGCTAAGTTTCTCGGAGAGAGGTTTCTGAAAGCAATAAGCATTAACACTGTCCAGTAATAATAATAATAAACTTATTTCTATTGCATCTATATCACTAGCTGTTATAGGCTCTTTACAATAATACAAAACATGTATTAAGATACAGATAAATTACAACAATAGGAATAAAAATAATCATCCGTAGTAATAATGATATCAAAAACAACAAATCACTGTCCAAACACATAAATATATCCATAACTCAGAATGAAGATTTTCTGAAATTCTAAAATGGGTAGAAATGCATGCAGTGTACATGTATAAAACCATTATCCTTTTCAATATCATAAAAATGCATCAACATTTTTCTTGTAATATGAGCCTATAAGCCTTTTTCAGCCTTTTTAATATTCTTGGTTTGCATGCATGTGACACTTGAGGTTACCATGTTAGTCGAAAAAACAATACAATTTCTTTTGGAAAAATTTCCATAAAAATAGAGTTTAGTTTCCAGCAAAGAGAAACCCTTTTCTTCTTGTCAATCAACATTGTCATCATGACGTCAGCTGCAAATTAACTCAAATGGACAACCAGCTTTCTATCCTTACATAAGTGTTGCAAAGTTTACAAAGAGGTCAGCATGTGCTTGAAATAATTTAATCTTAAGCTAAAGTTACCTTTGTAAGTAATGAGTTTGATGGGCTCTAATAGACAACAGAAAAGATTTTTTTTTCTTTACCATCTCCGAAGGAGGGGGGAACTAGGGTCCTCCACCTCTCCTCAAAGTTATCAAAAAATAGTCTAAAAGAAAAAAGCTTTTACTATAAATAAGTATAAACCGTTTTCCATTAATCTAGTACTTTAAACTTAAGCTTACATTTTCTCTGCTGCTTTGCTGATCTGATACACAACAGGCACGAACAAAACCAGGAAGAATTAAATCTCCACTTGCACGTTTCTTGTTCAACTTTAACGAAGATAAACTAATACTACTTTGATTCACTCCCTCAATTTCTTTTACAGTAGTACAAACTAGGGAGTTAAAAAAAAATAACATATCACCACAGTGCAGTGCATTTGTGTCCGCCATATCCTGGTCGCTTTTATTATTGGTCAGCGGCGAGGCCGAAGAAGTAAGTACTTCAAATAGGGTAATTATAATATACCTTGATCTTTTAAGGTGGCTCGTGCCAGTTTCCCTCTTTTTTGACAGTTGTAACTTTAAAAGGACAAAACAAAAAGGCAAACCAAAGCCATAAAAGCATTTTTGTAGATTTGGATCATACAATGAATGCTTGACTTAAAACAACCATATGTCATAAGAAGTTACCATGGCAACGTATCTAAAGGATTATTTGGACCTACTGTTTAGCTTCCAGTACTGATAACAAGAAAACTAAGCAGGTAAACTCTACTTTTCCTTGGACGACAACTTTTAGCATTAGAAAAGGAAAATGCACAGTAATTCAAAAAAAAAAAACTACGGAGCAGGTTTTTTGGGACAAAGGTCAGGAGCCCAGGGGCTCCTGGCAGTATAAATTTCCTCCCGTGGAATTTTTTAATTTGTTCTCTGGCGTTTCCTTTCAACTCTTACAAAATATTAAAGCAATAAAAATAGGGAGTCATCGGACTTGTTTTCTTGTAAAGGACACTGAAAATACTTCCAGCATTCACAAATTACCACGCGTGTTTTAGTGCTTGTAAAATCTGAATCCTATAAGAACATGGGCAGGAACGAGGCAAGAACATGGGTTACTGATGCGCTGTGTTGACTACCGCTGACTATCGAGTGTATACTTGCAGACATCTATCGAGTTTGTTTACAGTCTTTACAGAGAAGAAAAAAATTAACGCGTCCAATGACGGATTGTTATTAGGTTTTCTCGTTCAGTGCAACGTTTGGTAACTTGACTCACTTTTCAACATCAAGAGACAAAGCGAAGTGGCAAAGACAAAATTGTTTGCAGGAGACTTTCGGGAAAATCGACTGAAAGTTTTCAATTTTCTTCGTCGATCTTGTAAAGACGCTACACAGTAGCTTTGGGGTAAACATGATCCAAAACGACGAAATGTAGCCAAGAAGATCTAACTGCTAGTGTACTAGTACTTAGAGAGTCATTGCTATTTTAATCCCTGTCACGATCGATCGCACTGTGCACATGCACGTACTCCTTTTGAAACTTACGCTTTGACTGCAGAAACCAAAACCCAAAAAAGCTAGCAAGAGACTCTATTTCCTAACTCAGTTAAAGAGAGCGGGAGTTCCGAAACAAGATCTAGCACTGTTCTACGTATCGTGCGTGAGATCTGTTATTGATTATGCAGCACCTGTCTTTTTCAACGGTCTCCCCCAGTACTTAAAGAAAGAGCTGGTACGGCTCGAGAAAAGAGCAATATCAATAATTACCTCAGGAGAGTGCAACTCGGCAATAGAGGTGGGGTTAACACCCATTTTGGAGCATTACGTTGTCAGTGATCCAAACCATAAATTGAAGGCGCTCCTTCCACCAGACTATGACAACCCACGCTATAACCTAAGACGACAGCGCCTTTTTAATATGCCAAAACTTTGCACGAACAGAACAAGTAATACTTTTATATATGCGATGTCGAAATAGTCCGGGCTGTAGTTTTATCCCACTCGTATTCATGCTTTATATTTAACATATTTTAATATGAACATGTTATATATAATTTTTAATATTACCTTAAATATCAGTTTTCGACTTATTATCTAGGATTCATTTGTAATTTTCAAGTGTGGTAAAGTTTTTGTAAATAATTGCGTAATTCAGCCCTTGGCTGCGATGCAGTTTTAATAAACTATCTATCTATCTATTCTCTTCTTGAAAATATGTTGTGAAAACAGGATTTTACAGTGTATATAGAGTTATGTAAATGCGATTTTTGTTTAAAACAGGCCAAAAGTAACCTCGCACAAAAGTATTAAAACTTGAACAAAAATAACCGAGGGCAACTATACTTGTTTTCTGTATCTCGCGCGTACAAACGTCAGGAGTGGGATGCGCCCACAATGGACTTCCCACTTCATCTTATTCTCCTTGCACCAGTCAGAAATCTTATCAAGGTCATCCTGAAGGGATGTAATATCCTCAGGAGAATTTTAATGAGCTTATATAATTTGCTATCATCAGCATATAAGGCAAATGAGCTATCCCCATTGATAAACCCTGGTAAATCATTAATATAAATTATAAAAAATGAGGGACCCAACAGGGAGCCTTGCGGAGGCCAGAGGTAACTGTTAGCCAGTCAGATACTTCCCCTTTTACAATGACTCTTTGCCGACGGTTAGTAAGATAGTCTCTACACCAGTCCAAAAGGCTACCAAGAATTCCACACTTGTATAACTTATTTAAAAGTATGGAGTGATTTAAAAGGTCGACGGCCTTAGCAAAATCGATGAATACCACATCAACCTAACCACCACTATCAAAGGCCTTCGACCAGTCATGGTGCACCAAGAGAAGCTGCGTTGTACAGGATCTGCCTCTTAGGAATCCGTGGTGGGAACTGTGAATGAACTCGATAACTTGTCCAAAAACTGCATTATATACTAATCTTTCTTGACACTTGCCTGTGAAGGAGAGCAGTGAGATACCTCTGTAATGTTCAACTGGTTCTCGCTCACCGTCCTGATGAATGGGAGTGATGTTGGCATGTTTCGATAGTGTAGGAACTTAACTCTTCATGAAACACAGATTGTAAAGCATACTTAGTGGGACTGGAGACAAATGTGCTGTTTCCTTCAGCAGCCGAGCAGGAATTTTGTCTACCCCAGAAGACTTGCTGGCATCAATCTTTTGTAATATTCTTTGAACTTCAACTGTATTAGATGACAAAGAATCTGTGTAACAATTGGCACACTGGTCATCCTGGATGTTATGCACCAATAAAGAACGCACGCCAGAGCTTTCTTTGCAGAAGACAGAACGGAAATGAATGTTGAACAAGTTAGCTTGTTCCTGTGGTTTAGTTGCAATAATTCCACTGTAGGTACTAATGTCTGGAAGCCTTTTAGACTTAGATTTTATGGAATGATAAGGCCAAAATCTTTTGGGATTTTCCTTAAAGGGGCTGTGTCACGGCAGACCAGTTCATTTCGTTTAATTTTGCTAATTTAACTCGCCCTCAATCGCTATGGAAATTAAAGTAAGCAAAGGAATTACAGGTATATGACAAACTCAAAGATCCGAGACAAACAAATATGTCTCCTGAGCATTATTTATGAAGTTGCAAGCAGCGGGGATCAACTTTGGGAAACTGTTGGGCTGAACAGTTTTCAAAAACCCTAATTTCAATCCGTTTCAATCTTCTTCAGTTTTGCCCATCCGTGGCATCTATTGTTTCTGTTATGTTATTTTAACCTTCCTTTAAAGTTTTAAGCAGATATTTTTATGTTTCTCTTAATTTAACAGGCATTTGTAATTTCCTAATTTGGTTGAATTTCGTGACACAGCTCCTTTAAGGACGTCCGAAAGATGCTGCAGATATTTATGGTACTCTGATCTTATTAATTTTTTAACTTTGCTTCTTAAGTCCATAAGCTTTTGCCTTAGAGATTCTGATGGTTGAGCTTTCAATCGATGCCACAGTTTTTTCTTCTTTTTGATAGCGATTTTATAATTTTGTCGATCGCAAGTGCAGTGCGATTTTTGCTTTGGTCATAAATCTTTCTATTGGTTTGGTATCCGGAGTTGCCTAGCAAAGATTTCGCGACTAAGCTCAAATTGACGTCAGTCAGTCTAACGTCGCGTCTAGGTACGGCGGCTTGAAATTCGTTTCGAACAACGAAGGCGACAACAAGAAACCGTGGAGATGAAAGGCGGATCTGGTTATTCATCCTCTGTGAAAAAAATAATTTTACTGATGCTGAATCGTAACCGATTCTCCTCTTTTAATAGTATAGTCTATTTAGTAGTCCCCAATTAGTCCTTTTGGGGTAAATACTCTGACACTTAAATAAAGGTTCTTATGTGATCTTATCTTAGCCGTACAACACCGTCAGCAAGAGACTTCGCGATGGTTTTGCGAGACACTTACTGTCAAGCCAGGTCAAGCGTACCCCCAAGATTCCATTAATGAATTTATTATTCGAAAGTTGAATCCGTTGTCTATGCATTTTTCCATGCTTAATAAGCCGTCAATACACACACGCGATTCAGTTACGAAATTTCTACCAGCTCAGTTTCCCCGAATTTGATGTAAATGTCTTCATGTCTTCTAAGAATTTAATCCATTCAAAGATTTTCACTCTGACCAAATACAGAGAAGTTCTCTTAAAATATTCACTGCTCATTGGCACAGGTTGGTACAGAGATTGCAGCTTGGTACAGGTTGGAGCAGATTGGTGCAGTTTGGTGAACCTTGGTGCTGGTTTTTGCAGCTTGGTATAATCTGGTTCAGATTGGTGCTGATTGGTGCCGGTCGGTGCAGATTGATACATGTTGGTGCTGATTGGAGCAGACAACCAATCTGAATCAAATTATACCAAGCTGCAAAAACCAGCACGAAGGTTCACCAAACTGCACAAATCTGCTCCAAACTGTACCAAGCTGCACCAATTTGCTTTCATCGCCACTAACTTGCAGCAGTTTCCCCCATTTTTTACAAAGTTGCACCAGCCTGTACCATGCCTCGCCAAACTACACCAACCTGCACCATACCTCACCATACTGCACCAATCTACACCAACCTGCACCAGTCCGCAGCATCCTGCAACAAGCTGCAGCAATCAACATTAAACTGGACCATCTGCCCCAATCTGTAACAAACTAAAACAAACTGCACAAATCTGCTCCGAATTATACGAAGCTGTCTAAACCTGCAGCAAGCCACACAAAACTACACAAACTGCAACAACATACACTAAGCTAACTTAAGACACACCACCTGCACCAATCAAAACTAACCTGCACCAAACTAGTTCAATCTGCAACAACCTACACCAACATGCAAAAATTTTCACCAACCTGCAATAACATCCACTAGTTTGCGCCGACATGAATCAAACTGCTCCAACCTGCACCAATTTGTACCAACATGAATCAATCTGCACCAACCTGCACCAGTCGGCACCAACCTGCACCAAATTATAGCATACGGCAAAAACCAGCACCAGGGTTCACCAAACTACACCAAGTTGCACCAATCTACACAAAGCCACACTAACGGCACCAATCTTCACCAACCTGCACAAATCTGCAACAACCTGAACTAGTCTGTACAAGCCTATACCAGTCTGCACCATCCTGCACTAACGCACAAAAACTTCTACCAGCCTGCAGCAAGCTGCACCAAACTGTACCAATCGCACCAATCTCCACCAAACTGCACCCATCTGCACAAATCTGCAAACTGCAAAAACCTTGCCAAATCCGCACCATCCCGCACCAGTCTGCATCAAACTGCACCACATGCACTAGTCTGAACCAAGCTGCACAAAACCGCACCATCCTGTCCCATTCTGCATCTAACTGCGCCACCCGCTCTGGTCTACACCACACGGCACCAATGTGCACCAATCCGCACCAATCTTCACCGAGCTAAACCAACCAACACTAATACGCACCAACATGCACCAGTCTGCATTAAGCTGCACAAACCAACAACAAGCTGGACCACACCGTGTTAACCTGCATTTCTACGAATCAACCGCCACCAAGCTACAACCTGCGCTAATCCGCTCTAACCTGTACCAAGCTGCACCAAACTGTTTCAACCTGCATTAACTTCCATCACCTTTTAAAAAGTTGCACTAACCTGTACCATGCCTCGCCAAAGTATAGCAGCCTCACCAACCTGCAGCAAAACATGCACTAGTCTGCACCAATATACACCAACTTGTGACAATCTGCACCATCCGGCACCACTTTGCACCAGTCTAGACTAACCTGAACGAATCTGCATAAACCTGTACCAAGCTGCATTAATCTAAACCAACCTGCAGAAATCCCAACGCTTTGCACCAGCATGCACACTAACTTGCCCTACTATGTATTAACGTGCACCAAACAGCACCAATGGAAATTGATTTGCCAGCACTGCGCTAAACTACACTAATCCGCACCGACCTGTACCAAGCTGCACCTTCTGCAACATCCTACACCAAACCGCAACAATCAACACTAAGTAACATCAATCCACAACATAGCTGCACCAATCTGCAACAACCTGCACAAATCAGCACCAACCTGCAAAAAATGCAACAAGCTGCACCAACATGCAAGTCTGCATCAACCTGCAAAGATCTGCAGCAAACTGCGCCAATTAGCACAAAACAGCACCAGCCTGCACTACCCTGCACCAATCTGCAACAGTCCGCACCATCCTGCAATGATCTGCAACAAGCTGTACCAATCAGCATTAAACTGGACCAATCTGCACCAAATTATACCAAGCTGCCTAAACCCTGCAGCAAGCCACACCAAACTGCAGCAAGCTGCACCAACCTGCACCACTCCGAACCAACCTGCANGCAACAATCAACACTAAGTAACATCAATCCACAACATAGCTGCACCAATCTGCAACAACCTGCACAAATCAGCACCAACCTGCAAAAAATGCAACAAGCTGCACCAACATGCAAGTCTGCATCAACCTGCAAAGATCTGCAGCAAACTGCGCCAATTAGCACAAAACAGCACCAGCCTGCACTACCCTGCACCAATCTGCAACAGTCCGCACCATCCTGCAATGATCTGCAACAAGCTGTACCAATCAGCATTAAACTGGACCAATCTGCACCAAATTATACCAAGCTGCCTAAACCCTGCAGCAAGCCACACCAAACTGCAGCAAGCTGCACCAACCTGCACCACTCCGAACCAACCTGCACCAAACTGGTTCAGTCTGCAAAAACCTACACCAGCATGCAAAAATCTGCATCAACCTGCAATAACATCCACCAGTCTGCATGAACATGAATCAAAGTGTGAACATACCCTTGGTGTCTAACTAACACAAAACGCTGCTGAAGAATTAAGCAAGGAGCACTTAGCTTGATACTATTTTTTGGATGATTTCGAAGGCATAGCATGAAAACTTGATAAAGTTCATGATGCGTTGGCCCCGCTTTTTCAAGTTTCAATCCATGTCTATCGTTGCCACGCGCTTCAACAGACAACAGGAAACAGGTCCAATACCTAAATATTGTCTTAAATAAAAAAACTCTGGACCACTATTTTTGGAATTCAATGTATTTTTCAAAAAGTTTATTTCCAGCTGTTGTCTTAAGTTTCGTTTGTATACCACAATATCTTTTTAATTCTTCGTCATGCGCTCTATGAATTCATTTTGTTTCTCATGATTTTATCTTACACTTCCACGAATTCTTTGATTTCCCCTTATGTACTACGTTCATTTCATAATGTTATCAGCCGTGTTTTTGGTAACTGGTAAACATTCTTTTGGTAAAAAGAGGTTTCAAAAGCCAGAGATTAGTTTTCTCAGGTACTGGTTGCTCCAAAATACTTTTAGACTTTCTCTCGACCGGTGGCCAGTCCTAAATACTTTGTACGTTTTGAAAAGGCCGAGGTTCTGCGCCCATTCTATGTAGCAGCATCTCGAGGAACTCTCATCGATTGTTCAGACACCATTACACAACAACAGCGATCAATCTTTCGGAAATCTTCAATTGAAACCCTTCTGCAAAATTCGGGGTTTTCAACCGTGAAGGAAGAAGTGTTCAGATAGGAGCAATTAGGATCACAAGCGCGTGATAGACCGTGCGATAAGGGTACACATAGAGACCATGGACAAAAAATGTGATTGCAAATCTCTAGACTTTTGGACTTCCGGGTTTTAAGTAGAAAAGTCCCGGTCAAAAGTGTTCACATTTTCACCAGGACTATACTACTAAAATTCATTTCCTTGTAATGAAGGGTAAAAAGGTGTAGATTCAAGCGCATCAATTGAACAACAACGTTCCGTTTTGGTTATAACCTAAACCAGAAGAGCGAAGTATTATAGGAAAGCCAGGCAATATTCCTCTAGTTAATATTTTATTTTCACACAAACGAAGGATTTTACCTTCATGAATGATACAAATAATAGTGGTGTACATTTTATTTCAGAAATTAAAGGACAACGCTAATAATTTAAAGATGCAGTGGTGCAATTAAAATACCCATTAGTCCTCCCCGTTTATTACTCGTTTTAAACGTTACCCAATATTAAGAGAAAAAGATTTCGTTGGCTGTATTTATAAGCCAATTGTGCCCTCCCCTTGGGTGGCTGCTTCATTGTGCTTCGACTGTATTCAACATAAAGAGCGAACTCTTCTTTTTTTCCAGGAGTCATCCTTGCTGTTACTATTAGGGACCTAAAGATCCAACAACGCGACGGCAACGAGAACGTAAAAAAAAAAACCGGTTTAATAAGCAAAACAATAACTTTACACGTGCATCACACTTTTTTGTACATTTCTTTGCCTTATTTCGCGTTTTATGGAGAACGTGAACAAGTGTGTAGGAATAATTGGTTTAAAGGCTGAAAGAACCCAAATTTACTTTTTAAGTGACGTTCTCGTTGCTGTCGCGTCGTTGGATCTTAAGGTCCTTATTTTCCCCTAACGTCTCCAATCTACAGTTTTTGGATAAAGTGAAGCTTGACGAAGGGCGCTGTTTGGAACGACTCTTTCAAATATATAGTTATTTCAGGTTTCTATCAATCAGCCCAGACTCGCCACCACTCATATCCTAGGATACACTTAACTGTAACAAGGTCAATAAATTGGTCACGACCTACCACATCTGCAGTCCACTAAGTCTAAGTGGACGGCTGTTCTGAGAAATGATATGACATGACACTGAGTGGAGCGAGTTTTCTCTCAATGTATTAGAGCTATACGGTGCTTAAAGTTGCTAAGGGTATTGAGCTATCTCTACTGTCTTTAAAATGTTTCCTCAGCTAGGAATATGTAAATGGACGTTTAGTTTCTCGCTAAAAATATATTCGATAGTTAGCACATTACCGATTTGTCACTCTAGAGCTAAAACTGGGTGTCAATGCTAGACAAAATGTCGTCAACCAGCAGTGCTATTGACAGTTGGAAACTTTGACGATCCCAGACTGAAATGTTAATTTCTCTAAATAGTAATGGCTGGAACGCAATTACAACAAGAACCGCAGGAAACTATTGGTTGAATCAGCAAAAAAACGTCTCCTCACCTTCCTCTTACAGTTTGCAGCCAGACCCTCAAACCAGCGAAATTAAATGACGAAACTAAAGGTACTACAGAGAACATTAAAGGTCAGTTAAGCAGCATAATGCATTGACCAAGAGGTTACTATGTACATGTAATAGTGTTGTGAGAGCAACAGCTTGCATTTCGTCAGCGACTGCAGTAGAACAGGTCTGAAGAAGATCAATTGTGTAGCTGCTCAAAGTGGGTTTGTGGTTTAGAAATCGTCTGACAGCGCTTCTTTTCCGGGCTCAAGATGCACCGACTCAAAATATTCATCATCATCGTCATCAAATGTCACTTTCTCCTAGGAGAAAACAAACACACTAAACACAAGGGATCTCCAAGGGGAAAATGGACGACAAAAAACGTATCTTTTCTAACCCCGGGTTTCTTAAAACCGTTTAATACCAATACTTAACTTGAAAATACCCCTCCCCCGTTCGTTTGTTTTCAATTTAAACACTTGACTACGTCTGAATTAAGCATAGTTTCGAGTAAAAAGACAATCAGAAAAGGAACCAAACGCGCTTCCTGAAAAATGTGATAAGCTGATTACCTTCTTTTTTCCACCACTAGCCATGTCCTTGATTTTCTTCAGAATTTTCCTGCCGCGGTCCTTTCCTGCTTTAAAATGAACCTAAACGTGGAAAAAAAGATAGAATTTGGTTTACTTGTTCGAATGTCGACGCAAAAACGACGAAATTTTTTCTTAACACATGAGACTGTGATAGTGCCTGACGTTTCCGTAACCTGTGCGTAATTCACCAATAGGGACAAAAAAAAAACATTCAAATCCAAGTGGTCGTCTTTCAGTTAAGAAAATGTTAAGCTTATTACTGCGGATGCGATGCTATTTTGAATGCGTTTTTATCATTATAATATCCGTCAATGTACTGTTAGGTTGGAGGATTTTGTTAACTTGGTCTATTGCTTGTTTTAGTAGTTACGTTCGTCACGAGGTCGTTTGTAAGTTGCTGGAAGTTGCTGACCTAAAATCAGCGCCGTTTGTGTTAAATGCATCGTTGAAGTAGTCTGACGGAAGGGTACATTTTACACTCAATAGAGTCTCAGTTATTGTGAAACTTGGTTTGTAAACGGTTTTCATACATTAATTACGGTCACTGATAGCGATTTCGTCCGGTGAGAAAAACCGTACCTTAACAAGAATAAAAGCTGACACGTCAATCGCTTTATTTCCAGCTCTTTTTAATACTGGATGAACGAATGACAACTCGTTCGCCTTGATACACTTTTACATAAATCGAGACAACAACTTTCCTGCGACTTAAAAGGACCAAAAAGTGACCTGGCAGTCACTGGAAAAAAGATCTCCAATCCAAAAACAAATATATGCAGTAAAGACAATAGTAGCAAGTGGGGCCCGCAGGTCTCATCGGTAATGCGTTGATTTGTAAGATAACTGATTGATTTTGTCGGCGTTTGTCAGTTTCCTGTTAACTTCCATCCGTAATGCGTTGCTATTACAGCCCTTTTCAGCTTTTATATTTTGTTTTCCCAATTCAGACCACGGGACGTTCTCCATGGAAGTTGCCCTTCGCATTTTCATACATTATGTATACTTATGCACGTGGATAACAATTGACAGACGAAGTTTGAAATGGGAAAACAAAACATAAAGCTAAAAAAGATCTTTTGATATTGAAGTGACCACCGTTATACCCTGGGTTGACGCAAAAGGCAGTCAAAATAGGTTCTGTTTGAAAAAATGAGAGATTTAGAGTCGCGTTTATGGCAAACGGGAAACGTGAATTTGTACGACGTGACCAAGTTTTTCCACAACTTGTTCTTTAATGTTCATCACTTTTACCCCACAATCACTAGCTTCGCGTTATTTTTGTCTATGAAAACTGTTTTAGATTGTTTTCAGCTGCACGTTGTCTATTTTAAGAAGTTCTCAACTTAAATCTGAAGTTATCTGTTTGCCGTTAACGTCACTCTAAATCTCTATTATTGAACGCATTCACAACTGCTAAAAAATCGACCATGTTTACCTCTTCATCATCTTCTTCACCGTCCTCCACCACACACCTCTCTACCTGAGGTAGCTCGCCTGGTTTATCACCGCTATTGTGAACCAAACGGTGATACTTGTACGTCAACCTTGAAATAAACAATAACGATAATTCAATAATTCAATAAACGACAATTCTATGTCAACGATATCCTGGCTATTAATTGTGTACTAAACAGGTAGAGCAAACATCTTTAACTCAACTTGTAAAGCACTAAGCTCGGGATCCAAGGGCATTTGATAACAAGAACAATAAAATTCAACCCCTTGTTTACACTTTGATGAATTTATCTTTTGTACTGTCACCCATAGTGCACAACACAAAGACATCAAAGGAGGGGGGTGATTTCCACCGGTCACCCAAAGAGAGGTAACAAAGGTCCCTTTTGCGGTCCAAATGGTTTCAATAACTTTCCCCAACTCGCCCCAGTCCCTCCGCGCAGAATGATTATTTGAAGCCGAAATTGTCCTTTTGTTGCCTTTTTGCGATAATACGAAAAGGGTGACCCCATTTTTATTGGTGTTTTTTTACTCCTTACGTCTACACGAAAAATATATCTTAAGGAGAAAAAATCTGGATTGTGGAAGCCGTATTATTTAGACAAGAATGGCATGAATCTCCAAATTTAGAGCCACAGAGAAATTTGAAACCACTTTACTAAAAAATATAGCTCAGAATAACAAACAAGCTTTAGATTTTGGTAAGATTGAAGGTTTTGCTACATGATAAGAATTTTCGAACATTTCGCGCGTAACTAGGAAAACCACTTTGACTCAAACATCATAAACTCTAAGCCATTTTTATGTAGTTTTCAAAGTCCTATAATATGGCTGTCTAGACAGTGCAGGTAACCGTTACAAGGGAATTGCCTTAACTGCAATAGCACTGTATTGAAGGCAAAAAGCTGAAAAGGTCAGGCTACGCTCGCACGGCACCGGGCGAATTTTCGACTGGCTAAAAATTTGACCGAACAGTTCATTCACACGGAACCGTTCAATATTTTCGCTCTGTTCACACGCAGATGCAGAACCAAGTTGAATTTTCACTGGTTTTAAGACTGTCCAAATCCAAAATAGAGCGTCCGTGCAACCATGACTTTGTCGTAGGAAAATTTAGACCGAACCGGGTAAATAAAAATTAGGACCTCAACTTTGGCGTTAAAATTTTTGAAAGGCTAGGCGTCTAAACTTTAGTACGGTTAGGAAGGTTCCGAGTGAACGGGACACAAAGACACACGAATTTTCAAGCGCTCGACAATTGGTCCAGTACCGGGTGAACATAGCCTGAGAGTCTTATTGGGTTGATACTCCGAAACAATGGTAATTCTATATTAGGTCGATACTCTGCAACAATGGTAATTCTATATTAGGTCGATACTCTGCAACAATGGTAATTCTATATTAGGTCGATACTCCGCAACAATGATAATTCTATATTAGGTCGATACTCTGTAACAATGGTAATTCTATATTAGGTCGATACTCCGCAACAATGGTAATTCTATATTAGGTCGATACTCCGCAACAATGGTAATTCTATATTAGGTCGATACTCCGCAACAATGGTAATTCTATATTAGGTCGATACTCTGTAACAAGGGTAATTTTCTTTGTTTGTTGTGTCCTACCGCATTTCTTATCAGCTGAAAAAGTTTTCTCATGGGCTGAGGGAAAAATGCTTCAAGCCGTGTAAAAGGGACAGTAGATACAAAATATAGACTAACTGAAGTACGTAATTGTCATATAAACATAAACATGATGATGATACTTACTTTCTGTTCTTATACCACAAGCCAAACATAGTGCAGATCATAAGAACAACAAGACCTGCCACCACAGCAATTCCAATCTACAAAAACACATAAAATACACACAAGTGTTAACTTTTTGAATGGCACTTGAGGTTGTTGATAAAATGGGTTTGTTATGCCACATGTTGTATTTATTATTTTAGCTCTCATGAGAGAACTAATTTGGATGAAAACAAACACCATGTCCTTTGTTTGAGGAATCAAACTGAAGGCACTGCTAGGGTTCGAACCGGCGATAACAGTACCACAATGTCTCTAAACATACTGACAAGGCGTAGGTAGGCTCCTACCTTAAAGTCCTTCATCGCTGAGCCAACTGACTGTTCAAAAATACTGCAGTGCTCTTCTACATCGCCAGGGAGGGTCACTCCATCACGACAAAGTCTGAAAGGTTAACACAAACATGTGTTTGCTGCAAGTCTTTTTCAAAGACTACCTGTGTCACAGTGATATTTGTATCCCCTCCAATATCGGCTGCCAGTGAAATGTGTATCCCCTACACTCCAACCCTCCAAATAAGTGTCGGTTTTGTTTCCTTCGTTTTTTTGTTGTTGTGAATTTTGCGAATCATCATCAAGGGGACCACAAATGATTCAAGATTATGAGCAACATAATCGACAAAAGAGCAACGATTCGAGACAAAATTTAAATCGCAAAGCTGTTTCTGGTGAGTTTACTTCTTCTTGGTCTGCAAAGTTGATGTAAACATTCGTTCTCTTTCCTCTCCTTATCCAACGTGATTGTATGTTACTGGTCGTGTTAAATAACTGACTGACGTAACTTCATTCAGCAAGAGATAACTCGACAAGTAAAAAAATAGAGGGGATACACATATCTCTGCTCGAGTTCAGTGATAGGTGCATTCCCCTGCGAGCGCTACAATATTCCACCTTCGCATGTTGTTTGATCCCTGTCCTAAACCTAGTCGTGTTACTAGTTGTGCTAGATGATATTTCCTTTAGCAAGCCAGAAAACAGTCAAAAATGGAGGAAATACACATATCTCTGGGCTGGTTCAGTGATATGTGTATCCCCCACCCCGCGAGCACCAAAATATTTCACCTTCGCATGTAGTTTGATTTCTGTCTAACGAGATTGTATTACGAGTTGTGTTAGATGATCGTGACTGAAGAAATATCCTTCAGCAAGAGAGGGTTGTGTATCCTCTGCGTTACCGCGTACCATTTGTGTCAAATTAACATCCCTGGAGGTAAGTAAAAACTGAGTCAATATCCGACATTTTCTATTAGACTCCTTGACAAAGTGCCGAGTACAGTGTTTAAAAATCTAACTGATAACAAAACATTCACTTGTTCCTTCTTGAGCCGCCATTTTTATTATCATTCTTGTGTCGCGGATAAGGCCGGATACTTATCCCTACCTGGGATACACAAATTACCAGTGATATATGTGTAAGGGGATACACTGGACCTGGACTGGACTTGCATAATGATTAGTCAGAATACTATTGGAGATACCGGTAACTGACTGGCTGAAAGTAGTATAGGGCGTACATGCGCAGAAATCTTGTTAATTTACGCAAGATGCTAATAAAATTAGCTTTTGCCGTATTTTTGGTCAATTTATTTGCATCACATCATCGTTTCACTCTTTTTAAGTTTGCAGTTCACTAGAGCTTCGATAGCCTGCGAAAACATCCGTTTCTCCTCGCTCTTCGCCGCTGGGGACGTTTCGCGCGGAGGAACGTCTGCGACTCAGCGACAGAAATTCCATACTGATGACGTAAAATCTGTCCGGAATCTGGTCAGAAGCACTGATTGGTCGACGGAGTAGTTACATTGTTTTAGCTATTGTTCACGAATGACAGACAAAAGACAAAAGGCCACAAAGGTCAAATGTAAACGCGAAGAATCTCTAACAAACCAGGCAGTATTTGTGGAATATAGTCGTCCCTAGAAGAAGCATTTGCGTTTAACTGGAGCTTGTTGGCAGATGGACACAACAATTTACCAGAAGCAGGGTGCAAAGAAAATCATTTTTACAGCTTGCCATTCGGGCAAGCTGAAGCTAGCGTTTACTAGCCCAGACGTCATTTCAACTAGCCCCAAAAACTTTTGACTAGCAAAATTGATTTCACAGTTCTTGATGTTATCCGAATCCCTCAAAAGCCATCACTTGCCCGTCGGGCAAGTTAAAAACAGAATTCACCAGCCCAATAGCAAAATCTACTAGCCCTGGGCTATCGGACACTACTTTCTTTGCACGCTGAGAAGACACGAAAAATCGGACAAATTTATATTTGGAACCCCATGATTACCAGATTTATTATGTAAACATTGATTTGCGTCATCAGTATGGAATTTCTGCCGCTGAGTAGCAGACGTTCCTCCGCGCGAAACGTCCCCAGCGGCGAAGAGCGAGGAGAAACGGATGTTTTCGCAGGCTAGAGATTCGAGGGTTTAGGTTGCCCGCCGAGGCGAGTAAATTGGCATCATCACGATATAATTACAAGCTTAACTTATCAAACCCGTTGGGTAAGTCGTCGATATAAATAAGAAACAGGAATGGTCCCAGAGCGCTTTCCTGGGGAATTCCACACTAAAAGTTTGCCTTAGCGATTCTGTGTCTCCTAGTGGAGTGTATTAATTAGTTTCTGTGTTAACCGTCAGGCTTAGGCAGAAAACAACTTCCTCCCTCGGCATGAATTCTCACACTATACTAATACTCAGTTTCCTTTAATATTGAGAATCACTTCTTACCTCGGGTTGTTCCACATATATTTTGTTGTCTTTTTCCCACTCTAAAACAACAACAACAACAATTTCATTTCGTAAGTAAGTACATCATTGGTAAGTGCAATGAAGGAGATTTGAGAAGGGGGGGGGAGGTGTTTACACAATGCCATTTAAGACGACCTACTGTAAGTGCCTATGATAAAAGAACCATATCCTAAGTATACTGTGTGGCCACGTAAAAAGAGTTCCTAGCGAGGTCTCATTAAACAAAGCCGTTTTTAAGTAACACACGCCAACCGGAAATGTCTACTTTTCCCTTTTATTATTACGCCTTAACGCTATTAAATTTGTATGGCTACGTTTCTTTAATTTACTTCAATAGAAACGATTCGCCTGAGAATTTGAACAAAACCACTGCTAAAGGATGTAAACCGTCCATTTTTGGTTTACAGTCGTTGCTCAAAAACGTCTTTGCTTAAGCTCCCTGTTATCATTAATATCATAGATGGAACAACAGGTCATTGGTAGTCATATTTATTAATGAAACGCCTAGCCTCCCATATGGGGACCAGGTGTAATTGTGAATTTATGGATTTGTCCGCTTTTGGGAGGTTGGATAAACATCAAGCGCCACAAAAAGCCAAAAGGTAAAAAAAAAAATCAAAAATGATTTCAGTGTTTTGAAAACATGGCAGGCATAACGGCAATAGAGCACTTTCAATCAGGCCCAATTAAAATTGCTCTTTGCCGTAGTGAACTGCTAGGTGCGTGCTCTAAATACCATTAGCACTTAGTTCTACCATCCTCGATGATGATCACATGTACACAGTCCACGTTCCCTTTTTTCTTTCACAAGAAACTGACAGTTTTGGACGTGGGGCATAAGCCCCATATCGCTTTCAGCAACAGTATTGTAACGTTGAGGCCCCAAAAGTTGAACACTCATTTGGCAATTTGAGACTTGAACTAACGATCATCCCGACTTGCACACAAGTGCATTTTGCGGTTCAAAGTACAAAGGATGGAGCATGGGGATAGAGACTAACCCATTTATTTCTCTCTAAAGAATTCAAACTTTTGCACGTACGTACCTCGCAAGATGATGTAACACCAGTATAATCAAACACAGAACAGACTGGACAAGCAAATTTTGTTCGCCACAACATTTCAAATCTAAGAAGGAAAACAAATAGATAAAATTGTTTTCTTACGTTGCTTGCCTTTGTTTCAAATAGTAGTTGTTTGGATAATCACAATAAATGTGCTATTGTAATAACGGTTATCAATATGAACAGAAAAATTGAATTGATTATTGCCCGTTAAGGAAGTTAACTTAAGAACTGTTTCCAGTATGTTGGTTAGCTGTAACAGTCATTCATAACTCATTACCTACAACCGTCACAGGTTCCATCGGGACATTTGGCTGGCAGCTGAAGCACACCCTACAATAAAAGACAAAAAATGTTAATAGTCAAATTAATTTTGTTACTAGGTTTTTATTGGTCTGGAGATAGTCATGTCACCTGCAAACAACTGCCAATACACAAAGGTCTGCTCATGCGCGGGGGACATAAAAAGTTTTATTGCTGCGTACATTGCTTTTCTCGTGAGTGTCTTGAGGGAGCATAGCGACACCACCTTTTCCAATAAATAAAAAGACAAAACAATCATACTAGTTGAATGATAAAACAATTACCGTTTTCGGTTCGCAAAATGCCTCTGCATTCGGTTGGGCTAAATATATATGCTCCATACTGACAAATAGCTATGTTTTGTCTCGACATGTCTAATTTGTTTAGTATGAACAATGCAAAGTGAAAATCCATTCAGTCAAGACAGATAAATTTAAAGTGTGACTTCCTGATAACAAATGTGACAAAGTTGGCAATAACTCTGACAGATACCTAAAGACCTTTCTAACAACAAAAAAGTTAAAATCATAGAACTTTATCCCTCAAATTTCCAATTCCTCCCTGCAGTTTTTTTTTTGATTCACTATCTTAGTATCATATCTGCCTAAAGAAAATTTGGTACTACAAACTGTCTAAACTTTAGAGAGATTTTCCTTAAACCGTGAAAAAGGAAGATGAATATTACGCACTATTATGCACTAATTCTGTTGTCTTCTTTTGTTTAGCTCTCGCTGTTTTCCACTATTTGTTAGTATCTGTTTCACGTTTCAATTAAAATCACTCTAATAGAAAGCATTCAAGGGCAGGGAAACAGGTCAAGTTCAACTGCACGTCAAGCTTAAGTTTCGTTTCAATTAATTGATTGCCTTGATCACGGCGATCAAACGGAAATATGATAAAGAAACAAAGGACAAAGCAAGTACCTTTCCAGCAGTCACATCGCAGAGTACGGTTACCCAGACTGAGCGACCTTGGTGGCAGGCTGATGTGGGTCTAAAAACACATTAACAATCACTTTAATAATTATGGTTTTAAGCACAGTTTCAAATCAAACAAGAACGCTCATACGGCGGCGGTCAGTCTTGCTTGCTTGGAGATCAGATCGAGAAATGAGGAGGCCATTAATTCTACAGGAAACAGGATTTACTCGCTTAAGGTTTTTTACTTCCTACTTTATCGACGTCAATACTTTTTATTTGTTTCTAAATGGATTTAGTCCGTGTGTTGGCAACGACCGGAAATACGTCTGAGGTCGGAGGATATACGCGTGTATAAATATACGAAGATTCAAGGGCCTCGATTCCAGAGAAATTAGTTCATTGCCAGAGATCAAAAAGTGATTTACATGGCACGTCATTTCAATCATCGCCGAAAATAAACCGCATGCCCATCACAAGACCCTTTTGCATACAATGAAAGTTTACAACACCCGACCATCGCAGTTTTGCTAATTAAGATTCTTATTTTTTTTTCCTGACCACTCAGTAGTGTTCACTTGTTCTGAAGTAATGGACGCTTAAAAGCGATAGAATTCGTGGACCGACAAGTTTCGGAAAAGCTCTAAATTTAATCTTTCCTAAGCTTTCTTCGAAAAACATGTGTGGCTTCAATCACGCCACAATTCTTAGTCCCAGTTTCCACGGTCTCCGCAAGGAACGCCTGGCACAATGACCCCCCATTTGTGTCCTAAATACGACGAAAAACGCGTTGCAGATTATGAGTCTCGCTGCTTACGCAAGCTAGAATAAATTATACTAACTTCAACGATGACGACAATAGTTGCAAGAGCAACAAACGTCTTCGGTCTATCCCCTTTCAATTAGTTACGGATGTTAGGTGAAAACTAAAAACTAAACTGAGTAGTATGAGGAAATTAGTTCGAAACTGGAAATTCCTGGATAATTGACGGCATTAATTACTGACCACCCGACTCGAAGTTAAATGAATTGTATTTTTAAGAAACGACTGGAATTTAAATCATATTCACCACTACTGGTAATATGTTCATATAAATCTAGCGAGAAGATATATTTACAAAATTACAGACCCGTTTCTGTTTTACCAGCATTCTCTGAAATTCCAGAGAGGGTAATGTACAATACACTAAAGTTTCTCAATGATCATAACATTCTCTCTGATAACCCGCATGGTTTTCGCAAATATCAATCCAAAGCTCACGCTCGAACCTGTTCGCACGACAAAAACGCTTCCGCTATTTAAAATAAGGAATAAGAGGTTGGTATCTTTATAGACTTGTGCTTAAGCCTTTGACGCCCTCGATCATATTATTTCAATATCAAAGATAGGAACATTATGGCGTTCGAGGCATTTCACTAAAGTTAAGCAATAGACAACTATACGTTGAGTTCAATGCTTCGCGCTCGGAGCTTTAAGGGTTCTATAAAAGGCTCCTTAACTTTTTCCACTCTATTTCAATGAGCTCCGCAATGCGTCAAAGCTCGTGGACTTTACGCTCTTTATTGATGACCAAACTATATTTTTTCGCCTGTATTTTAAATGAAACGTATATTATGGTGGCCAACTAGGAAACCGAATGGTTCACTTGGCCATCATCCTTGAACTTTATGGCGGATCTTCCGCGGATCCCCATTGCTATAGAAATAGGCCTTTTGCATTAGTTTGTCACGTGATCAACTTTCTGTCACCACGAAAACAGTTCGCTTTTGAAAAATTTTGTCAGCCGGAACTGTAAATTTTCAGCCGAACATTCAAAAGTAGCGATTGTAACGGCCGCAGAAAATTAGAACGATTTGTATGGGAAAAACAATTCTTGCCACCCAGTTACGCTTGAGTGGTTTTCCATACAAATCCTTGTAAATCTGAAAATTTCCAAACTGTCGTAAAATACATCCTTAAGCATTATGGGGCTCAAATCTCCTTTTCATTAATAAAAGGCAATTTGAGCCCTTAAATACGTAGGGGAAAGATTCAACGACAGTTTATAAAAATGTCTAAATCTAACCCGGAACATTCCGGAACATTCCGGAACATCCCGGAACATGCAAAAATAAAAAATAATTTTCATGAAAAAAAATTAATTAAATAAAATGATAATAATAACATAGTTTTTGTAAAAATTAATAATAACAAAATAACATAAAATAACAAAAAAAGAGAGAAAAAAAAAACACCAAAAATAAAGAAATGATTAAGAAAAAGAAACTCATCTCCGAGTATGAGAAAACAATATTTTGTCGCCAATAATTTGTTGGGCGAGTGAGGGTCCTTGCAAATGACAGTAATGAGTGAAGGCTTGCTTCTAAATTCAAAATATATTAAAATGGGTAGCGAGGAGGGGAATTTTCAAGCTTTATTCACACAGCTACCTCTTGTAAATGTTTGCCATGACGGCTTTGCGACTGTAAGAAGAGCTTGGGGGTAGGCTTTTGTACGTTATGCTAGCATTTTTTCGAGCATTTTAGTGAGGCAAAAGCATTGAGCATTATTCGAGCATTTTAGTGGCCTTTTGCCCGGAAAATTAATTTTTCCGAGAAAATAAAATAGAAATTAACTTTTTTCAGGAGCCCAAGCCCCATGAGCTCCTGCTTTTTTAAACAAAATGAAGACTAAAATTCAAAATTCACAAAAAAACCTAATACAGCCGGTTTTTTTGCTGTATTTATGAACTTGTACACGTTGTCGTTGTTACTTGCAACACTTGAACGTTTTTGTAAGTGTAAACTTTGAAATTAATTTTAAAAAACCGTTTGTATAATGAGCATTATCCGAGCATTTTAGTGACTTTTTTGGAGAGACCGAGCATTTTAGTGGGAAAAATGGAGCATTAAGGTGGAGCATTTTAGAAGGGAAGCAAAAGCATAATGAACAAAAGCCTACTTGGGGGCTCGTCGCTTTGGACTTTAGTAACTTAATTACCGACTCGGCTCGACATGGCATACTGCACCGACATTTCAGACCATCGCAGAACCGTATAAATGGTTAACCGCCAAATGATTAACTCATGGCAAACAATTACAAGAGGTAGCGGTGTGAGTAAAGCTTGAAAACCCCCCTCCTCGCGACCCATTTTAATATATTTTGAATTTAGAAGGAAGCCTTCACTCATTTCTGTCATTTACGCCCAACAAATTATTTGCGACAAAATATTGTTTTCTCATACTCGGAGATGAGTTTCTTTTTCTTAATCATTTATTTATTTATTTATATTTTGTTATTTTATGTTATTTTGTTATTATTAATTTTTACAAAAACTATGTTATTATTATCATTTTATTTAATTAATTTTTTTTTCACGAAAATTACTTTTATTTTTTCATGTTCGGGGATGTTCCGGGATGTTCCGGCATGTTCCGGAATGTTCCATGTTCCGGGTTTTATCGACGCCCGTATGGAAAGCCACTCAAGCGTGACTGGGTGGCAAGAGTTGTTTAGCTCATATAAATCCTTCTAATTTTCAGCAGCCATTGCAACCACTACTTTTGAGATATACGGCTGAAAATTTACAGGTTACCAGAATTGAATTACTGCTAACAAACCTTTCCAAAAGCGAGCTATTTTGGTGTTTACAGAAGTTGATGACGTGACTAACTATTGCAAAAGGCCTATTGGAAACCTATGGACGCAAGAAAATTTGGTTATGACGTAGCGTACATGGTACGCACGTCCGTCCGTTCGAACACCCACATTTTAAATTGCTGTGACATTTATTTATACAAAATAGATAAATATACGTTAGGTTTACTCCCTAATTATTTTCGTGACATGTTTAATTTCGCAAGCAAGATACATTCGCCTAATACAAGAAATTGCAAACGTATTAACTAATGCTTGTCGAACTAGTATTCGAAATACTCGCTTCAATTTCAAGGTCCTACGTTTTTCAACTCGCCAAGTCAGGAAATTCAAAATTGAGAAACTAGTTAATTTGCCAAAAGATTTTTAAAAAATTCCTTCTTTCTTAGACGTTTTGATGAGCTAAATACTTTTTCTTTTCTTAATATAATACTCTCCTTTCCATTCACCAACCGAAATTTACATTGTGTATTCTATATTCTTAGGAACCCTACAGTTCATAAGCCCCCGGCTTCTATTAAGGCTTGATCAATTAATTAGAGTAATGTTTGACATCAATTAATATATTGGAGTCTAACTTTTGGTCGTGGTGTCGAGGTTCTCACCCTTTCCACACGTCTCCAGACAATTTAAAAAAAAGGAGATTTTTTGTCCTTTTTTACCTTCCGTGTACACGGCGTTTTCGGGCACCGGAAGTTTTGGAATACGATGATGTCATACATTATATACTACTAAAATTACGCATCCTCTGTAAGGGACGCTATCGTATTTCCATACGATTCAAGACGCATATTTTTTTTGAAAACGGAGAAAAAACATTTCCGGATACTCGCTGGACAAGGCCTTAGTTAGAAATGAAAGTCAGCACTAAGTATATTTGTAACAAAATAACTAAGATACCACGCGCATTGCGGCTGGTGAAAAGCCAAAAACTTATTTTATCGACTAACGTATTGAAAAGGTTTTTAATTTTGAAAAAACCAAAAAACCCTCATCTATGGAGAATACTGTTTTCTAGCAACATTAAAAACACTGTGTTTCACTTGAAGACTAGCAATTGACCGATATTTTTCTGGGTTTAAAAGTTACTCAAGTTACTTTTGGGAGTAAGGGTAAACACTTGAAAACGTTGGGTGTCACAGGCAGCGACATCCTGTGGGGATTCACTCCGCCAGTACACCACTAGAAAGTTTGGTGCGTATGATAAACACAAGTTGTGGATTAAAAGTGTGTGTGTTTTTCTTACCTGCTGCTATGTAACTTGAACAGGAAAACTGTAGATGTATTAGTTACTGGACCTAGAGGCAAAAAGAATTTATTCAAGTTGATGAGTTAAAGATTCCAGCCAAATTCGTTGTACCGGGCTGCGCGTTTTGCAAACTTCGAAAGGATTTTGGGTTTTTCTGTTCAATCAATCATCTTAGCGGATCTATTAGGCAACATACGTTTACTTGAACGAGTTCAAAAGGTCACGGTTTGTGATTTGTGGATTTTGATCGGTTTTGTTTGTTTCCGTGTTTCAAGGTTTGTTGCCGGTGATCGTCCTGTTTCGGGTAATAATCGGCTAGTTATGTTCAAAGATTCAGTTTTCTTACGATCTTTCTTGAGAATGTCGACCCCACTGGGAAAATAAAGCAATGTCTGGCTTCTTCCCTCGATAAAAATTCCACTCACCATCGCGATTTCCTTCGTTATTCTTGAGCAGTCTAGAGTCATTCTCAGTTTTATTTTTGCGGGCCAAGTTACGCGAGCGCATTGCATTGTGTTTTGCATTCACACAGCTCCCACTCAAAAGATTGACAGAACAGAAAAGCCCAAAATCTCCTCGAAGTTTGCAAAACGCCCAGTGCGATACAACGAATTTGGCAATAAACAAGTTTTACCTGCAACTATACGCCATTGCGAGCGAGCAGTGGACAGCGAAGAATTTTTCTAATGATATTACATAAACAAACTTAAGTCTGAATTCTGATTTGAAACTTCAAAAGAGACAATAGATCGGAAGATGATTTTTTGTGAACAAGAAAGAGCTCTCGGGGCAGCTTCACTTTTCAGACAAAATAGCTTAACCGGCAACGCTTCAGTCTTCATTCACACAACTAAACATGTGTAAATCTCTACATTTTCAGGCCAAAAAAGTTTTCCGATCCAAGTTGTTCGAAACCAAAAGTACAAGAATTTTGCAAAAACAACAAAGGAAAACTACAGTTTAGCACTCACGTTTCGTAACAATAATGACAAAATACGAATTCTCTCGTTGCGACGCAACGGCAGCGGCAGATGTTTTTCCCGCCAGACATGCGCATTTCGTGGTTTGGGTTTACCCTGAAGGCTCTCACGTCGCTGTTATCGTTTTTGCTGTAATGATGGGCATTTGAATCCGTTTTTGATGACCAAGTTACCTTAAAAGCTAAGCTAATGACTTGATGACTATTGTGTAAAGGTATAAAAGTAGTCTATATTTTTGAATGCTTATTGTACAAAAAATCTTATCCCTCGATTATCAACCATATTTTTAGGGATTTTCACACCACTTACCTCCATCCTCACCAAATACAGATGTCTCATCGGTTATGTTATCACGAACATCTTCATATATACCAAGAAAATGCTCAGCAAGGCTGAAAGTACATGTCATTTTCATATAAATATAATATTAACAGAAAAGCATTTTACTCCTGTTGGTGTAGTTTATAGCTAATGAGTTATGAAGTGTTTAATTATCCCTTCGTTCAACATCTTCACGTACAAGCTTCGAACGAAATTTTATACTTTGGTCAATTCCAACACCAAGTGCAAACTGCGTGCCGGTACATCTGATCGAGTAAATAATGTCAACCCGATTTTTTTTCTTTGGAATGCAACCACGACTATCTGATTACTGAACCCGGTTAGTTGTTGACTTAATCTCATGGTTCACTGTATTGGTTTCTCCCCACTTGTTGGTCAAACTAGGTCAGTCACTTTTTACTTGACTGTAAAGATGACTGAGACATATTCAACACATTAGACTAACCTCATTGTCTGAGTAGTGATGACATGAGGATCAGGGACAACAGTCATGCGGCAAGCAGGAGAGGTTAGATTGAAGTACTCCTAAAAGAAACATATAACCACAGCAGTTTACATAGATTAGACAAGGAAAGTCTGCTACACAGTTTTGAACAAATATTGACTGTCTTGACTGCTGTAAACGAAACTTAATCATAAACAAAAAATTCTAGAAAAAGAGTTTTGGGGCACAACATCGTACTTTTTAAAATCCGCGAGAACACTGCCTGCCACGAACAGAATCAGAGAGAAAATGGGTGGGAGATGCATGGACAGTAAATTGGGAAAATTAGAGGTGAAGTCGATAAAAGAACTAAAGACAAGTGTTTCAATGAATGAACGAATTCTCTAGCTACACATGAACAAGTTTTGAGGATATGTTATTAGGAATTCTACAATGGCAAGACTGTGAATTCAACATTGTGTTGAACGTCTTAATGAAATTAAGGACAGAGAGATAAAGTATAACTGATTGCTCTTGGAGCACAAAGACTAGTGTCTAAAGACCCAACGTGGGAAGTTGTTCAGACTGGGATTTAAGCTAGGGTAAAACATTAACAAAGGAAAAAGCACTATTACATACAGTTAGCACTTTTGAGATTGGTCATGGTAAAGGATGTGGAGGCCTGTGTGGCCGAGTGGTTAACACCTTAAACTCCGGATCTGGAGGTCCGAGGTTCAAGCCTCGCCCATCACGTTGTTTCCTTAGACAAGGAACTTTACCCCACTTTGTCTCTCCTCACCCTGGTGTATAAATGGGTACCGGCGACATACCGCTGGGGGTAACCCTGCGATGGACTAGCATCCCTTCCAGGGGGGAGTAGCAATACTCCTAGATGCTTCATGCTAATGAAACCGGGATAAACTCTGGCCGTTTGTTCCTTTGTCTTGTGTGCGCCTTTACCTACCCTACCACGGTAAAGGAGCATTTTCGTTACCAATACCTGTTGCAGGTATAGCTAAAAGAGGTAAGGATTGTATGAAGCTTAATAACTTTGGAACCAAGAACTGTTCACAACAACGAGGTGTACGTATTACTGAGATGCCCGAATGAAGACAGGCATAAAAAAAACCTTTACTCACCTCTTTTCCAGAGGAAAGGCTGATGTTGCTGTGACAGCGTGCCATTTGATAAGGATGACCACACAGACTCATGTTGAAGAGGTGGTAATATCGAAAACCACGACTGGTGAAAGACGGGCTGCTGGCAATGCTGTGAGCTCTGATAAGTGATAGCACATCAATCAGTGAAAAGTGCAAACAATAATAATTACATTTCTAAAATATGCTTACTCAACTCTTTGCATTTTTCAGTGAAGGTCATCTTAGAAGATAACGTCTATTTAAATATGTTTTCAAAAAGCCTCTTCGAGTCATTATGAAATGGGCTCATCGAGGGCCCTATGACCCATTTTTCAAGAGAGCCTTCCCGCGCGTCCTCCGCGCCATATACATTTCATGCACATGCAAAAATTTTAATTTGTTGGGTAACTGTATGTAATTATGCTATTATAATTTGACAAAAGCAACTGATGCCAGTACATATGCCGTTCAAAATTCTCATTTGAGTTGCCGAAATTTTAACAATCATTCTTTCACAACGTTATCAGACGTCATCTCTGATTTCTCACCAAGTCCACGTACCTGGCCAAATATAACGCAATTGAAAATTGAATTCTCTATATTATTTCATTTCATTTAAGTGTGCCATTGGCTACACTTAAGGCCTGTGTTCATGGAGTTTGGGACCCCAGGTAGGTGAGGTAACCCGCTTAGGTGGGGTAACCCATATAATCTCTCATTTTGATTTGATCACGTTTACATGATAGGTGGGGAGACCCGCCATATTTTACCTCACCTACCTGGGGTCCCCCACCTCCATGTAAACAGGCCCTTACACAAATTTCGTGCCACATAATTTTTCAAACCACGGAAATCTTGCAAAGTCAATTCTAGAATTAATCCTACGATGTGATGTAGGGCTACTAAAAATTAACACCTTCACCAAAGGAACTCTAACCTGACATGCTGTTCAGTGCAAACTTAGCGCAGACTTTACTTTCTCAAGACAGTCTTTCATCCACCCTGAATAACCAGGTTTTTTAAACTAAAAAACTAACTAATTAACTAACTAATTAAAATTAGTTAAACAACAGCACTTGTTCCTAAGGAATTCCTTACCCATTAAGACCAGAGAAGTTGAAAAATCGTCCATGCTTATTGGAAAAGAAAATACAATCAGAATGGCACATTGTTGATCCCTCTTCACTGAAACATAATTAAGAAAAAAAACACAGCATGAAAAATGAAAATCGAGAAATTCAAATAGTAACAATAAGGTTATTTGATATAAATTTCCCCTCAAATATATTACTATAGTTAATTCTTTTGCGCCTGTTTTGCCACAGACTCGTAAAATATGCTCAGTTGTTCTCCAAAGCCTGAATGAGATGGTGCAACTAACACCAAGGTTGACAGTAAGATCTTGAAGCAGCTGTTGTGTGTAATTTTTCAGCTGTTACAACACACAAAAAGTGCTTATAATATTTGCTACAACAGCTATTCATGTTCATTACCCTCAGCTATAACAGGTGTTACACTTGTTACAGGTTACATCTCTAGCAGCATCACTGCTAGATGTATTTTCATTGCATATGTGCGTTATCCTTTCAGTGGCTTGACACTATGAACTGAAGAACTGTGTGTAGATAATTAAGGCACATACCACAAGTATTTCAGATTAGGCAATAGGGGGTCTAGGAAGCATTTCAATATCTCCTTTTGTTAGTTAAAGCAAGTCCCTGATGTCTCTGGTTCCCTGTCTTGCACTAGCTGTCTTTCTGACGTGTGTAATTGTCAACAGCTCTACTAAGTACTGAAAGGATAGGACAGATACTCCTATGCAATCTTGACTTTTATGGGCACACATGACAGCCAAATTAGGAAACACAAACACCACTTTGGAAGGAGAGAAAAGTAAGCATGAACTTCGCTGATACTCAAACTACAAAATGTCCTCCATACTCGTGAAAACTTTGATAAAGCTTGTCTACCTTTTTAATCCTGGACCACATTTAATGCAGGAGTCCCGACCATAAGGATTGCTAGTATTCAAGTAAGTACCTGAACACAAAGTTAAAAAGTGTTAGATGCTGAAAAATTGAACACGTTAGAAGCTTGCAAAAATGTGTAGATTTGTTGAATGAAGAAAAGGACTATTCTAAACTTCCATGTCTCACTAGTTTATTATGTACTAACGTTTTGCCCTTTGGGCTTCCTCAGTATGCAAAAATTTCAAAACCCAGTTTTGATTGGAAAATTGTTTTGTACAATGAGGAAGCCCGAGGAGTGAAACTAGTGAGAGATGTGAGAAGTTTGTGACTGATGAAGGTTTTGAGACCAAAACATTTTTAGTAAATTTCTTCAGTTTTAATATTAATGACATTTTCCATGCCAAACATCTTTCAATATTCTCTCTTTTATTTAAACCAGTTTTTCATTATCTCACAATAATGGACTGCTGAGTGCTTAGAAGCACTATATTACTACATTTGCACTAAAAACACTGGCTTGATTTGAAAACTTTGAAGAATTATCAGCTGGATAGTTTAAACTATTTTTGCCAGCTGGTAGCTGGAAAATGTCATAAGAGGCCTAAGTTCGTAACCTGATTTGTTTTGAAAAGGGGTTACCTCTGGGGCAAGGTACACAAGCATGCTTCTCCGTGTCAACATAATTTCCCTCAGGACAACTGATGCAACTGCAAAGTGAAAAGAAAGATGACCCTGAAACAGTAACTTGACTTGCTATAGGAAGTTATTCTCAAATCTTAAATTCATGCAATGTATGAGACCAGTGGAAAAAAAATAAGAAAGCAAATAAATATTTTATTTTACTAGATTCGCCAATTAGTGGCAGGGTCACCACAACAGCATGACGCCATTACTGCTGGCCTGTAACAGTCCCTCCTCCCATGAGAGATAGACCACCACACCGGGGACTACGTCCCCTACTTTTTACGAACAGTGTGTGGGTTCCTTAACGACCCACAGAATTTATATATGAAAGGGTTGTGCGATGGGGCCTACAGTTTATCTTCCTTATCTGAGAAGACTAGAAAGTCTAACCGTTTACAGATGTCTTTACAAAGGCAGCACTTTCTTCTCAGTTATTTAAATACCCTGAGTGTTGGTCCAGCCGGGACTTGAACCAGCAGCCTCCCGCTCGGCAGACCAGAGCTTATCCAACTGAGCTAACAGGGCAGCGGTTCTATAACACTTGTACCCTTTTCCAACTTTTTCACTTACTTAGTTGTACTGTTAGATACATGCAAACGACGTGAATGTCAAAAATGTTGAAACTGATAACATCTTTGTTCAACATTCAGACTTGCTGATGAACTTACTCATCATGTCTAACTTTTCAGAGCTTTCTGTACATACCCTTTTTCTTTTGATGAAACTGGGCACTCACGGCAGTGGTCCGCACCCCCTTCAACGGTATTATTAACAGTAATGGAGAAGATCTTAACTCTGAAACAAAACAAACAAACCAAAATGAAGAGGGTTATTAACCGAGATGATAAACATTTTGTCATCATATCACTCTCACTATTATTTTCCTCCATGTGCTGTATTAAAAATTCAGAGGAAATGTCTCATTCATATTTGCTCCTGCTGCTGCTGCAGCTAGTGCCACTACAAATACCACCACCACTACCAACACAACTACTGCCATTACTACTACCACCACCACCACCACCACTACCTCTACTGACCACCACTGCCTCTGCTGCCACTGCTTCTGCTAGCACCACCAACATGTAATAAGCTATTGTACTAGCTGCATTCATGCACCAACACATAGAAATCCCCACAGTAATAATGGTTTGAAAACAGTAAAAAATAACTGTGGAGTTCATACCGGTCATTGGTGTATGTACTTGATTCACTGTCATCAAAAGAGTAGGAACTGTGCTTCTGGAATGTCCATAAAAATTCTGTGCTCCTTTGTGATGAAATGATGTAACTGTGAGAGAAAAGTAATGTAGTAAGTTTATCGGTTGTTTAAAATTTATTCTACAGTAAAACGTGATAATCCACTGCCTGATACTCCTGCTGTATCAGAAGCACAAAATCAGACTCTGGATTGTGCGTACTTTGACTTCTAACAAGCACAAGATGTGGTCCTCTCTCACTTTCATCATTCTATAAGTTTTACTGCTGCAACATTCTCCTACAAATTCCTTCCTATTGGTACCTCAAACATCTTTTATTCCTTTCACTTTTACTGGCATGTAAAAAACACAGTTAATTTACACTTAAACTTTTACCAATACCTGGAATCTCTCCTTAATTACTAAGTTTGTAGGTTAGAGGGAAATGTGAGTGATTGCTACTAAGAGTAAAGACTTGACAACTTTGAAGAAAGTTAAGTGATAAATGTATGTATCTTAAAAATCAGCTATCTCTAAATCCAGAGTAAGTTGAAAATTGGTTCATGCAGACATCTATCAATGTATCACCTGTATTTTTGTCTACCATTAGTTCCTGTCCATGTCTGAATCTCTGATGTTCCTTTATAAAGTGGCTTCTTCAAATAAATGCAAAGCAAAATTAATGAGCATGTGTAGAGTTTATGAGATCATATCAAGTTTCCTACTTTACCTGTGTATAGGGTAGTAGCTGAAAATCTACTGCCTTTCAGTATGCCTCAACTAGAACAAATCTAGGGCACTCAACATGCATTTTGATATAGAAAATGTTTTCCGCATTTGCATAGCCTGATATAAACACAACAGGGGTTGGGAGAATTCGTGACAGTTATGCAAAGCCGAGACCTCCTCGAGTGTTTATATCAGGCTATGCAAACACAGGGAAAAAGTCTTCTATTGCTTTTATAAAATAAATTTCCTGAGAAAAAATGCAAAACTCTTTATTATGGCACTGATTAAAACAAAAATTCTTACCAGTCGCAAAGTATTGCACAAAAAGTCTTGCACGCATAATCGGTTTTTGTTTTGCAAAAAGATGCTTTCCAAAATACAGAATTTTCTCGCTTAAAATGTCAGCTTAAGCAACAGAAAAAAATTACACAGTTTGTTTGTAAAGTTTTTCCAAGATTCAGCTGACAAAGGAATGGGTAAATAAAGTAACTTGTCGAGTTTTCAACTCAAAAACTTTTTCAAATTCGTGGTTGCCTGATTAGCACGCGAAAAGCAAAACATCTTGACGTCACAACCATGTTTACATACTCTCATGCAAACACTTCTCTCAGCCAATCAGAGCACACATACTATCTTAGTTTTTTATAAAGCAAGATATGACATGGTCTCAGACTTAAGAAAAAGAGAACATCAATATTTGCATGCCGGGAAATACCACAACAATTTGAAGTACAAAATATCGGTACATGACAAGTTAAAAGTGCTGTTCTCTTGTAATTTTTTCCCTCAAATGTTTTTAAGCATTGAAAATTAAAATTTGTGCAGCCCATAACACACAATTGTCAATTTTAAATGTTACTGCACTTTCAAAGACTGTTGAAAAGTAACATGATAAGTAGCATGATAGGTCAACATAACAAAGACAGCATTATGAATGCGGCATAAATTATGTGGCTATCACAATTAACAAAAGAATATTAACAAAATTTACTTCTTTGAATTTAAAGGTACAATCCCCATTACAGATCATCTCAAAGTCAAAGGTAACAAGTCCATGCTGGCCTTGGTGGGGGTCATTTAAGCCCTCAGAGCCGCCAAATCCCTTCACAGAAAGACGCAATGACATGTACACATCATCTGCCTGGTTGATACCACTGTCAAGAAAGTTTTTACGTGGCTGCCAACCCTGCTTTGATGTACATCCACGGTCTAAAGACAAATAAAAGAGATAATGAATCACAAAGAATGCATGATAGTCTTACAAAGGGGAAAGCATTTTGTTATCATCCAAATTATTATAAAATTGTATTATACCAAAGTATAATAATGTTTTACATCCAAATGGATATGTAACGTTTTGATCATAATCCCATCACCATTCAGAACATTTTTTAATAACCTCAGAAAAACATTGATGCCATAAGTCATTCATATGCTTAATTAAAACATTACCCATAATTTAAGTGCTAAATAAATTTGGGTTGTTTGTAGGCTTTGACAAGTGAATGCAGCTTAACACCAGTACAGTCCAAACTTGATTTCTCAAAGCTCTTGGTTTTGAAAACCACAGAATACTTGCTCCTCAAACCAATTTCTTTTTTCAGGATCATAGCATGGGCTATAGCAAACATGGATTTCAACTAAATAAAGGTTAAATTGATCAAGTTTGGTTCCTGCCCAGGATGTTTTTAGGAGAAGTACATCATGTACTTAGTGCCCATGCCAAAGAATTCAAAGAGAATGCTCGGTTACCAAGACTTTACAAATGCTGATGGACTTATAAATCAAAACAAGCATGTTTCCAGGCTTTCTACAAGAAATATAATGGTACAATTGACCAGAAATGACAAAAGACTACTTCAACGTGAGTAACTTAACTTTATTGCACAAAAATTTAACCTTTATTTAGTCAAAATTTATGTGTCCTTAAGCCCATGATCATAGCAACAGAAAAAATAACATAAGTAGGTGAGTCACCCTCTGAGTGACTGCAGATACTAGTCCTGAAAAGGACTGTAGTTGACAGTAACTATCAACAACCCGTACGGTAGTCATCTTCATAGTCAAGTAAGTTGTATTTCGTCAGTTGCTAGTTTTCAATTCTGGTTTTTGACCTGATTGGTCAGTTAAGTTGCATTGTTATAGGTTGTCTGTCAGTTAAGCAGTGATGTTATCAGCTAAGAAGTCTTCAAAAGTGATCATAGTGCGTTCCGATTCACTCTTTTGTCACAGTAATGGTGGCCATTTTTTTATTAGTCAAATCGTGTTCCACTGTTGCCAGTTTTGCTTGAGTTCATCAGTAAGTGGTTCAGTTCTCGACTTTCAGAAAACAATGTTGGGGCTGGCTGGCCCCCAAGTTTTAATTTTTGGTTGCCAGAACAAGTATTATAGTCACCAAAAATTATATTTAAGAACTAATAGAATACAATAAACTTAACATCTTTTACTTAGCCTTAACAGAGAAAGAATGCTTTAGACTTCCTTTGAACTTCCTTTCAAACGGTTTTTGCTCAAGGCTCGATTACCAGCCGGTGTTTGGGAAAATGAACGCGCACTCAAGCGTACATATCCTCAAACAGGTATTCAAGCAATGAAATACACATTTAGATAACAAACTTTAGGAATCACAAAAAAACTTATTTCAGTTATTAAAGAACAAAATCTGCAAAAGTGATCGAAAGTCTCCAGAAAGAGGAAACGTCGCTAATGTTTTCGGGCAAAGAAGTTGATTTCGCGAGAAGTCTGTTAGACAAACAGCATAAGAACAATCCGTTAGAGTGTTGGAAGAAATCGTTAAAGCATTTAGACAAATTGTTAAAACATTTAGACAAAGCATTAGAGCTTTTGGGCAAAACGCTAGAGCGTTAGAAACACCGTTAGCTATCCGTTAGTTTTGTAAAGGATAATAAATTATCATTAGTGTACGTTTTCCCAAAGAAGAAAGTCTCCTATCTTGGTGGCCAGGTTGGCAACAAGGCGTGAAAATTTAAAAGCCACTGAGTAAAAGCTGGTCGCATTGGCGACCCCACAGGTCGCAACGTAGAGCCCTGACTGGTTTGTAAAGTGCCAGTAACTGCTGAATTTGATTCAGAAATAATAACCAGTGCATAATCTCATTGATATTGATGCCATAAAACAAGAAAGTGGATTTCTCACTCACTTACCTGACATAGAGAAGCAAGATGCTTTTAGTGGCTCTGGAATGGTATGCCACCATCTCATGTGATAACCATAAACAGCTTCAGTAGACACTGCACACTCTTTACAATCTATGATTAACCAAAAACAGGGATTTCAAAAAAATTGATGTAGATTAGAGTAACCAACAAAATTAACAAAGGGACATGGTTTTGAAAATTTTGAAGCCTGACTTTTAAAATTTCAACAAAATGTAGCTTTCATCAAGTTTTAATTTATCAGTCACACAGTCAACTCCTTCAAGCAATTAACAAATGACTATAATATTCAATTAATATATACATTTGCATGTGAACAAATTCTGCGTAAATTTATATAAAACTGTGTAAAAAATTGACTGTATGTACTACAGCGTTCACATAACCAACTAACTAAAGCATACCATATATCCAGGGATACTTTGTGAATTAATGGGAAATTTGTGGGTGTTTAGGACTTTAATTTACAGTATCAAAGGACAATATTACATTGTATCTCTTTCTACGTTTTTTCAATGACACCTAAATAACCATGATTTTTTAACCTCCTCAGAAAATGTCACTTGTGTCACACTTACCAACTTTGCCATCACTGAAATGATTGGCAGGACAGTACACACACTGATTGTTTCCTGTACTATTTTGATGCATCCCAGGGTTACAAGGAGGGCAGTCTTGTTTTTCTCCTGATGCTGGAAGTTTTATAGCACCATCAACATCTTCACGGCAGATCTTTGGTTCTACCCACATGTATTTCACTTCAGTCTAAAACACCATAGGAAACAGAAAATGTGTGAATGAAGACGAGTTTTTGTTTACAAGTTATAAACAAGTAATGGGAACAGGTACCAGGCCCAAAGCTAACATTAAAAGCTTAGGCATTTGTTGGAATGATTTGATATTCGTTCCTTCCTGTTTGTCCTTTAAAATTTACATTACGAGCAGGTTTGTAAGCAAAGCAGGTTTTTAAATAACAAACCAAGATAGGTATGATTAACACTCAATGAAGTCACTCAATCAAACTTTATTAAAGAGGGTGACGTGAACAGCACTGTACATCTGGCTTGTGGCTCTTGGATAAAGAATTAATCTTACGCAAAAATAAATGCTCAAGAAAAATATATTATTGTAAATTAAAGAAATTACATTATGTAATAATACTAATACTAAGAATAGGTAATTCAGGCTAGTTACTTCATAATACAGACACAGTCACATTTTTGAAATGACAGAAACAGCATTATGTTTGTCTTGAAAAGAAAAAATGCCAGTATACAAGGCTGCTGCCTAAGAAAATTTTTTCGGGAGCCCGAGCTGCATTTCTAGGAGCCCAATGAAAAAAACGTCAGTAACTTTGTTAACCCTTTGGTGTCGGCCGGCAAGCAGCAAAAAAAAAACATTTTTCACCAATTCCTCTGTTTTGGACTGGTTTTTGGCTAATTAGTCTCGCTTGTGTAAGCAGCAAGACCCATAATCTGCAATGCGTTTTCGCCTGGGGGACGGTGCCAAAGGGTATGGTTTTTTAGCAGTTTTGGTCTGAAATAGGGTATCAATTTCAACCATTTTGGCCTGAAATAGGGTATGGTTTGTGCACTCTAGTCTTGAATTGGGTATGTTTTTCAGAAGAAGCTACTTTTGCCTACGTAGCAGGCACTTGGAAGTTGTGGGCCCAAGAAAGACAGGTGAAGGGAGAGGAAACACCTGCCCGGAAGGTCCATGAAAATCGTTTCAACTCGCATTCTGTGAGTGCGGATATTTCCAATTGGTTGAGAGGCTCCCACAGGAAAAAGTAACTGTGCTGGGCGAGAAAACTGTCAGTCAATAATACATGGACAACATCATGAAGGTCATATATTACATCACCAGCTCCTGAAACCACTAAATGGAATAATCAAAGTTCAGGTCTCAGAGGTCACTTCGATATAGTTTAATGGGACTATGTGGCCGTAATCTCAAAGAAACCTTGGTGTGTTCAAACAGTATTCACGATGGAAAGGATTGACATCAGATATGCATTAGCAGAAGTGGCAAGAGAGAAAAGATTTGTCGAATCGTTGCAATAAAGATCAGAGGAAATATTCTTTGCTCAAGGAAAACTTGGCAGCTTGTGTTGACGATGGAATGCATACCATCAAAACTTGGACAGAATTGATGAAATGATGCATTTACCAGGGGCATGACTTTGATCTCTGGCAATGATGTAATTTCTCTGGAATCAAGGCCTTTGAATTTTCGTGTAATTTTTGAGGGTAAATTTTAGGCACCTCTGGTACCCGGGCGCCCATTAGGCAGCAGCCTTGGTATAAACTGTTTTGAAAATATTATTGCACTTGCATTTCTAAACTTATATGCAAGTTATAAAAAAACTTTGCTTGCAGAAGCATAACATGTGTATGACTAAGGTGCCCACTCCAAATTCTTCTGCTATAATGCTCTCCATCGAGCCTACTATTGTGTGCTTAAGGGTATGGGCTTTGCTGCTCAAGGCAAATAACCTGTTTTCTAATGCACCAATTGCAACTCACATAATAATAATCTAATAATTATCATTATTGTCATTATTATTAAATCTTGGCCATCATTCAAGTCCATATCTAACCTAACAACAACAAATTCACTTAGTAATATTAAATAATGTTAGACAGATGGCCAGAAGATCATACCTTGCCCTGATCGTCACAAGCTGTTCGAATATCATAGTAATCCTGCTGCGTACATGGCTTTCTCTGAGAACAGTTCTTTGCCCCACGGCCTGAGGAAAAAAGAAACTGATAAGCAATTTTTCATAAACAAGTTAAAACCAGTGGGGAAAAAATTCACAAACCAGGAAAAAACCAAATTGTGCTCATATACGTATCATTCAGCATTTTTATACAAGACAATGTGTCACTATTGTATGATTTCCTGATAATTGTGAAATTATTGTATGACTGTGAAATCATGTTTTGCTGGTCTTGCTAAGCTTAAAATTTTCTATCTACATGTATTCATGTTATTAACTTTTACCTGCATATTCTGTCACCTCGTTACACTTTGAGCACTCTAAAGCCCCAGGAGCGGAGAATGTGTTAACAGGGCACATTTTACAACTGCAAGATAACGTTGGAGCAAATTAAACTTTCAACATCTATTATTTTTACAAACAAGTTACAATACTGGTAGATCTCTTCAGGATAACTTTCTTGCATTTATTTACATGTACAATAAAGAAGGTACCATTAACTTTTGATAGCTGTTTATAGCTCCTTCTACATTCTGACATTCAGTTAAAATCTATAGTCCAAACATACGTGTAGTTGTGACTTGAAATTTGTGCGGAAAAGGTTTTCCTGGCAAACTTATAAAAAGCAATTTTATTTTGTTGTTAGACAAGGCTTAGATGGCCTAAAGGACGTCATTTCTTAACAGCAGAATTTGTGTAACTCTGACTGTCACATTTTGATTACATGTACGAATGTTTCATTTTTGATATTAACAACAACTAAAATTTTAAACAGAAATACAACGTTATTAAAGGCTTTAGCTTGATTCACTTCACAAAATAGAATTCCAAAAGAAAGAGGTGTTCTTGTCATGTGTTTCAGTGTGAAAGTGATTTTAAGTCCAGACAGGTACACAGTCTTTTACCTACAGCTGCAACAAAATTTAACGTAGAAACACTGTAGTATAGCCACATACCACAAACCAAATAAGAAAGATGTATTTTTTGGTCTTTAAGCAAACAGAAAAAAGTACTAACAACATCTCAGAACTCAAAAAACTCAACTCAGAAAACTCCATACAAACCCTTCTAATGTTTTTTTGGGTCGACCCAAAAAAAATTTAGAAGGGTTTGTATGGAGTTTTGTAAGCATAACTGGGCTACGATCTCAGAGACAATTTGCCCCCAAATGCTCATTTTTGGCAAGTAGGCCTCTTGGTTATTGTTCTTTCAGAATATCCTGACAAATCCCATAATTTCAGAAATTTCATTTTTATGACGTCACACTTTAGTACTCTATTGACCATAATTTTGGGTATAACAAATATGTTCTTTCCGTGAAAACAAAATGGAATCAGCAGTTCCTGTCACCAATTATTTCCTTGTAGAGTACCATTGCATTTTTAGTAACGAATAATAAGTACCTTCCTTGTGCTTCCTGGTCATTGTAAAATCCTGCTTCACATGGTGTACACTCTGATGTGTATGAAACCCCTGAGAAATGATAAGAATTAAGAACTGTTTAATGCTTACCTTACATACAGTGAGCTATGGATGCATGCAGGAGGTTTAGAAAACATCAGGGAAAGTAGGAAAGTGAGTGCCAAATGCATTTTATAACTCCAAATACACACAGCTAAAAATGCAGACCAATAATTTGACTACAACAAAGATGCAACAAAGTTTGAATTAAGGAAACAGCAACTTGCGCCACACTGTCATGTTTGCGATCCATTTTTTACAAATTATGTCAATGTAAATTTTGAAGAAATCATTCAAGGATGAATTTTTTGTTTTCTACCTCACGAGACTCTATACCTCTTAGAAACAATTCTGGATGACTGCTCCTTGATTCTCGGAACTCAATTCTTGAAGGAATCAAGAATCAAGACTCGCATCAAAACAATTATTGCCCTCTTACTTTTTAAATGGAACTGAAAAGTGTACTCTGAACCACACGAGTTATGTTCGATCTCAAATCACAAGAAACTGATTTTTACTTCATGGTGGACTAAATTGGCAGCCTGGTCAAAATAAGCCGGCAGCCTACAATTTAGCCACTATCAGTGGAATTTTTGCCACCTAATCAAAACATAGGTTTAGTAATATCAGTGCTTGACACTAACTTTTTTGGGACATTAGGCAATAGGCTATACTAGTGAGTGAAATAAATCACTAGCACTGGTCCAAAAAAAAGTTCGGGGGGGGGGGGGTAGGCTCCTCCTCCAACACCCTGGTAAATGAAATAATACTCTGATGTATATACAGGGATAATAGAATGAAATAAAAAGAAAAATGTTGCTCAGTTATTTTTGTTAGTTTTCAATTGTTTAATTAAAACAGTTTATAAATCAATTTTTGTGAAAATCCAACTTTAGAGGCAAAAAGACATCAACAATAATACAACGAATGGCTTATACAAGATGCCTTGTTTCTTGTCAGTCAAGAGTTTAAGAGGCAATCCAAATGTCTTGTGTTGTAATTTGTAAGACTTAGCAATTGCACTGATTTGTCACAATAAAGGCTACATGTACGAGTCCTCAGCTTCTACATTATTTTGCAGGATGTTTTAAAACTTTCAGGGTTAGAGGGAGTGCCAGAAAATGATCAGTAACGTTTAGTTTAATGGCTCAGTTACACTGTGATCAGAATGATATCCTTGACTACAGGTCGAGCACAGTTCTATAATCAAACATTATCATATACAAATTCAGTTCAATTTGGCGGCAAATCTTTAAAAAGCTTCGAAGAGTGAAATTTCTTACGATTGCGAAGTCATTGAAGGATATCGAACTAGGACTAGAAAGTCCTACAGAAAGCTTTCCTTCCATTAAGCCGCACACAGTAGCTGGTTGAGAATATGCTTGTTTGAGTCAAAAGATTGTTGAAGGATGCTTTCTCAAAAGTAAGTTGTGAAAAAAGCTTCAAATCTTCTTCATTCCTGATCCTGCTTAATGTGCATGAAAAGACTCCAATATGGCGGACCTGGTGTCGGGTGAGGAAAGTCCACAATCAAAACTCACTGTCAATATAGTGATGAAATACAAACAAACCTTGTATTTCAATACTCTTGATGTAAACAGGTTCTCTCCTACTGTCTTCATCTTTGTAATCATATGTAATGGCTGTTGCTTGCCAAATGATAACATTTCTTCCAGCTTTCAAATTAATCTGTCAGAAATCACATCAGCTGTGTAAGTGTTGGGTTGTTTAGAATGAATTCATGTAACTGGAAAATTTGAAATGAGTTGGAAAAAGCTTTTTACCTTGGTGGTCAGCCATTCATTGTTGGAGGAACTTGGAGGGAATGTATCATCTTTACTCAGGCTGGAAACTTTACACTGTTCATTTCTTACCTACAGGTGAGGTCAAAAACAAAAACTAATATTATTATATTATTTTACCTTGAAGTTTAGGCACAGTGTATTGGTTTCAATAGTCTCTCGATAAAGTACAAGACATGGAAGCAAGCAGACTCAAAATAATACAGCCTTTATTAACTGTTTCATTTTTAGTCTCTTGGGTAAAACAGATGTCCGCAGAGTAACACAACTTTAAAACGTGTCTTTAAAAAATTGGTGCTTCATTTTGGACTAAATGACAGGGTTGACTTTGACAAAAGAATTAAAATTTTTGGATCATTCCGTTTGCCATACACATGATAAAAACACTTAGAGTCTCCTGAAGATTTCAGCATAAAAAGACACACTAAGAATTGCACATTTCACCAGTCTGGGAGATAAAGGTAAAAGGTAATTAATTAATGAAGAACTTACAAATACACGAAACACAGTGTACGTATCATCAGTGTAGTAGTAGTCAAATGACACATGACCATCCTTTTGAAGCTGTTAGAGGACAAATAAAAATATTATTTTAACAATGCAAAGTAAAAAAGTGCCATTTTAGGTAATCCAAGCCATATTGTTCTGGTTGCCATAAAGGAAAAATAGATAAAAAGTAACAGTAAAGCTAGTAGCAACTGGAAAGTCACTTTGCTTTTGTTTTCAGGACAAAATCAATACTTTGTACAGTCATACCTTGATTATCCTGACTCACTGACACTTGAGTAATCAAGAGTCCGGATAATTAAAAATATGAATATTAATCAGACAATAATGTAAACATATAGAATAAATAATAATAAAAAAAAATTAAAAGTGAATTAGCTCCTACTTGCATTTATGTAGAGTCGGTATGTTTGTGTATTATTTTGTATTGACATATAAAAAAGTTTTAAATGTTTCAAGTGTCCATTCAACCAACCAGTTGATGCTTAAAGCTTTCTCGTTTGGCCGACTCTGCGTTTAACTGCACTGAGAAATGTTTTGCTTTCTCTTAAAGAAGCCGAGTAACCTGACATCGGCATTCCAGTAGATCTTTGCTGAAAAAACAGGCACACAAAGCTTTATCCACCTGCTCATCATTGGCAACCTTCAGGGACTTTGGATTGAATCCTTTGGCCGTCTTGAACTTGTCTGTGAATTTCAGGATCTTCTCTTGGTTTTTGCATATATCTGAGACCTACTGCTTGCCGATTTTAAACCTGAGTGCAAAATTTGTTCCTTTTTCTCCTTTCTCCAAACATAAAAAAATCGTTTCCTTATCTTTTAACGAGAGAACGGACCACTTTATTTTCATAGACATTACTGTGATTTAAGTTTACGATTTGTTGGTCTTGTGTTTCCATAACCCACGCAGTATCAAGCATGACATTCCCTTAGCAACATAAGAATTAAGCCAATCAGAATTCAGCTGAATGCATCAGAATAATAGTTCATCTCGTGCTGCTCATGCTTTTTCATAGCGAAACAGATTAATACAGTGTTTTAAACACATGTTTGGAAGGATTAATGTACTTTTAACTCGTTTCAATTTTTCAAGATCACATCTTGTTAATATTCATTAAAAAATAGTACCAGGGAAACAAGTCTGGTTAATCAAGGTTTGACTGTACAGCTTTTGGGCCTAAGTTACACTTATTGAACTCAAAGCAAAAAAGTAGTATTTTTTCAGTTGGCTATTTTACTTTGTTTTCCTCGATTTTCTTTATGCTAAGCCTAAATTTAGTCATTAAGTTTAGTTAAGCTTGACTAAAAGAAAGTGAAAATCAAACACATAGGTGAAAAAAAAATTACTACTTGCACCCGCCCTGCATAGCTTGACAGAGTAGCGGTAAGTGTGGGAATGTTAACTTTGTCCCCATGGGGTCATTCATGCGGGTTTTATGTATGTGTATGGATCACTACCAGCCCTCTTCATTTTTTCCTTTCCAATAATTACTTTTAGTTACATTGTATGATTTTTTGCTTTGTTTCTCTAGTTGTTTTAACTTCTTCTGGAAACATAGAATTTATGATCAAAGGTCAAAACACTTTTGTTCCAACACTGTTTACGCTCCATTCATTCCATTCATGGGAATGCAATGAAGTGGAAGTCCAATCAAAGCTGGCTATAACATGCATGCTGTACATGAGTAATTATAGCAACCTGGAGATTAGGATTACAAGCTCCTTTTGTCGCCCGCAATAAAAAATAAAATAGTTGAGAGTGAGATCTAAATAACAGTCTTTTTCCCTTTTACTTTCAAAATATATAAGAACTGAATATTTTAAACAACAACTGCATGGCTACAATGTGAAAGTGAGTGCTGTTGCAGGCATTAGAACCAGAAAAGATGTAGCTGGTATGCTGGCTTCAGTTGAACATGTACTGTTAATGGAATTCATCACAATTTAAACTGCAATAATAGTGCGATAGAAACAATGCAGCCAGACTTTCTGCATGCTAGGCTATATTTAACAGGGCTCATACTGTATCAATGGTGTTATAAAAAACCTGTGACACTTACGGTGACAGCATATGACAACTCTGAGGTGCATTCATCTCCAGGTGATGCAATACTGTCTCCACGTGGTGTCCACCCAGTTCTGAAATAACCAATATTTAATAATTATACACAATCAAAATTAGGAGGAAGGCAAAACAGGATGTTTGGCCAGGGGCCCCTGGCTCTCAAAAGTTATGAGCCATGCACTATTAAAACATATAGGCCATTTCAGTAATGGGTTGGGACAGAAGTTAGGAGCTGCATATGTGCATTATTTTATCATAGGCAACAAATGTGCATCAACATTGTTGTAAGATAAGATAAAATCAGTTTAATTATGCAGTGTTTGTGTTGCTGGGAGACACATAGTACTACTTTGTTCAACCACTTGGAGAAGCATTACTATACCAATGATTAGAGATGCAAGTCGAGGGCTAGCCTGAAAACTCAGATGTACAATGTATTCACAGTTGTCGCTTCCCTTCACCTGAAAAGCAACATCTGTGACCCCAAGCTGTAAAATTAATTCTGTGACGTAGGACATTATTAGCCAATCACTGTTTAGCTCTTAAAAACCAAGAACTAACTTTCCAGACTTCTCAAAAGATTTGTGTGCATTGGATATGTTTACAAGTCAAAACAACTGGGTGTGCAGTTAAAAATTTAATTTGCCAGGATTGTGGAACAGATTGATGAAATATGCACCCAGCAGATTCATAGCAATTCAAGCGATTGTTGTAGACTTTTTACTCATCCAAGGATGTGTCAGTACTATCTATTCACCCTTTTTTTGTTAGCTTTAGTTAAACTTGGATAAATGCGAGTCTGAGCGCAATGTCATACACGTATTACTTTCCTATCACTGTAGAGATCATTTTCTCTTATTTTGCTTGTGTCAGGTACTTTTTTTATTTGGCAAAACCAAAGGCACAAATCTTATCCATAGCTTAAGAACCATTGTTCTACAAAGAAAGCAGCATTATTCCACATGGCAGGAAAACTTGTTACAGTCTTGAAGTTCACAATAAAAAATTATTTGAAAAATCTTGTCAAAGTCCTAGACACGCCAGCTCACGAGGGCAAGAGGAGTAACTCAGTTTACGTCACAGAAATATTATTGTTTGGTGGCTTGGGATTGGAGACATTACTATTCATGCAGAGAAAAGCGACAACTAAAAAACCATCTGCATTTGCAGGCAAGTCAAGGGCTTATCTTATTAAAACCTAAGGTGACTCGCCACAAGCACTCAATTTTTAGTTGAATTGGCAACCAGTGAGTTGCAATCCTGGGCCCTGTAAACACACAATTCACCTCATCCTCCTAAAAAACAAACTCACTTAGAGCAGTTGCCACTTTTTGTCTCATGGAAATATTCATCATCATAACCATATCCTTCATAATGTTCATCTGAAATACGACTTTCAAATCCAGTAGGCAATTGATCCCATTTACTGAAGCGGACACCACCACCAACACTGTAAGTTCCTTTGGGGCATACTTTGCACTCCAGAGTTTTGCTTCCCACATCTACATAGTGACCTGGCTCACATGTGTAAACTGCAAAAACCAAATCAAACATTCAGCACAATTTACAAACAATAATATTAACAGAGCTTTTTTGTGTGTGTGTCAGGAGACATGTAGTTATGTGTTTATTAATAGTAGGGTTCTTACTGCTAACTGCTGGTCTATAATGAGTTATGTCGTTGATTGGTACCATAATTTGCCTGTCCACACATACAGTTTATCATAATTATAATGCAAGAAAGGTACATACAATAGTAAAGCAACAATCATGGACGAAAATGTTGGGACAGTGGTAAAGCTTTTTAACACACGCGCTACTAAAACAGCACATCCCTACCCCCTACCCCCACCCTACGGACACAGTTGAAACCGTCAAGGCACAATTCCTTTGATCTTTCAACATTGTATTGGGTGGGGAAGGGGCAGGGGACATGGATTTGTAAAATGACGGCACTGTCTTGTACAACATTACTTGTGAAACGCATAGAATTAAAGTTATGCTATGACTGTCCCAAGGACTTTTGTCCATGATTGAAGTTAGCCATATGACACAGAAAAAGCAAAAACAACATCAACAACAACAATAATGACAAAAACAGAACATATCTGAAGTCATTAATCCAAGAAGTCGCAACACATATCAGAAATGCACAAGGAGGGGCACTTATTTGTGTAGTCTTTCGTTCTTTATTTGAAGTGACACATTGAATTTTAGTTTCCAGAAGAACAACAAGAACATTGAATCTTGGGGTCTCAGATAGGCTTTTGTACATTATGCTTTTGCTTCCCTACTAAAATTCTCCACCTTAATGCTCCATTTTTCCCACTAAAATGCTTGGTCTCCCCAAAAAAGTCACTAAAATGCTCGGATAATGCTCATTATACAAACGTTTTTTTAAAATTAATTTCAAAGTTTAAAATTAATTTCAAAGTTTACACTTACAAAAACGTGCAAGTGTTGCAAGTAACAACGACAACGTGTACAAGTTCATAAATACAGCGAAAAAAAACCCAGCTGTATTTTGAGTTTTAGTCTTCATTTTGTTTAAAAAAGCAGGAGCTCATGGGGCATGGGCTCCTGAAAAAAGTTAATTTCTATTTTATTTTCTCGGAAAAATTAATTTTCTGAGGAAAATTAAATTTTCCTCGAAAAATTAATTTCCTCAGAAAAATTAATTTTCTGAGGAAAATGCCACTAAAATGCTCGAATAATGCTCAATACTTTTGCCTCACTAAGATGCTCGAAAAAATGCTAGCATAATGTACAAAAGCCTGGTCTCAGACTTGCTTCTGGCAAGGTGGATGTAGCATCACGTAATTAGAAGATAATGACTAAAAGCGTGAATGTGTGTTGATTCAGGTTTGTAACTGTAAAGAATTTCCAGAGCCCTGGAGGTTATGTTTTCAGGATGTTTGAAGTTCCACCAGTTTAAGATCTCATCCGAAAAGCTTTTCACGGCAGGACACTCATACAACTTATAGTTTGTAGTTTCAGTGGGAAAGTTACAGTCCTCGCATTGAAGGGAAGTTTTTATCTTTGTTTTCCAAAGACATTGATTGGTAAGATTGATATTACTATGTAAAAGCTTATATTGAAAACCTCTTTAAAACTTGTTTTCAATGGTAACTTTTACAGGAATTGTATAAAAATCGCTCGGATTCAGTTTTTGTTCCTTTAAATGAGCATCAGCAAGAAGAGCACAGAAGGACTTTTCAGCAAGGAACACGCAAATGCGCTTGCCACAAGCATTGTTGGTGGTAAGCAATGGTGCTATTGATTCATTTGTAGCAGATTGGTTACAATCTAAAATGGTGTCTTCAATTTTTAGGAATAGCTGCGAGAAGACTGGTGTAATAAGACTGGTGTACGCAGCAAACTCTATATCTAAGTATCTCTCCAAGGTACCCAGAAAATTAGAAAAATCCATATTCAAGATTTATAATGGTAACTGAACTGAGTGGATCACAATTAATTGGTCTGAAATCATATGCATGATTTTAAATTTAGACGAGCATGCAACATGAGTTCTATTTGAAATCACAAGTATTATTTCAGACCAAATTGCACCACATGAAGTTCAATTAACACTGTCTTTATCACAGCCATTTTGAAATCGCAGAGTTCATTCGGTACCAACATTTATTTGATCACGTGGCCAGTTTGTTGAAAAGCAGAAACAAAAAGGCTTTTTCATCTCATTTTGTACCTGAAACAGAAATGATGCAATATAGAGCAAAAATGGTGTGATTTAAAACATGAATGATGCAATTTCGAACAGAGGTAATTTAGAAAAAAAGATAGTTTGATTTCATGAACAAATTACACTGTTGAGAACCAATCAGATTGCATGGATCACCAGTGATTTCAAAATGGATATAATAAGAGTATAACTTTCATATTATGCTGTCTTCCTATTTATTAAGACATCCACGGAGAATAAAGACAAAAAGTTAATTCAATTATGTGCAAGGGCAAGTGATAAACATGAAGCTTACAGAGTTTTTTTGTTGGAAGGAAAAGTAGGAAGTAACAATATTGATATTTTGGTCTTCTATTTATCCAAAATTAATGCTTTTCCTATTTCAGTGCAACTGATTACTATATTATTACCAGCTTGGCAAATATTTTCCTTATTGAGATGCCAGTACAAAATTTTAGGCACCATGGTGACTAAAATGGTTGCAAGTTGAAGGGTTGTAACTTGTATTTATATAATTCAAGGTCCGTGAATGCTGCTTTTCAAACAGTATACATTTGCATTTGCACCCAGAATGCAAAAATTGATGCTCTCTGAATATTGATGTTTCTTGTTAGATAGAAGTTAGATAAAAAGAAGTATGAAAAAAGTTTGTGGAGGAAGTTACATATAGGTGAATTTCTCGGGTGTGATTCCTGGGAATAGTCTTTGATGCCACCATTAATTTGTAAATTTGTATTTTCATTTTGATTGGCTTTGTGTGTTAGCTGGTGAATGTAAACAGACGAAACCACCACAGTTTGCAAAGAAAAACTCTCAAAGCTTGTAAATCACTTGCCTTTGGCTCAAGATTCACATGCTTTTCTCATGTTCACGCAACATCCAGATAGGTTGTTACACCAGTAAACCAACTGAAAATGTGGTTTGTTGCTTAAATAACCCAGTCTCTTACATATAATTACAACTGTTTGATGTTGGTGTCAATTCACACCACTGTTTCAAAGACTATTCCCACGCTAGCATAGAAAAGCTACAAGAATTATTTTAGTTTCCTCTGTAATATCATCCTCACTGCTAAGCATTTCCTGTTCAAGGGTATTTTATTCCAGGCAAATATTTTGCCTTTAAAACTAAAATAATAACTTGTGTAGAAGATTTGAAGTAATATATACTCCAGTTCCTATTTGATGGGACTGTACATTTTCTAACCAGGAATCAGCACAACAGGATGAAAACCCTTTCTCACTTTTCCCTTTAAGTCTCCAACACATTAATACAAACTGCATTGTATTTAATCAAAACTATGTTATTTTTTCATTATTTAATTCTGTATTAAGCTTACTTTAACATCACCATCAATCAGCAAGTTCTAATGTCAGTGCGTATTCTCGGTACAAAATTAATGAGGCTTGAAAGAGGAAGCTATAAAAGATTCTACTGAATTTATAATAATGGCATATACAGTAGGTAATCTACCGCACCCAAAGATGTACAAAATAACCTTAACTAACCACGACATAAGTAAAGTTAATTTATGTACAAATTCTTCAGAGTCCCTTGTATTTCCTTGGATAAAGACTCTCGAAAGTATCTTTTGTTTCTCTACCCGGCAAGTTTAGTTGAACGATCTACTAATAAAACTAATGCAATTGTATCACCATTTTTAACTGGGTCTACGGTTTAAACCATTTGTTGCATTCACATGACATCGTCTTTTCGCATGCCTATTTTGCATTGAATTAAGCAGAAGGAAACATGAAGTTTGTAGAAGCATAAGTAAATACATAAAATAACACGAGGTTTTGATGGCTCGGTTCGTGTTGAAGATAGTTCAAGAATTTTGTTTATGACAAACACTGAGCCAGGAATCAAGGATGAAAACTTCAGACGGCCAGATTAGGCAAGAATACGGCTATGAAACCCAGCATAAACACAAACAATGTCTGAAAAAGTTTTATGTAAATTCACAAATTAATGTTCAGTTTATAGATTGCAAGTCATACTTGTACTATTAAAACTGATAGCGATACTGAGAATATCTGAAATCCATTCATATTTTACGTAAAAAATTCTCAACCCACACTTCTATTAAACGTAATTAAACTGCACTTACTACACTCCTTTTGGCGAACGGGGACTTCGCCCGCCTCGCAGGAGTTCGGATCTTTTGGAACTGCTACGCGCCATCTGCCCTCTGCCGAATCACATTCAGTGAATTCGTATGTAAGTTGGTCCTGAAAGCGAAGAATAAAAAAGAAAGAAAACACAATAAAGTTTTCGATAAATAGTTAAAAAGACACTTTTAGGTCTAAAATCAAGGAATAACACAA